TATGGCGTGTGTCTCAGCCTGAATATCTGTTGGTAATTTACTTATTTCGTTTTGTGCCATTTCTGGCTCCAATTCAATCAGCAAACGACACGAAAGAGAATTAAAAAATATTGACTCAAAACTGACAACTAAAGAGACAGCTTTATTTATTTGTCAAATTACATAGAAACCAATGCCAACCCAGCACAATATTTTTTCTACTCGTAATAAATTCCTTGAAATAATAATTTCTGAATATTTTTTAAAACGTAACTCGCTATGGAAAAAAATATTGTTTTATACACGACGATAAAATTGCATTATCGTCTCCCGAAATTAATTCATTCGCGATTTCATTGCTGGTGAATTAATCTTTTCCGATCGACGATAAAATACCATTTTATCGTCTTGTATAAAAAATAACTATTAGTCTATTGTAATTTTAATCAAATTTACTACGAATTTTTGCGTCTACATTCGCAATTTACTACTTCAGCTCAACCCTGTCCATCTACCTATGCTATAGGCGAGAAACTAGACTAGGATGAAGAACTGGTAAGAGTTAAATATCAATTTACTTTTTCCGCATATAGTTTTCCGGTCTGAATATGCGGACGATATTTCGCGCTGTGGCGTGTTACTTCTTAATTATTTTTATTTAGTGGGATGAAAAGAACAACGGGGCTGATTATCCGAAATTACGTCTATAGCCATTTAGCTACTGTTATTATCTTAATTATTTTTAAACAGTTTTTTTTTCTAACAATAGGAATTGTATTAGGGATGCACGATACTAGTGCATGTAATAGTAGGTCTAGATATTATGTATAGATTCATATATCAGGGAAATACAAAATATAATGTATAATATAGACAAATCTTATTATAGCAAACGAAGGTGCAAAAGATATTCATCCAAAAAATCTAGTAATTGGTACTGATGCTAAAAAAATTATCGATCAAAAAGTATTGTCGATTTATTGCCGTCAGTTTTCTTTGGCTTCTCTTTATCTTCTTGAAAATTTACTTACACTATGCCCAAAATGTTTCACGAAACATTTCTTCTTGTCCATGAGTACTTAACGAGATTGAAAGAACTATTATTGCTTTGTTAGCTTTTGAAGATCCATTGAATAGTCCATTTGCGGATCTATTGACACCATCTCATCGACAAAAGGTAGATTATCATTTTTTTTAATATATCATCATCATCATCATCATTTTCAGCTTATTCTACCATTTCCAATTATGGTGTAGCCTCCCTCATATATTTAGAGACTCTCTTGGTAGTTGAGCCTATTGTTGTCTATTGGCAATGCAGGCCCAAGTTATCCCGGCTAATTTCCTAATATCATGATCCCATCTCAGGTTTCGTCCTTTTCTAAGTCTCTTAATTCCTCTTGGGTACTATGCTCTAATTTTTGTGGTTCACCTGTTGTCTGTCCTTCTTGCCAGGTATCCTGTCCATTGCCACTTGAGGGGGATTTGATTCTGTGGATGACATCTATTACCTGGGTCTTTTGTCGTATCCTTTCTATTCTTTTACGGTCTCTCTTGGTTACTCCCAGCATATTGCGTTCCATTGAGCATTGTGCGACCTCCAGTTTTCTTATGATGTCCGTTTTAAGTGTCCAGGTTTCGCATGTATAGGTCATGACTGGTAGTACACATTGGTCGAATATTTTCTTCTTTAGATAAAATGACATTCTAGATTTGAATATGATTGAGATTCTTCCATAAGTACTCCATGCTAACATAATTCTTCTGTTGATTTCTAGGTAGTAGAGATCCCGAGCTGTGTATTAGTTGTCCCAAATATATATCGTCCCATTGCTGCCAAAAGTCACTAACTTACTTTATACTTCCGAGAAAAATGCGTCTAAAGATGAATTGCATTGCATAAAGATGTTATAGTTAGTAACTATTCGGTATTAAAATAAAACATAAATAACCAGAAATCGTAGTTAATGACTTTTGCAATCGATTCTCCGCTTCAAAACATAGTTAGTGATTGAATTTGGTTCTTCGGAAAAATGTTAGTTAGTGACTTTTGGTAGCAATAGGATGAAGGACGATATATTCTTCGACTATTTCCAGTGTTGTGTTATTTATTAGAATGTCCTTTCTTTCCACTAGTTCATTGAATATTACTTTAGTTTTTGCTAGATTCATTTTGAGACCCACTTTATTGCTGGCTGTATTTAATTAATTAATTTGTGCTTCTAGTTTCTTTTTTTTTCTAGAAGATTTCTTCTAATGTTGCTGTAGACTGCTTCGGGGATATCACGTCTCCCTGTCGTACTCCTTTGCCAATACAATTTTATATACTAATTTATTATAATAAAATAAATAATAAAGATATTGTAATTATATTCCTGCAGATTAAGAGAAAAATTTTAAAAAATATTTAAAAAAGGGGTTACAATACACAACATATCTATAAGGTCGCGGTGATTAACTTACCCCCTTTAATATTTAACAGCTAAAGAAATAAATATTATTAACAGAATTATAAATGGTAAGTAGCAAAATCATTCCTCCTCCTAGGTGCCTTCTGTGTTGAGGTTGGCGATTAATATGGCATATGACTCTCTGTCCAGAGCTTGGTGAATCTGTGTGTGTTTCCGTCGGTGTGGGTCCAATCTCTTATGTTACGTAGCCATGATTTCTTTTTCCTCCCTATGCTACGTTTTCCATTGATTTTTCCTTGTATTATGAGCTGTATTTCTTCATATTCTGAGAGCCGCATTATGTGCCCAAGGTAGGAAGTATTTTTGATTTTAATTGTTCCTGTTAGTTTTCATTCTGTTTAAAACTTCACAGTTTGTTGTTCTGGAGGTCCAACTTATCCTCAGCATGCGACGGTACATCCACATTTCAAATGCATTAAGGCGTTTGATGTCTTCTTGTTTTAGCGTCCATGTTTCGCATCCATATTGAAGCAGGGACCATATATAACATTTTAATGTTCTTAGCCTCGTTGGTATTGCTATTCGCGGATTGCATAAGAACTTCCGCATGTTGAGGAAACCAGCCCTAGTTATTTCATCCTTCTTCTGATTTCCTTAGAGTGGTATAGCTGGCTGTTTAATTCCCTGCCCAAGTAATATATCTCTGCGTGGTTTCGAGTTGGACGCCGTTTATTATTATGTCGGTGTTTTCACTGTCTTGCGGATCTACTGGTCTTCGGATTCTGCTAATACCACGGTGTCGTCTGCGTATCTTATATTGTTTATAATCTTCCCATTTATTTTGGCCCCTTCTGGACAATTTTGAAGAGATTTTCGGATTATATACTCTAGCAAAATCATTACAAATTTTATTTTAAAGCAGCGCTGTGGGTTAATAGAAACGTGCTTTTCTAAATTAGTATAACTGTTATGTCTATATTTATACTCAAAACAATTGTCTACTCTTCTCTCGCTTAAATAATTGATCATTTAGATAAATTCGCTATGTACCTAGGTACTTAACTCAAACACGACTAACCATTACATCTCGGTCTTTATTGAATTGGTGAAGTAACCGCAATCGCAATCGGTCGTAAACAGCTGTTAGCCGAATGTTGTTTTATTTCAACTTTTTAGGACGAATAATAATATTTAATTACAATATCCGATTCACCGTTAGTACTCTCGGTACTTGTAAATGCGTCCGTGTATTTGTGCCAATTCCACGGTTTATCTTAAATCTGCATCGTGTTAGCGTCAATATCTTCTAATTGGTTTTCCTAATCGAAACATTAACCATTTCAATTTTCCTGTTTTGTTTTTTTTTCATTTAATGATGCAACTTTTCTTTCCAATCGTGTTACCTTAATAAACTGCACTGAAAATGAAGTTAGTCAAAATAAGTTATAAGATAACAATTTCAAATTCGCCTTGTATTTCAGAAACTATTAGAGTTAAGACAAATCTGTTAGTAGCATCTTTAGTTTTATAAAAAAGTTAGCAAAGTAATGTAAAAACCGCATCTTTGTACTACTCATAAACGAGATACCCTGTAAAACACACGAAAATGGGACACACTGTACTGAGTGGCTCGAATTCAACGCTCATAATTGGGCTTTCGGAAACCGTAAGAGATACAGGATCGGTTAAATGAAAGCAAAGTTGCGCAATTTGATGCTCAATAAAATGCCGCATTGCATTTTATTTTTTATTTTTTTTGCATAAAATATTCTGGTGATGGAATTTTCTGTACGAAACGTCGGCAAATATCAAAGTGACTATATATGTATAATGTTTTAAGAGTGATGAAAGGATTTAATTAAATTGAAAAAAAAATCAGGTCCTTATTTAAAAAAATTAAGTTGATGATGGTCGCCAGAAGCAGAAACTTCAGAGTCAATATTTAGTCACACAGAGTTATAGAGCAGAAAAAGTGGCCATGAAAATGTGTTTTTCTCATTTTAAGTTATCTTAACAAATAAAGCCAGGAAATAATAGAAAACAAAATTGAAAATTCCGTTTTTTTTTTCGAATATATTCGGAAGTATTCGGAATTTTTCAAAATGCAATACGGCATTTTTACTTTGCCTCCATTTAACCGATCCTGTATCTCTTACGGTTTCCGAAATCCCAATGATGAGCGTCGAATTCGAGCCACCCTGTACATATAAAATTATTCAACCGTTCGTAAACAAAACTATTTTTCCAACAGATTGTTGACAAACATTTTAGGGTGGTGGAATTCTTTACCGAAGGTGTATTTTAAATTAATTTGTGGTTTGAAAGTTGTTACTAAATTTAAGCAAGCCATTTTTCTTTCCTGAGTCTTATATGCCTTCTATAAATTGGTCATTAGGAATACGATATGCAAAAGTGATATATTATGCATAATGAAAGGTGTTCTATTATAGATTTTAATTTTCAAACCGTATAAGTAAATTTAAATCGATGGAAAGATTTGTCTCTTAATAAATATGTAATACATTTTTTTAGTGGATATTTGCTGCGATATGATATAATTTTCAGAAATACGTTTAAATATTTTGTAATATCCAGAGATTTTTGACTTACCCTCTTCCTTTTCTCTGATTCTCACTTTTGGACTTCTTGTCGTCCACCATCCAAATCGTATCCTCTCGTAAAACACTTTCCGAGCCATAGTGACAGCCTTGTGAAGCGCCTATTTTTGATACACTTAACTAATCACTAAACAGTCGATTCAGTCACTGTTTGAACACTATAATTTATCGAATGTTTTTAAAACATCAAGTAAAATCATCTATAGGAGCTAAGATTTAGGGATCTGTATTATTAGATTTATTAATATGAAATTTATTTGATTTATAAAGTTGAAATCAATACGAGTAAGGTTTATTCGAAATTGTGCTGTAATCAATAATAGAATAAATTAAGAACTGATATTAATTCTAAGTGTATAGAATATAATAATTTCTCGTAAAGCTTTTATAATATTTTGTTACCAGTATTTAAGGCACATTTATTACGTTTTTATTAATATTTCATTCTTTTTTTTACATCTTAACAATTTTTAAACAATAATAATTTGATGATTGGTATTTAATTAATTTATTTAATTGCAATATACCGGGTGCGTCTCAAAAGTGGCTCACCCCCTATAACTTTTTTATTTTTTCAGATAAAAATCGAGATGCGATTCATAACGACAATTTGACTCGAAAGTGTGTGGTACCAAATTATTCGTAAAAAAATGCTTTTTCCAAATATGCTAATGAGCCATCCTCGTTCCATTTGAACAATTGAGATATGATTAAAAATACGATTTGGGCATCTTGTAACTGGCCAGGACAAGACACGAAAAACATTAGACGATCAAATCTATTTTTCCAAGGCTCCTTGATTAAAAATTAGTGTTTTTAACACAGCCATGGCACTCTAGATTGAAATTTAAAATTCAATTTTGTTTTAAGCGAAAATGTCAAACAATATTAACATATGATATGTCATTCTATCGAACAAAGTAAAAAAAACCGAGGGTGTCATTTAAAAATCAAACGTTGTAGTCATTTCCGGTGAAACCGGAAGTGGCCGAAAATAATTGAATACATCAATCAATCCTAATTTATGTCATATACTAAAATACCAAATCTTGTTTTTTTTTATCTGAAGAAATAAAAAAGTTATAGGGGTGAGCCACTTTTAAGACGCACCCGGTATACTTATAAATATTAGAGTGCATCAGAAAAAAAAATGGTGTCTTTGAATTACCGCGAAAATATCGTTTACGATGGTGAAAAAAAATCTGGTTAAGTCTGAGTTCTCATATTAATATTAAGGGTACAAACATAGTGGGGCATCTCGATGCGATTTCCCATTGAAACAACGCGGGGATCGATTTTTTTTTGGAATATTATTGCATTCTGACAAATCAGAGTATTGTAAAAATCAATACATATTCTTGTAGGAAATTCGATTAAATGAAAAATTATGATTATGATTGAATAAAAAATAAAAATTATTCTTATTTTTTAGAAAGCAATAAAATAAAAAAAAATTCGCGTTTTATTTAAATGGAAATTAAAAATCACGATGAGAGCTCAATAGTTTGTTAAATGTCTATGCAAAACAATTCTAGGGTAGTTTATGAGTATATAGTTTTTGAGTATAATGCTGATATGCATTATAAATTTATTAAGGCTATATTCGGTAGATTGGTAAACTAGGGTTAGGATTGATCCCCGAAAAAGATTTTTCAAATATGAAAAAGTTTGATAAAATAGTAGAAATGTCAAATATTGACGTTTTTAAAAATTTTCCTATTCTTATTACCTAAGTATACAGGATGTCCCAATATTCCGTGACATAGAACTAGTACGTATTTTTGGAATCAAAAAAGTTCATTCGACACAATTTACCTTCATACAAAAGTCCGTAAAGTGCGTTGTTATATACAAAATATGTAGTAAATATTACAAGGACTATTTTACGAAAAAAAAAATAGTGGTCGGTGAAGTAGGAAAAATTTTCGGGGTAGATTTCACCCTTCCCGTACATTTTCTTTTTTTTGCGAGAGTCAAATGTAAAAGCGCTTAGCAAAATATAGGCACCCCAAATCTCATTCAAATTGAATTATATTGTTCTTAAAATATCATAAAAAATGTGTTTATTTTTCTAAATTTTGATACCCTCTAACGGATAAACGAAACATTTTTGTATATAGAGGTAAATTGTATCTAATGAGCTTATTTTGATTCCAAGAGTTCTATGTCCACAAAATATTGGGACAACCTGTATACCTTTTATTTCATGCCAGATTAGAAACGAAGAAGGGACATACTGTACAGGGTGGCTCGAATTCGACGCTCATCATCATTGGGATTTCGGAAACCGTAAGAGATACAGGATCGGTTAAATGGAGGCAAAGTTGCGCAATTTGATGCTCAATAAAATGCCGTATTGCATTTTGAAAAATTCCGAATATATTCAAAGAAAAAACGGAATTTTCAATTTTGTTTTCTATTATTTCCTGGCTTTATTTGTTAAGATAACTTAAAATGAAAAACACATTTTCATGGCCACATTTTCTGCTCTATAACTCTGTGTGATTAAATATTGACTCTGACTTTTCGGCTTCTGGCGACCATCATCAACTTATTTTTTTTTAAATACGGACCTGATTTTTTTTCAATTTAATTAAATCCTTTCATCACTCATAAAACACTATATATATATATATATATATATATATATATATATATATATATATATATATATATATATATATATATATATATATATATATATATATATATATATATATATATATATACAGTCACTTTTATATTTGCCGACGTTTCGTTTTATTCCAAATACGAGAAAAAAAATGCAATACGGCATTTTATTGAACATCAAATTGCGCAACTTTGCCTCCATTTAACCGATCCTGTATATCTCTTACGGTTTCCGAAATCCCAATGATGAGCGTCGAATTCGACCCACCCTGTACATAAATTTTGAAATTTTTCTCATACCATTAATTTTTTTTGTACGATTTTTCGAGACTTATTTTTTTAACATATAAAATAAAATTTTACCAATATTATTAGAAAAAAAAATGATTTCACTATCACTCCAAAATCCCGACTTCACACTGTCTTATCACTGTACTACCCGCGCGGTACCAAACACTGAGTACTTCTTTCTCCACGGCCGACTCTAATGGCTCACTTTTTCGCGTCTAACTTGATCCTTCATCGGCATGTCTTCGCGCTCTTGCTTTTCTGCTTGACAAGTTATTTAGACTAGCGGGGCTGCATATAAACGTACATACCGGGTACTATATTATAGTGTATATACGCAGCCACCTGATGGTAAATAATAAATATATAATGAAGCGATTCGGGCCTATTGTGCCCGCTCTTACGAAGCCGCTGCTTGGCTTGTACCGTACGACCTTATTAATATTGCATTGTGTGAGAACCACCGATCTTCTGTTATTTATTCTATGTCGAGCTATATAGGAAGACGCAAAATAGTCATTAGATTAGAGATTGGGTTACAACAAAAAATAACTGAAATTACCTACACATAACTGATTTATTTCTCAAAGAAAAAAAAAGGTACACACACACAACAGAGGCAATAAAGAAACAGCCTATGATCAAAATAAACGATATACAGTTGACTTGAAAATGATAATCGATTACATTTCCCATATAATTTTACTTATAAGTTGACAGCTATCTTCATTTCCAAATCATCTCTTTTTTTTCGATTCTATGGTATAATTAAAAACCAGAATACAATCAAAATTAATAATTAATTAATCAAAATTAATCGAGATAGTGTGGTTAAAAGCTAGGGGATGATAATTGGCGCCGGGAGGCACGTATAGCTGCCCATACTAAAATATGTTAATAAAAAGTTGGTAGGCAGTTCTTTTAGTTTCAAAGTAAAGGAATTTTTCCAATTTTGGTCCGCGGTTATTTCCCCTATCCGCCACCTGGGGTCGCGTCCGTTGGGAGTTTGGAGTTCTCCACACGGATTTTCACAAAAACGGACTACGGAAATACGGAATATCTCAAAAACTGCGACTTTGACTGATTTTGATGTTATTACAAATTTTGTTGCAAATATTATTCCTAATCTTAAATTGAAAACCGCGTTTCGCCAGCTACTGTAATTTTGTAGTTACGATTTTTTAAAATTTTTAGCCCCCTCCCATACCCCCTGAATATATGCGATGTTTTTTGATTATTTTTCCAGGCATTCATTTTTCGATTTTTTTTTCAAGATTATATCGTCCATCGTCATTTCCAAGCCCACTGAGACACTGTTTTTTTTCGAATTTATATAGCATATCTTGAGTGTCTTTTGACACATTTTAGATCTAAAAACCACACATATACCGCTTTACCCAAAAAGTTATGAAGGCGTAACTAACAACCACATTTTTTTACTTCTCTGTTTCTGTGAGTCAAGACCAATTATACCTTTGATATATTATTCTATGTGTCTGTGACTTGAAAATTAGACATATATCTTCATACTTTCATAATTTTTATTAATGTGTAATTATCATTTATAGCGGAAAAAAAACTGACAAGCGTTTCTTAACGACACACGTCACAAGTGTAAGTTTTTATTGGTTGTTAAACATAACAACAATCTGCCTCATGGGTTTTAGTACGGCAGATGGTACTGATTTAAGTACCATAGCGGTTCGTGGTGCCATTTTCGGCACCTTCAAAATACGGGCCTATTAATTCTCGCGGATTGGGTACTTAATATTGACTTAAAAAGGTGTAATAAATTTTCTATTACACTATGTAGAAGGAACTGTAGAGTATATTACACAGATTTGCTAATATAAGATGATATACACTAGCCATAGCCTTTATTGATAGGTTTCTAGTTTCTGAATAACGATCTAGGTAAAGCATCTAGCTCACTTGCCAGCTCAGAATTAGAATTTAGAGTTAGTAACTCGCACTTTCATTGTATAAAGAAAAATTATAGAGCTAGAATACGGTTTTATATTAACTCTAATTTTTTTGAAGTTTATAAAAAGCATTGATAAAAAAATATATATCCTTCAAATCTTTCAGTTTAATAACTGTTAGTAAGAAGTTTTTTTGAACTTCTCTAACGGTCCTTTTTCCTTATTTCTAGGTGAAGTAACCGTAGAATACCACAAAGGCTTGCCAAAAATCACAGTTCCTCTCCCTAGTCGCAAGGAGCAATGCAGTTTTGTACTGAAGCCCATCACGAACACGGTGGGCGATTTTTTGGAGATGCTGAAGAAAGAAGACAAAGGTATCGACAGGGTGGTGTGCAAGTCGATGGACGGGACCAGGATAGCTTCGTCCAACACCATAGAGATTCTGCTGGACGAAGACTTCAAATTGGTCATCAACGATAGCTCTTACAATGTGAACACGCCGAAAAACGAGAGGCTGACCAGCGAAGGAGTTCAAAGGTCAGTAGTTGAACAGGTCAGACAGAACAGCCTTTGGAATGGTAAGACGATATAATAGTTCTTCTTCTGAATGTGCCTATCCGTTCCGGATGTTGGCAATATGAAAAACGATTTGAACTTGTGTAACTTGTGTAGACAAGGAAAACTAAGTTCTAAGATTTTTCAATCCGGAGATTCTGGGCCTTCCAGGTCCCCTTTTGTCTTAGACCTTTCCATAGAGTATCAACTGAATCAGTCTGAGATATTGCGTTCTTTAATAATGTCTACTATTTCGGTTTCCTTTTGAAGCATTTCCAAAACTGTCCTGTTGGATACGTCCCAGTGATCCACCAAGGAAATTCTTAAAATTCGTCTGTATAGCCACATCACGAAAGATTCAAGCTACTTTGTAGACGCTTTCGTCAAAGTTTATGAATCGGCACCATACAGGAGCTCAGACCAGAGATAGAATTAAGTAGTCCTAGTTCAATTAGATACAATAGATAACAGAACTCAACTTATGAGGGTGGATACCACGTTGTCCTCTAGCAAACCAATAGAATGTGGAATACTTCAAGGCTCAGTACTAGGCCCTATTTTGTTTCTTCTTTTTATTAACGACATTGCTAACATAAACATCAGTGGTAAAATATGTCTTTTTGCGGACGGCATTAGCTTCACTTGAAGCACCAAAGACGTCACGGCACTTCATAGGATTATATCAAATGACTTAATCACCAGTAATTAATCTTGGTGCGATTCGAACCTCCTGAGTCTCAACATTTCTAAAACTAAAGCTTTGTCCTATAAAAACTCGCTACAGCCTTTTGTACTTTTTTTTCAAGCTCCAGAAGAGAGCTGTTCGATATTCACTGTCCATTCCTGGATATTTCTCAGCTATGACTTCTTCCTTTCTATTCCTTTTCTTCCTTCTATTTTATCTCTCTATTTAGCCTTCTTCAGTCCATTGTTGGACATAGACTTCCCTTAATCTCTTCCACTCTTCTCTGTTTGTTGCCACGTTTATCCATCTTTTGCCTGCATGTTTCTTCAGATCATCCAGCCATCTCATCTGAGGTCTTCCTCAACACTCCTCTTTTTATAAGTGTCCAGGTCTGGGATCTGTAAGTGAGTACAGGGGCTGTACATTGATTATATACTCTGGTTTTGGGTATTGTACATATTTTTTGTTTTTTAATATGTATATTTTTTATGTTTTTTTAATATATGCTTAATTTGCAGAATGCTACTCAGGCTAATCTTACTCGTGGACAGTATATATTCCAATATCGATTTAATTTCTTCATATTTGAAGACAATAATGCGATTTTAGTAGCTAATAAGTTAGTAGAATAAATTTTAACAATAAAAGATCCTTTAATTAGCCACGCCGCCGCCGGCGCCGCCACTGGGTCTTTATTGACCCTATAATTCATTTGATTAAAATAACTAATTTAAATATATTCTGAAATTGGAACTAACTGTACTAAATTTATTACTTAAATTTCTCAAACAAGGTTTCCTATAAAATGAAACATTTCAAAAACGCCCATAAACAAGTGTAAGTATATTACGAGGATATAATAAATATTATCTCATCAGAAAATACTTTGTAGCATTCTCGAAACGCATGCGACCTGTTTAGAATGAACGGTAGTAGAGCTATTTTGCAAAAATTGAAGATAGCAAATTCAGATAATGTCGCGTAAAACAAACGTTATAAATTTAAACATGGCAGTTTATTAAAAGGGTTTTTTGCTTGAAACATGAGTCAACATGGCTAGACAGACCGTCATTTTCTTTCAAGGGTTTTAGTTTCTATGTATGGCATTACTAGTATTTTTTTAAGATTCTTTTTAAAAATAAATTAACCACTTAATACCTGTATTCTTTAATACAAATTAATGCTTTGTTTTCAGCTTAGCAGATGTAAAAAATTTAGTCAATAGGTTATACCAAGCGCTTCATGTCGATGAGCACCAATTAACGAAAGAGAAGGAACTGGCAACGCAAATGGAGACATTGATGCAAGAAATACAACCTTTGGAAGATGTAAGTTTCTTGTGATTTTTTTTGTTTGTTTGAAAAGTATACAGCGTGTCCCTTAAATAAGGGAGTCGTCGAGACGTTTAACATGAATTTAGGTCAAAAATTGGCAAGAAAACGCTTTTTCGGGGTTCCGTACCCAAAGGGTAAAAACAGGAACCCTATTACTAAGACTTCGCTGTCCGTCCGTCCGTCCGTCCGTCTGTCACAAAGGTCTATCTTATGAACCGTTATAGCTAGACAGTTGAAATTTTTACAGATAATGTATCTATGTTGCCGCTATAAGAACAAATACTAAGAACAGAATTAAATAAATGTTTATAAATAAAAAAGTACTTTCACTAAACATTATCTTTTATGTAAGAATTTTACATAGAATCTTTCAAGTCCTCGGTGGCCACGTGGTTAAAGCGTTAGGACTTTACGCTGCTATGACGTTGGAGCCGTAGTAAGGCAGGTTCGAATCCTAGTCAAGGCGACTTTTTTTTAATCGTTTTTTTTTAATTTTACATATTTTTACATATTTATTTTTACATATTTATTATTAATTAATACAATTTTTAGTAATGTGTTTCTTCATTTTTTTTTAAATTACTTATACGCGCATTCAACATTTCAGCTAAATCGGAAAAAGGTTTATAATAATATAGTGTCGTTTGTTGTATTTTTAAGATTTTTTACTTTTTTAATTTTATAGCCAAAGTGGCGTAGAGGTAAAGCTCTCATCTACCAAACCAAAGGTTGTGGGTTCGAATCCCACAGCCGACATTTGATGAGCCGACTATTTTTAATAAAATAAAAATAGTTTGGGTACCTAGGTCGACGCAGCCTTAAATGAGTACTTGGGATTCACAATCCTGAGGTAATAATAGGCGGTTAAAGCGTAGTGCTGGCCACATTACCTTCCTTGTATACCGAACGGCTCTAGCATGGCAAGCTGTACCTTGCTTACTCCCAAGGCGTTAAACGCTATATACGGGAGCTATTATTATTATTAGTTTTATATAAATTTATTTTTTTGCCAATTCTTTCAGAAAAAACTGGAATTGGAAATGGTGGCGCAGAAGAAGAGTAATTGGCTGGCATGGGCCGGACTAGGTCTGATGTCCGTACAATTCGGTATTTTGGCTAGACTGACGTGGTGGGAATATTCGTGGGATATCATGGAACCGGTGACGTACTTCGTGACGTACGGCACCGCCATAGCTTGCTACGCTTATTTCGTACTTACAAAAGAGGTAAAACATTTTTAATTAATTTTATTTTATTGCTTTGGAACTATTAAAACGAATTTAATACTCACCAAATTTTAGAAAAAATTACTTACCAGTATTCTTAAAAATAAACAGAATATATTTTTTTCCATAGGAACTGTTAAAATTCCCTTATATCTATCAAAATTAGTAGATAAAATAGTACTTTAACCGCAAGGGTAGATTAAATGATACTTTAACAGCGAGGATAGGTTAAAAACTTTATTTTTTCTCGCACGTTTTTAAATTACTTCCATTTTTGAAAATTGTTGTAGGCCTTTTCATAAGTTATTCGGGATTTAAATGGAAGTAATTTGGATATGTCGCCTCAGCCTGAATATCTGTTGGTAATTTATTTATTTCGTTTTGAGCCATTTCTGGCTCCAATTCAATCAGCAATCGACACGAAAGAGAATTAAAAAATATTGACTCAAAACTGACAACTAAAGAGACAGCTTTATTTATTTGTCAAATTACATAGAAACCAACGCCAACCCATCACAATATTTTTCTACTCGTAATAAATTCCTTGAAATAATAATTTCTGAATATTTTTTCAAACGTAACTCGCTATGGAAAAAAAATATTGTTTTATACACGACAATAAAATTGCATTATCGTCTCCCGAAATTAATTCCGTTATACAAGACGATAAAATACCATTTTATCGTCTTGTATAAAAAATAACTATTATTTGTTCAGACTTTTTTTTGTTTTATTCCCATCTATATTATAATTCACTGTGCTTTGGCACACTATTTTTTACCTCCTGTATATTAGAGTTCCTCTTTGTTTCATTATTTCCCTGATATTTAACTCCAATATTTCTTTTCAGGAATACATCTTGGCAGACGTAAAAAACCGCCAACATCTACTAACCCTGCACAAAAAAGCAAAAAAACAAGGAGTGGACTTAGACCGCTACAACTACCTCAAAGACGAACTATACAAAGTCGAGTACAAACTGAAAAAACTGAGAAACCCTCTTAAATTGCGCCTTCCCACGAACGCCACTGCTCGAACTGCGCCTACGTCACCGGAAACGACGACATCTAGCGTTGACGCTACGAAAGTATTGACGTCACAACAGCAACAACAAGCACAAAAAACCAGCGAAACGACCAAAGTGATAGATAAGAAATTATAACAATTTTTAAAGAAAATTTTTGAAACTTTTTTCTCTTTCTGCTTTTAGAAAAAAAATCGAAATGTTTAGCTTCGAAGCGAGGATTGTTGAAACAATTTTTTGTACTTTCATAACACGGTAAGTAATAATATAAAGAGGTTAAGAATTTCGTGGATTTTCGAAAACTTAAGCTTCATTCAGAACCTTGAAATTAGTGGTTTTAAATTGTTCCTATATAATTTTAAAGTAAGCATTCAGAAGGTTAAAATTAGTGGTAGTGATTTTCAATCAATGACTAATTTATTTCATTAACTTCGAGCTTCTGAATGAAGCTTAAAAAAGTATTTTTCTCATTCTCTACGCTTTTATAAAGATATTTATTTATTTATTTATTATTGACTAGATTTTTAGGTATTACCAATTATTGTTAAGTTTTTCTTCCAAGTTATATTTGCTGTTTGGATGAACTTATGCTTAGTAAAAGTACAGAATATTAACTATAAATCAAATACTAAGTAACTGTAAGACACTGTTACAGGGTTTTAAAGTAAAACACTGTTATAATGTACCGTGTGATCCAAAAAAACTACGTCACAAAACATATTTTATGGTTGATTTAGACTCGATATTTTATTTGAGTGTCAATATCATTGAAAAAAAAAAGAGACTAAGGATGAAGACTCAAATTCCTAATGATTTGCTGGTTTTGTTTTGCGATGATTCATTCACTTTTAATAGATATAAAACTTGCTAAATATATTTCTAATTAAAATGAATAAGCTAAGATAATTATTTATTAACAAAATTACAGATACGCTACTGAAACTACTTTGTGAAATTCATAAAATTGACAAATGAAACGTCAAACAAAACTAACAAAAGAAAGCAGAATCCTTGTTTAGTCTTTTTATTCAATGGTATACGTGGATAGAAAATGTCACGCCTAGTTTTGCTATATTTTACACTGAAGTTCGGTTGAAGTGACCCAGTGACAACTATTTTTTAGTTATTTGAATTTTTTGTTAAATAAACTACAAGTTATAAAAATATAATAATTATTATTATGATAAAATATTATTTAAATATTTTTATTAAAGTTTTTAATAGTTACACAGTAATATTTTCAAATATCTGTCAGCTATTACTTTGAAGAACTTCAGTTATAGATATAGTAAAGTTCGAATTAATATTTTACATTTTTGCACCTGCTATGACAGTGTTTTTTATTTGACGGTTTTGTTAATTTCTATAATATTGTTTCAGAACGTTTTGACAATTTTTTCTTTCTACTCTGTTTTACTTACATTCGATCAATAATTTTTTTTTAATATTCTATCCAAAATAAATATGTTTTTGGCATAAATATTAAATTTGGTTGATTAAAAACTCAGTAACAATGAGTCCCGATCTTTCACAGAAGTTTGGGTGACCAAAATTCACTAAACTATGTCAAATGTTCTGAAATTCAATATTAGTTAGGTTTTGCGATGGATTGTTAACTGCTCAAATTAGTTACATAAGAGTGAGACTTGAGATTTGATTAATTTATAAAAAATATATTAAATTATATTACTTTTAATAATAATAATTATTATTATTACAAAAAAGATATAATTAGACTCAATTTTTAAATATATTTTTGATTTAAAGTTAATTGATGATACGCCTATGTCACGTGGATCGATGCTATTGATTTTTGATATGGCTGTTTCAGTAGAAAATATACAGAACATGAATATTTTACAAAAGTAATTTTAAAAAAAAAATCGTCTGCAAGAATGAATTAATATTTTCTTCAACGGGGTTGTGCACCCTGTATATCGAAATTTTAAACAAAAATAAATTAAATTTAGAATACATCGCTTTAAAAAATACAAAGATTGCTAAAGCTGCTAGATTTGCGTCCGTCCTTTATACAGGGTGAGTCTTAAATAAGCTCACATATTTTAGGGCTATATTTCGATCCTAAGAACATTTTGTAATTTTCACAACATAGATAGTACATTAAAACTAGAAGAACAAAACCCCAGAAAAAAAATCTAGTGGTTCTGAAAATTTAAGCAAAAAACATTTTTTTTTAATTTTCAAACCAAAATAACTCATTTTCGACTTTTTTGGAATTTAAAAAACGGTAAGGAGAAACTATGTTTCTTTTGTCGAGATTTACCAGCCCTGAAAATAGGTGCAAGTATTTAAGACACACCCTGTATATAAAAAATATTTTAAACCTACTTCCCATGTTGCCAAAGCTTTGAATCGTCAGTTAGAATCAATTTTGAAACAAACTCTATATTTTGATTATCTCTTAATACTTTAGATAGAAATAACGTTTGAATTTTTGTACATAAAACAATTTCATAGAAATTTTCAAAATACTCTTCCTAGGAGCTTTCTATAATATACAAGGTGTTTAAAAACACATCTCTACCTTGCATAGTTTCTTAAAAGCGTTTCAAACAGGAAAGTTGTCTTCCCTTATACACATAAACTCCTCGTAGATTACCAAGCCATATATTACGTTAATTCTTTAAACACTCTGTATATGCACGTTTGTTGACGCACTGTATATTAAGCACACTGCTGTGATTTCGATGCTGTTTTTATACCTCTCTATTGACTCGAAGAACAATCGTATTTTGCATAAACATTTATATTAGATGGATTCAGTAATGTATATGAAAAGAATATATTTTTGTCTATTTCTTTTATTAAATAGTTAGGTTAAATATACTAGAAGGTACAGCATGTTAATAGCAATGGATGTTTGGTTGTTGATTCTTTTCTATATGTCCGGACATTTTAACTGAGCTTATGCTGTATCTTCTCCATATTTAATCTAAGATTAGATCTGTATACATTTAAAAATATGCTCTATTTACAATTTGTTTACAAGACTGAACGGCACGGTATATAATAATTCTAACCAACATTATCCTCAAATTATTTTTTTGCGATTTTGTTTTACTTGTTATATTTTATCAGGGTATTATTCTATAAATGTTATTTCTATATTTTAATCTATCAACTAAATAGTTCTATAAAACTTTACAATAAGATTTTGATCTTGATATATACAGCTAGTGATTTAAGAGGTTAGAATTATGAGATTTTCGTTATAAATTTGATCTTATTTTTATAAATATTTATTCCTGTGTATCATACAGTCCAAATATTATGTTTATTCATGTTTATATTACATTTTTTCTAGTCCCTGTAGTATATATGTCTTTGCAATTCTAACCTCATCAGCCATATGATAGTTTTCTGTTATTTGTCATGTCACTTGATTCTCAAGATCCGAAAAAATATTAAATTTTTATTTAAATGAACTTTTTTTTAAAAAACGAAACAAAGGCTTTTTAAAGAATCGTTACGCCAAAAAAATGGAAAGATCACTTTGTCTTCGTTTTTTTATACAAAATACAATTATTTGAATTAATTGAGATTTTTTAATTTTTTTTTGAAGCGTATAGTTGGTTGTTAAAAAAATATTGGGAGTCTTTTATGCAATATATTATTTGGGATGTGTCCTATTTACATTTCTTGACATATTGTTGATTGTATATAGTATAAATATATTATATTTGTTGCCAAATGTTGTCTTGTTTCATTTAATATACCTCTAAAAATGAGTTAAGTATAAAAGACAAAAATTGTCAAAATTTTTTATATAGATCTAATAAAATTAAAAATAATCATTTTCTTCAAGAATCTCAAACAAAACAGTATCTTTAAATGTTTTAGCTTACTTTCAAATAGCCCCCTGTATATTTTTATTGTAATGCCACAGAATAAATGGGGAAAATCGATATTGAGCCCAATTCCCGCCATATTTTAAAATTGGCGCCAAAAAATAATTGAGGTAGTTTGCTATTCTGATTTTGCTCATTCGGTTGGCAATACATTTGAAAAATTCAAATATTTATCAGCTCTTATTATCGTAAAAAACAAATAAAAAAGTAAATAATATGATTAATTTTTTAGTTATTTTTAGGGCCAGTACTTCTTCCAGTTATGCTAAATTTAATCATGATTTGTCGTAATCATGGCTTAATCAGACCTTTGAATATCAGTTACTTATTTAATCATGTTAGAGACGCTAACACGTCTCGTTAAATCTAATCAAAAAAATGACACTATAAAAACTATAAATTTACAAAAAAGCCAAAAAAACGACGCCAATGAATTGACATAATTTGATGGAATTTTTCGATCGATACATCGGTACCAATAACTAATCCTAAAATCCCTAAGATATACAGTATTGCCAACTATTTCAATGATTTTGGATCGCTCTGTATATTTAAAGTAGATATTTATTCAAATATGAGGCAGAAAATTGTGTTAATAAAGTACTTCAACATAGTTTCTTTTTTTACTGTATTTATTTATGTCACGTTGAAGTTTTGAAATGAAACATTTTGAAAATAATTTAAACAATCATTCTGCAAATCTATTAGGTCTGAATTCTACAGGCAGTTCTAATGAAACATGGGAAGGAAATTCCATAACATCAATTCGAATAATTTGTGGTAGAAAAAATAATACTTTAGTCTGTTATTTTTTCTACATAAAAATTTATTTCAGTTATATTATTGAGGGTAGGGTTCATACTCGTACAAGTAGGAAGTATTCCAGTGGAGAATGTTTACATCATTATATTCAGAAATGTAATTGAAATAGCCGTTGCTATTTTTTCTTATGGGTTCTTGGGGTACTACCTTTCTTTTGGCAGAAAAACTATTCATGGAATTGTAAATTATGATGGATTCATTGGTTTCGAAAACGCTAATCTCAATCTCGCATCGATAGGTATACAAAAAACTTTATTTATGGACTTTTTTATCATTTAAAATATCATTTTTTAGGGTTTTCAGCTTGTATTATTGGAACTGCTTTAACTTCAAGTATGCTAATAGCCAGAGTAAGACAACTACCCTTGTTAACACTCACCATAACTTTGAGCGCAATATATCAACCGATCTTAATCTGCTGGATTTGGAGTCAGTACGGCTGGATGAAGAACTACACATTACTAGAAGAAAAAGTCTCTTTGAAAGACCATGGAGGAAACCTATCAATACATGTCCCAACCTCCATAGTAGGACTTTTAGGAGCAATTTTCCTCGGGAGAAGAATAATGAAAGTACAAGATATCGATCCATTTTCTCTAGGAAAAGAGTACGTCAGCGGTACTGTTTCTGGGTACTTCTTCGTTATGATCGGTTTAATGGGATTTCATCTGCCCATTGATTCTCATACTAGGAAGGACATCAGCAGGATCTCTGTAAATTGCATTATGGCAATGGGTGGAGGTATTCTCACAGTCGCGTTCATTCAAATGGTAAAGTCCAAGGACATATACAAGTACTGGAAGGTCATGAGATGTCTTCAGGGGGGATTAGCGGGTATAGTGATGGTTTCAAGTGGAATAGACCTTTATAATCCAGCTGTTACTTTTGGTGTCTCCATTTTTGGGGCTTTACTTTTCTTTATATCTTCTCTCATTGTTCGTAAATCACCTTTAGAAGACTGTTGTAACATAATTAGTGTTTATCTAGTTTGTGGCACTTTCGGTACTCCAATTCCAGCGATATTTACCAAAAATTCTGTAGAGGTAATTCTAATTCATGTGCTTTGGCAACTTATTTGTCTGGGGACTGTAATAGTAGTAACATGTGTGGTGTTTGTCATACTTTTTTGTTTCTTCACTTGCTGTGGTGTTCTTAAGAACGATTTTGAAGAAGTCAACCACGAAAGGGCTAATATATTGTATGGAAGACTGAATTGGAGAAGCTATTACGACAAATTGTTTGCGTCAAGTAAGAACAAAGAAATATCGCCGAATAGTAACAGGAGTGAAATGACTCAAACATTCAATATTTTTTAATCATTATTCTTATTAAAACTATTTATATTTTTCGTGTTTTGGTACAGATTATCAACAATGGAGTCCTTTGCTTCGCACAAGTTTTCCTAGCCATTAGATGTGGAAATGTAATATTAATATAGAATAACACATCTAAGATATTTATGTTTCATTATGTCCAGTTATCTTATTCATATAATGAAATTTTATCAAAATCATTATAAATTCGGAAAGACGATCAACGAAGTAGTAGGTAACCATTTTTCCAAATGGATTCATAGTATACTACACCTCACTAAGCAGATAAAGCATAGATGAAGTTGTAAAAATGCCACATTATTTGTTGGTTTCGAAAATGCTAACTTCAATCTTGCATGGATAGGTACTACAAACCAGAAATACTTTCTCTTTTAATATAATTTTTGTTTTAGGTTTTTCAACTTTAACTTCAAGCATGTTAATATGTAGCTAGTGTAAGACAACTACCTTTGTTAACACTCACCATAATTTTGAGCGCAATATATCAACCGATCTTAATGTACTGGATTTGGAGTCAATACGGCTGGATGAAGAACTACACATTACTAGAAGAAAAATTCTCTTTGAAAGACCATAAAGAAAACTTATCAATACATGTCCCAACCTCAATAGTAGGACTTTTAGGAGCAATTTTCCTCGGGAGAAGGACCATGAAAGTGCAAGATATCGATCCATTTTCTCTAAGAAAAGAGTACGTCAGTGGTACTGTTTCTGGATACTTCTTCGTTATGATTGGTTTAATGGGATTTCATCTGCTCATTGATTCTCGTACTATGAAGCACATAAGCAGGTTCTCTGTAAAGGGTGTCATGTCAATGGGTGGGGGTATCTTACAGTCGCGTTCATTCAAATAGTGCTAAGCTAACACCAATAGTAACATGAAAATATTCCTCTTTTACTATTTTTTAGAATTTTTTTTCTGGATTTTAGACACTATCAATAATTTTGAGTCTGTTAATGATCAAAGTCTTTACACTATATTTTTTACTACTCATAGTAGCCCATGTTCAGGAATCTTTATGGATAAATATCCATTATTTTTACTGGGGTAATCCTTGGAAATCCATTGAGAATTTTGTCCTTAAAAGCTATACTATAACTGTGTCATTATCAGCTCTATTGAGTTCTTCTGCCAGTCAATTATTGTACCACAAAATATATAGATAGAATTTCAGTCCATTGAGTCATGGTAATATCTATAGTAAATAGTGATGGTCAGCTCAAAAGTTTTTGATAATTATTTCTTAATTGGAGTTGAAAAGAAAGCACTCTTATTAACACAATTGGATGGAGAATTGTCATAGTGTTGATATTCCTCTTCCCATTACTTCTACAGATTTTTACTGTATTCCTTAAGTTAACAGTGCGCCATCTAAAACACCAGAGAATTTCAACAGTATCAGTGAAAAAAATGAAATTTTTATTCGTCGTCTTTGGAACAAGTTGTAACAAACTGTTATAAACCAATAGTTAAAATAAACCTGGCCATGGTTAAAATAAACCTGGCCTAATTCAATGATCTGTAGCTAAACGTAAAATTCAAACATGTTAAAGCAAGATAGACAAAAAGGGGCAGATATTTTTCTATGCAGTATTGCCAGATTTTGTTTCTTTGCCAAGTGTTTCACCTTTAATTATATTGTACATTTTCTATTGGTGATCGTGATTATTTCTAACTATAGTTTACCTTTAATTATGCATACCCCAGATAGGAACCGCAATGCTGCATTTCCTTGTATCCCTGTCTATCAATTGGTTATTACTTAAGTTAGATTATATCTCTATCTTACTCACTAAAATACAGATCACTAATTTAGAATGACCTATCCATTATACAATAGTATTTTCTTCAAATTATCTCCTGTAATGTAAAAACAAATTTAAAGAGTATTTTGCTAATATATTATTTATTTGTTCAATATACAGTGGCTAACTGTAATTCATATTTGCAGAATATAAAATGTAAATACTCATAAAAATGGGCTACCATCTAAGTAATTTATTTAAAAGTATTAGTATTGGTTTATTTTGTAAAATTTGGGACAAGATAAAAATTCGAGACAGACAGTTTAAAAAAGACGTTCTGTAAAATATGAATTATAGTTATGTCATATAGATAAAAGATAACAACTGATACAAAATGAATTAAACATTTTTAAATAACTTGTATTTTACAAAAATAAGAAGAGATTCTATCAATATACATATATGTATTGTAAGTTTACAATATTAAAAGTTGTGAATCTATATAACAAATGTATTTCTTTTGTATTATTTACAACCAAATATTTTTTCGAATATACAAGACTATCTTCAAGTGAGTTGTAAAACGAAAATCATTATTTCCAACTTACAATACTATATAAAAGATATGAGTTCAATATATATTCCATATATCAAAAAAAACTACTAATGTAAAAGTCTTAGGGTCTGTAAAAAATAAGAATAACAAAATAATTAAGTAATCATAATCAACAAAATATAAAATAGTTTTGCAGAAATAATACATAAGAACCCTATTCATATTTAGTAATCCTTTCCATCTATAGGTACATTACACTTGTAACAAATAGCTACAAAGTATTCTTGACAAAACAAACATAACCTGTCCCCTCAATGCTAACTTACGAATAGCTCGATTCCTAAAGTTTATATCTACAGTCTCTGTATTCTTACTTAACGGAAAAATAATATTAAAATCCTCTGCAGTCTCTACATTAACCTTACTTTCCTCGTTCAGAATTAAAAACGGTCTGGTTGCCGTTATTTTTCGTTTGAATTCTTCGAAGTCTGTTATAACTTTGGCTGATTTTATTTTTTTATCTCCTGATTCCTTAGTTAGATTTGGTTTATTTAACATGGCGTTATTTATATTCATATCGACGTATGACGGATTAATTTTATATGGTACATTGTTATATAGTACAGTAAAGTTCGAGTCATCTTCATAGGAGTCAGGATTATCTGAAGGTTTTTTTCCTCTTTTTATGTGCGTGAAACTAGTTCGCACATTCTTTTTCGATTTCGGTCGACCCCGCCCTCTTTTTTCAAGTCCCGACTTCAGAAATTCGACCTTTTTCATTATCAACAGATCACTGTCGTACTGGGAATTTTTGGAATTCTCCAAACTTTGTTTCTTTTTTCGTTTAGCAATTTTTATTTTCTGTTGCAACATAAGAAGGTCAAAATAATTGCTATGTATAACATTATGGTATCGGTGAACTATGGCACTATACTTTTTCCTGCATTCAGCTGTCTTGTTTTGTTCAGACTCAGAGAATCCTCGTAACATATTATTATCATTTTTCACCAGAGTATTGTTAGGTTGTATTAATGTTTGATTTATTTTCCTATATTCAATTGACTGGTATTTTACAGATTGCTCGAATCCTTGAATGTCATTGGAAGCTAAAGGATCATGAGATTGTATCGATGAAGTATTGATATCTGGCCCTATTTGGTACAATGGATCTGTAAATGTGTCAACAGACACAAAGTAATATCTTTTTTTGTCAAAAATTTTTTCATATTGACTTAAATTGGATATATGAACGAATTTCTCATCTCTCAAAATATTTTCATTTAGAGTAGGGTCATTACTAGGTATTGTAGGTAGAGGTTTTTCATCTTTTGCCATACTTCTATTTACAACAGAAGTGTTACTAGGTCTTGTAGGTGGAGGCTGATTTTTGAGGTCATTTCTTGATATAGTTTTAGTTATAATAGCAGTGAAATTTGGTCTTGTAGGTGGACATTGAGCATTTCTTGCATCATGTCCAGTTATAAGAGGATCAATACTAGATATTGTAGGTGGATGTATATTATTTATTTCATTATTTCCAATCATTAGAGGATCAATACTAGGTTTTGTAGGTGAATATTGATTATTTCTTGCATTATGTCCAGTTATAAGAGGATCAATACTAGGTCTTGTAGATGAATTTTTATTATTTCTTTCATTATTTCCAATTATTAGAGGATCAATACTAGGTCTTGTAGGTGAATGTTTATTTCTTTCATTATTTCCAGTCATTAGAGGATCAATACTAGGTCTTGTAGGTGTATATTGATTATTTCTTGCATTATGTCCATTTATAAGAGGATCAATACTAGGTCTTGTAGGTGGATGTTTATTATTTCTTTCATTAGTTCCAGTCAGTAGAGGATCAATACTAGATCTTGTAGGTGGATGTTTATTATTTCTTTCATTATTTCCAATCATTACAGGGTCAATACTAAGTCTTGTAGGTGGATGTTTATTATTTCTTTCATTATTTCCAATCATTAGAGGATCAATACTAGGTCTTGTAGGTGGATTTTTATTTTTTCTTTCATTATTTCCAATCATTAGAGAATCAATACTAGGTCTTGTAGGTGGATTTTTATTATTTCTTTCATTATTTCCAATCATTAGAGGATCAATACTAGGTCTTGTAGGTGTATATTGATTATTTCTTGCATTATGTCCAGTTATAAGAGGATCAATACTAGGTCTTGTAGGTGATTTTTTATTATTTCCAATCATTAGAGAATCAATACTAGGTCTTGTAAGTGGATGTTTATTATTTCTTTCATTATTTCCAGTCATTAGAGGATCAATACTAGGTCTTGTAGGTGTATATTGATTATTTCTTGCATTATGTCCAGTTATAAGAGGATCGGTACTAGGCCTTGTAAGAGGATGTTTATTATTTTTCTCATTATTTGCAGTTATGAGAGGATCAATGTTAGGTCTTGTAGGTGGATACTGATCATTTCTTGCATCATTTATAATTACAAGAGGAGGAATACTAGATTTTGTAAAAAGATGTTGATCATTTCTTTCAATATTTCCAGTTGTGGCATCAGAAATTATATTCCTTGCATTATTTCGAAATACAAGAGGAGGAATACTAGATTTTGTAGGTGTATGTTGATTATTTTTTGGAATATATCCATTTACAATATCAGCAACAGTAAGTCGGGTAGGTAGATATCGATTATTTCTTGCATTATTTAGAACTGCAAGAGGAGGGATACTAGATATTGTATGCGGATTTTGTTCATTTCTTGTACTATTTCCTGTTACAATATCAGCAGTACCAGGTCTTGTAGGTGGATACTTATCATTTTTTGCAGTATTTACAGTTGCAAGAGGATTAATACTAGGTCTTGTAGATGGACACTTATCATTTCTTGCATTATTTCCTGTCACAATAGAAGAAATTCTAGGTCCTGTTGGACGTTGATCATTTCTAGCATTACTTCCAGTTACATTAAAAATATTACTAGGTCTCGCAACTGGATTTTTTTTTAATTTCTTATTTTTAGGTCCTTCAGGTATATCACTTTTACGCTTTGGAAAATCATCATCATCATCTGAATCTATGACAATAGTGCTTATAATTTCGTTAGTATTATATCTTTTTATCGCAGGACCATTCATGGCTAAAACAAAACACCTTTAAGTCAATACTTATGGTTCATTAAAAATCAATAGTATATTTACCTTAAAAGTAGTAGCAATCAAATTTTTAGTTCTTTGGCAATGACCCTTGGTCCAAATTTTGAAAAGTTACGTACAAACTTAATATTGCACTAAAATATAGTTTAATTACTTGACACAGGATTGAATAACATAAAATACTCACCAGTTAACACTGTTTATGAAGAATAAACATTTTATGACGATCCATGATTAGTGATGTCTGGCAGAAACATTAAAATTTTCCATTGCATTTAACATAGTTGAAATATGTTATAAAATATATTAGTAACTTACTGCTAATAAATTTTGCTAAAAGAACTCAACGATATCTGTTTGAAAACTATAGGTTTTGTAAAATATATTGCTTTGTATGATTTTTTACGAGTATGTCCTTCCGGCTTCCGGTCCCTTCCTGCTTTCTGCTTCTAATTTTGGCTGCACTGAAAATTTGACATTTGATAATTTTATTTAAAATCTGGAAATTTATTCTTAATAAAAAGAAAGAAATATTTAGTATAGTTAGAATCATTTGATAATCTGTTATGATATACTTTAGTAAATAAATACATACCTATCATTTTCTAAATGCATTTTATTAATAAAAAATAATTATTAGTTCATATTCGTATAGAACTTCATGTACCAAAGCTACCAACGTAAATTAGTTAAACACATAAACACACAATGACACACAATTAAACAGAAAATTGTGGTCCTGTCGTGTAGTTTAGAAAATGCTTTTCCCAAAATCAAAATGAATTTATTTTTAGTTTTTATGTATTTAAAGTCATTAGTTGAATCTTAATTTAAATTAATAATTAGAAGGAGAAGTAATCCATAAAACCAAAAAATATTCAAGATAACCTAACTTTTACAGGAGACATTGAAGATACAGAGGTAAAAATGCTAAAAAATCTATTATTAAAGCCTTCAATGTTAAGGTACTGCCTTAGAAAGGTGAGAATAAGTCTATATTTTTATCTTTTTGTGTATTTTAACATCTACCTTTTTAGTTTAGTTCAGAGAAACAATATCCAAAAAGGATATTTTCAGGCATCCAACCAACCGGTTCTATACATTTAGGCAATTACTTAGGAGCGATAGCTCAGTGGATTAATCTTCAGAATAACAACGAGGATCTGATTCTGTGTATTGCTGACTTACATTCAATCACTCTTCCACATGTATTATTATATAAGTCACTTAATTTATTTGAATTAAATAGAAGTCACAGTGTTTTAGGAACCGGAAAATCTGTCTAGGAATATAATTGAGCTAGCTGCTACGTTACTGGGCTGTGGAATTGATCCAGAAAGAACAATTTTGTTTCAGCAATCGAATGTGCCAGCTCACGCAGAGCTGTCTTGGTGTTTGGGCTGTATTTCGACAATGGCTAGGTAAAATCTAGTTTAGTTTATGTTATATGAAATAAATATGGTTTGATGTTGTTTTAGATTAGCTCACTTGCCTCAGTACAAAGAAAAATCAGCTAGTTTGAAGGATATTCCTTTGGGATTGTATATTTACCCTGTTCTACAAGCGGCAGATATTTTAACATATAAGTATGTGTAATATTATTCTGTGTATTTGATATATTTAATAAATTTTTGATAATAGGGCCACTCATGTACCCGTTGGAGAAGATCAGATACAGCAAATACAGTTATGTCAGGAATTAGCCAGGATGTTTAATAATCGATACGGTCAGACATTCCCTATTCCACACACATTAATAACATGTAGGTTGGGTTTGTTATTATATTGTTCTTAATTTTTGGCTGTTACTCAATTATGAAAAATTTACTTTTGAATATATGTAGGTCTGTCATTTTAATTCAAAAGTAACTAAATTTTTGGATAATATCTATCAAAATCTACACGTAGGTTTTTATATTTTATTATACATTATTATTAAAATTATTTTGGGTATTCTCTATTACTTATGGAGGGTAGAGATAAGGAGAAACCTATGGGTTTTTATTTGAAAAAGCGATCACTAAAAATACTAAGATGGGAAGAATAAGAGTTCACTAAAGTACCACAGTGGTGCTAATAGCAGTTATAAATAAAGTGAAGTTAGTTAAAAAGAGAGGCAACAAGCGCCTGCAGAAATCATATTTATCTCATTTATTAAATTATTTCCTGTTCTAAAAATTTTTGGCACTCTTGTCAAATGTAGAAATTTTGCTATAGCAGCGCCATCTTAAGTCTTCCCTCTTTTATGACCACTTTTCATTACACAAAGATATTTCTCCTTACCTCTACCCTTCATACTATTACTCTATTTTGAATCCATCATCTTACTTCAAAAGTAAATAGTTTCTTCTGTCTACTTTTGTTGATTATGTCTGTCAAAATGGTTCCAGCTTTTTTTCTTGATATAATGAACTTTTATACAATTTTTAATCTCCGTTTTACCATTATGATCGCTTTTGGCCCTCGATAAGGTCATAATGAAAAAAATTTGTGATAAAAAGTAAGACTGTTGTAATGGATTTTAATTATTTTTTTCATCTCCTATTTTACACTCTAAACTAAAGGAATTATTTAAAAAAAGATTTTGTACTTTTTACTGATGATGTTACTCCAGGAAATATGCAATCTACTAGACTAAATAGTAACGATTTTTCATTCAAACTTGTATTCTGATTTTTTTAATAATCTCTTTGTTGCATTAACTAATGCCATTTAAATGAACTTTCTGCACATGTTTTTGCTTCTAAAATAACCACTTTCACCTACTTAGGGGATGAATTTTCCAAAAATCGCTTCTTAGTACTCAATTGCATTACTTGAATTACCTTTATACGAAAATTTGTTCTTTTATGACACACAATTGGTCCATTTTGGATTTCAGTTTCAGTTGGATTTCATTTTTATATAATATGTTACTGTAAATATCCGAAATGCGGTAAAACCTAGGATTTACCAAAACCAACCAACCCCACCAAATAACCACCTAACCAATGCATTAACACCCCCCAAATAACCAGGCTAACCAATGCATTAACACCCTCCAAATAACCAGGCTAACCAATGCATTAACACCCTCCAAATAACCAGGCTAACCTAATTAGTTAATGCTTTTGGTAAATTCTAGGTTTAGCGCGCTTATCCTAGGTTTTACCGCATTTTGGACATTTACAGTAACGTATACATTATTATAATAGCTGTTTAATCTATCCAACCAGAGATTCGTGACAGTGACAGTGAAGTCTGTCATTTTAATTCACAGTTAAATTGTATTTTCTGTCATATTTTGGATGTTCTCTGTTGAAGTCTTCTCCGACTCATTGGACAAACTATACATGTCCTATAAGGGTTGATTGAAATGGTTATAAAGATTACTCACGCTTTTTGATTCCCTTTTTTAAATAAATAATAAGGTCATCTAATGTCAATAAGCTTGGGGAAGTCAAAGTTGTAATGTTTTATTATCATTTTTAAATAAAGTGATGTTTTATTTTAGCTAGCGAGTATGGTAGGATAAAGAGTTTAAGAGATCCATCAAAGAAAATGTCGAAATCCGATCCGGATGCCAAAAGTAGGATATGTTTGACAGATAGTATTGATGATATTGTTTCGAAAATTAAGAAAGCAGTTACAGATTGCACATCACAGGTTAGATATGACTTTGCCTGTATCTATCTGTTTTTAGTTAACCAACTTGGCAAGTTTCTTTAAAAATATATTTACAATTTTGGAAACTAGAGAGACTAACTTTCAGAATGAAAACATTCACTTGTATCTGAATAAATATATGACATTCTACGCCAAAAAGATAGATAATTAAGAAGATTTATAAACCGTCAAATTCAACATGTCAAATATATTTCGAAAATTCTTAAAAACCTTAGTTTTGAGCATGCGCAAATTAATTATAAGCGATACCCATTAAACTTTTGGTTACGTAATCGAAGGCGCGATTTTTAAATCCATTGTTGCCAACCATGGACGTATTCAGCCCCAGGCTGACTAACTGGAATTTAAATTTCCCGCTAGGGATTCAGGTGGTAGCTCTGCTGTAAAAAATGTCAAGTTGCCACATTTATTGATTTATTTCCATATACATATAACTATATATACTCAGTGTTCCCTATTTAACCCCGTGTGCTGTTTCCGTGCCGTAAGAAAAAGACAACATAACTCGGCTCCATATTAATGCTGCATAAGTCTATTTCACCCGGATATCGATTGAACTGCGATTGCGCCAAACTCCGATTGATTGTTGTTTTAGTTCTGTTTGGATTACTTTTTATTTGTGCGTGTAAAAGAGTGATTTTGTTTAGTTTATTGTTTCCAACTATTTTTTGATATTTTTCCAACTCCATGATAATGTGTTATAAATAATAAAAATATAAATAAAATTGAAGGTTAGGTGAAATATCAGTCAACCACTTCCCTTTAAAAACACGGACCAATGAAAACTTCTTCAGGTAAGGCATGCGCAATTAAGTGACTATCCAGGTGAAATAGACTTATGCAGAATTCCATATTTCTCTTTCACTGTTTGGACTTCACTTTTTAGAGATTAGGCTGAATATATAAAGTTATATGTATATGTTTCTTTCCTGACATTGTCATTCGTTTTGACACTTTAGTTTTGTATATAACCAGGGACGCGCCAAGTATTTTCGGCGCCGTCGTGCGAAATAAGGGTAGGCGCCTTTCTCCAATATTATAATATTAAGCCAAAATTTCCAATGACCAGCGGCGCGGCGCTCGACATTGGTGAATAATATATTGTTACGTTTTTCGTCGGTTCCGTGTGGATAGAAAGTCACAATTTATTTAAACACAATTTATTTAACACTAATTAACAAAAACAATAACGATAAAAGACTTAAAGAACTATTTCAAATGATTTATAACTATTTATCTAGAAAGAATTTATTTTGAATTTTAGCGCGTCAACTGTACTCGTCTATTTATGTCTGCCCTCTTTAGGCCCCAGCCGTCGGCTTTTATACCCACAGCTAAAGATTTCTCGAATAGTCCATAGATCGTTAGGTGCATAGAGAAGGTTTCGATTGTTCTCGTATGTACTACTCCATTCCAGTGGAACTCGATTCTTCTCGAAACTTCGAATGAATCATTAGGGTGTCTATTCTTTAATGCGATGTTAAGGTCATCTGAGAGCGGGACATATAGTTAGGTTAGGTCGAGTCCACACGGGTCCGCAACAATATGTTCACCACTAGCGTTCATAGATAAAAGTATTACTTAAATTTTATGTTAATTTGTTGATAAGTTCCAAAAAATGGTTTTATTATTTTTTAAAGTCAGTGACCGCAGGCGCCTCTAGGGCTTTGGCGCCGTCGTGCGCCGCACGACCTGTATATAACGAGTTTTTTGTTTAAATGAATTGTATTGTGATAACTTTAAGCTTAAAAATGTTTATTAGCAGACCTTGCAGTCGAACATTGTTCTTTTTAGAACCTCTTTCATTCCGAAGTGTACAAGATAGCTTAATAGCCGTTGCAAAAAACTCATCGCAACTTTATTAGAATGTTTTGAACGGGAAATCAGTAGTAATGGCCCTCTATGTCCCTTAAGTGCTTTTAGGGAGGTGAGTTTTGTTGATGTAAATAATAACTGTTTATATACACACACCGGAAAAATCTAGGAATATCATTTTATTAAAGTTAAAAATAAATGTTTTGAATAAACAACCACATATTTGTAGGCCGATTCTCTCTACTTCGATTGAAACGAAGTAGTCACACTAGTTATTTCTAAATTTGGGATATTTGCAGAAGTGTTTGTGCATTTTTTGTCAAATGTATAAAAGGCACCTAGCATCAATTGTTCGAATTTAACCTGTACTGGCTATGTTTTTATGATAACTGGCCAGAATTCATTCAAATAACTCTGTTTAGTATTAAACGGCATTATGGAGCGTAGACATCTTAACAGAGGAAATGCTAAGGGCCATGGGTATGCTCGAAGCTGGAATGCGCCAAATCGACGTAGCTAGAGCATTAAATACAACGCAAAGTGTAATATCGCGATTAAGTGCACGCTACCGTGAAAGTGGTGATGTTGCTGAAAGGCACACAGGGCGACATCGCATTACTACCCCTCAGCAAGATCACTTTTACAATTAAATGCTCGACGCGGACCGACTCTTACAGCACCAGAGCTTAGTTTAATTCTCCAGGAAACACATAATGTAACCGTTAGTCCTGACACTGTTCGCAATAGATTAAGAGAGGTCAACTTAAGAAGCAGACGCCCCTGGAGAGCTCAATCCTTAACGAGATGAAATCGAGAGGTACGATATTTGTGGGCTCAAGATCATGTTCAGTGGTCGAATGAACAATGGGCCAATGTTCTCTTTACGGATGAGTCACGCTTTGGAATTCATCCGGATTCGAGAAGGCTTAGGGTATGGAGAGAACCGGAAAATCTTATTCGGTTGGATCATGTTCAGTAAGTGCACCCTTATCAAGGTGGAACAGTTATGGTCTGGGGAGGAGTCCAGTTAGGCCGAAAAACCGATCTCGTTTTTCTTGAAAGGTTTCTAACAGGAATCACATATCGTGATTTAATTCTTGAGCCTGTCGTGTTACCATATGCCAATGATTTTGGGAGAAACTTCATCTCCATGCATGACAATGCACGGCCTCATACAGCCAGAGTGGTAAGTGAGTTTATCAATGCTCATCAATTAAACATCTTACCCTGGCCGGCACAATCTCCTGACCTCAACCCCATCGAGCACGTATGTGACGCGGTCCAAAGAAGAATTTTGAGAATGGGTATGCCTCGTGCCTCGTAGGGATCTGGTTCGGGCCGTGAATGCAGGGTGGTAGGCTGTACCTCAAGAAGAGATCGACAACCTGAACAGGAGCATGGAGAGACGATGTAGGGCTGTAATGAACAGTAGAGGAGGCACATACCCTTTATTAAGTAAAAATGGCTTTATCTTTTTTTTAATTCACAGTTTAGAATTAAAAAAAATGTGTGTATTTTTTTGAGTTCAATAAAAATCAAGGTAAATTTGAAAAATTCGGTAAATTTCGCATTTTTATTTCCAATACGTCCTGTAAACTATTTGTTTATTTTAATTTTAGTATATCAGAAATGCAAATATAAAATTACTGACGATGGCTGGATAAAATTGTAATATCCCTAGACTTTTCCGGTGTGTGTATTTATAATTAATTTATTTTTGTCACCTATAATATTTTGATTGAAAAAAAATATGTAAAAGTGGGCAACGCTGTACCGGTCAAGCTTAATCACGTGACTAAAAGTTTATTTGGTATGATCAGTAGGTATTGGCATTAACCCTAAGAATATAAAATATCCCATTATTCTTAGGACTTGTTAGGAGTTATATGCCTAATATTAAGAATACGGTATTTGATGATAATGAATTCATCTATATTCATTCAAATTCTTGAGATTAGGACTAATATTAGTGTTCCATCGGAAGTAGACTTTGAATCCATGGCTACATTTCAGTTTTATTTTTCTGTAGGTTACTTATAATCCAGATGAGAGACCGGGGGTGTCCAATCTCATAAGCATACACTCTTTTGTTACTAAAAAATCAGTAGGTGACATTTGTAGAGAGGTGGAAGGCTTGAACACCGGACAGTTCGTTTAATACATCTAAAAAATGTCTCGTATAATAATTTGTTAATTTTTAGATATAAAACAGTGGTTGCTGACGCAGTTGTGTCATATGTAAAGCCCATACAAGAATCAATAGCTCGATATATTAACGATCAGGGATATTTACTAGAGATATTAAATATCGGGAAAAACAGAGCGTCGGAAATTGCCAATGAAAATTTGAAACAAGTTCACGAAAATTTAGGTTTAAAAGTGCCACTGAAAGACAGGAAAAAGATACCGTTCCTAAAATTTTAATGAAATTTTAAAGAATTTTTTTTTGGTAAAAATTTAGTATTGTTGATTTTATTATTTAAAATATTTGTAATATATTGTGCCCTTCTTCTAATTAGCACTGATGGGGCAGTGTGTGTAGTTTTTATTGATGATACCATAAATGCAATAAATATGTTTATTGCAATAAATAAATAAATTAAGATAGAACTATATTAAATATATGATTTAAAAAAAATATATATTTATTTACTCTAAGTTTATTTATTATCATTGTTTACATAAAATTCAACTAACTAAATGTGTTGTCAAACTGTTTTTAACATTTTAATTAAGAATTTGGTCTTTAAAACACTAATATAAGCTCTGAAAGAAAATTGCTGTAATTCAAATTATTCGGCGAACCCGCGAAACCGATTGCAGCGCCGAATTATTGAAGTGGCATTTTTTAAAACTACATTGATAGGTGGCGCCATCAATCGTTAATTAACGAAACTGTATTGCCAATAAAAAGTTTTCTGTAATAACTAGGTGACATCTAGCGAAAACTAGTAGTATGTATTTTAGATAGAGTTCTGTAACAGATCGACTGTTGTGACATCTATTGGAAAATAATTATATTGTTATATTTTATAATTAAATTAAAGAAATCTACTTTTTTGTGGTCCCTAAAAGTATTTAATCAGAGCCATCTATTATATAGATTTAACACCATAACACGTGCATAACACTTTTTCAAATTTTAACCAAAAGAAAGTGACATATGCCGGCCGGTCTTGCGGGGTTTTCAAAATTTAGCTGGAAAAAATGATTTTATTGTGTAATATTTGTTCATAAACTTTTCCTAAGGCTCTGCTCGAGCCCCTGTAATAGTAAGTACCGTTTATTTCATGCTATTTTACGTATTTTCTGATCTTAAAAGTTTTTTATTATCACCAACCATCATGGGGACTCTTCGTATTTAACAGTATTTTTAGGTAATATATTGTTTAGATACTTTCTTTTATAATTCCCTAATGAAAAAATGATTAAACATTACTACATAATTGAAAGTTTAAATACAAATTACAATTTCTTTTTGTATTAGCATTGTCTTTGTTTTTTTTTGCGCTTATAATCTCATCATTGAGACTGAAGATTTTTTCAGATATTATTAAGTTTTCTATGTCTACTATATTATTTTCTATGTTTTAACATCATAAAATACATTCTTTAAACGTCTGGATATGTTTTATTCTAAATATTTCATTATTTATGGCATAGTATAGAGTATTACATAATGTTTTTTATCGTTCCGATTTTTTCTTAAACTGCGCATTTAGAAATAACATGTTATTTTAGTTGTATTTTGTATTGTTGTTTAGTTTTAGGAAAGGTAAATACGTATAGTTAATAATATTTTTAGATATATTAGCCAGGAAAAAATCTACTAACTGAGGAATTTGTTTTTTTAGTCTAGTTTTTCAAATCTTTTTCATATAGTAGGTAAAAAACATAGGTAAAAAACTTTGTGTTGATTTTTAAATGTCTGTATAAGGGTATTAGCCTTAGTCACATTGTTCCAAAAGACTGCGGATATTTTATATAACCATTAAAAATTACTATAAACAAATATGTTTTCTAGATGTGGAACACTAATTTTTAATAGAAGATTGTGATTTTTGAGTGTCCTAAATATGTTTTTTATTTTGTTTTAGACATGTTAATAATAACACACACGAGTACACAGTCATCATGAATCCTTTCACAGAAGAGGAGATGGAGTGATCTCAGATGAGGCAGCTTAAATTGTGATCGGAAGTGACTGGTGAGGTTTAATCATTGACCAAGGATTAACTCTAATGCTGGAAGGTAAATAAGCATCGAGAGACAAAGATTTATGATAATGGAGGCCTTATAATAATAGTTCAGCTCTATCTGCAACTGCAACTTCAAAATTAATTAAAGTAAGTCTTATTTTTTTTAAATATTTTATAGAAGAAATTATATCTCTCATAGTTTTTATTTTATATTTTTTCCACATTATTAAATATAAATAAAAATCTGCATGAAATTGAATTTAGTTCTTAATTTTACTGGTTGCCTACCTAATTTTTTAAAAAATTAAAGTTAAATCCAAGATCAAATTATAGCGTTTACTTTTAAATATACATTTTAGATTCATCTACTACTGTTTTAATGTATTTACTTTGCAAATTTTGATCTAGTAGATCTCAAGAAATACTATGACTCCTCAAAAAAATAGTACTTTATTGTTTGTTTTTTTATTTAAGAAATGACAACCATGAAGTTTTTTTTTGAATTTTCAAGATTATACAAGAACTTTGAAAAGCATTGTCAAGAATTTTTGTGGCAATTAAATGAGTTATTTGAATGAGATCTAATCCACAAAGTGATACAAGTACTACTTCACAGATACAACAGAAGATGTGGATATTATAGTTCAGTTACAGTTATATATGAAACACACATAACTCAAGGTAAATCTGAAAATATTCCTGCTAAAACTACAGTATAAATAAAAAATAAATAATATTCTTTTTATGCTATTTACAAATTATGAACACAATATACACCATGCAGAAACAAAATACACTATACATTACTTGTAATCTTATTAGTGTCTCGGTTTTTTGCATAAATTTAAGCTAATAATTTTGTTTTGTTACAGATTTGGAACTTTCAATGTATCACGCAGCAAACTGATCTATAAATAATATTCAATTCACTGTATTTCTATAAGTCTTATTGTTTGGTAAAATATGCTGTTTATTTAGAATTTTCCTTCATGTTGTTTATGGTTAAATTTCATTTTTCTTTAATAGCTTGACTTCTATATTTTGTCCCCATTGTGGGAACAATAGCACCATTTATGGATTCTATAAAATATTCCATTGACTGTATTTCTATGTCTTTTTTGTTTGTATTTTTTTCTTATGGTGTCATTTTTCTAATATTTTTGCTTTGTTGTAATCTGCAGTTTATTCCTGCTAAATATTAGCAGTTCCTTTGTTGTTCTAGAGTTATGTCCGTGGATTTAGGCCTTGTTATGCCTGTACCCCTGTTTGTTTCTCCACTGGATAGTCTCTTTTTCCCTGATCCAGAGTTTTACTATTTATTACATTTGGGTATTCCCATTACTGGCTCTAGACCAAGATACAATTCCAATGATCCTTGTTTTGATAATTCATCAGTTGTTTTGTAGTACTTTCATTTCTCTATAATACTTTGCCTCCCATGTTTTCTTTATTGTGAAAATAATATCATCATTCATTGCTTCTGTAAAATATTCCATGGATTGTATGTCCATAAGTCTTCTTTTATTTGTATTATTTTTCTTATGATGTCATACTTCTAATACTTTTTTGCCTGTGTAATTTCTTGCACTGAGTTTTAGTTTTGATGAATTTATTTTCAGGCCATCTGTTTCAGATTATATGCCATGAATTGCTATAATTTTACGGTTCCTGTTGGTTCGGTTTGTCCGTGTTTAAATATAATTTAAACACACCATAACATAGTTAAAAACAATCTCAAAATAAGGATTAATTTCCTATCAATTCCTGGCGCATTTGCCATTTATTAATAATCTTGACTTGTCCACAGAGGATGTCATTTCTGGCTCTTCTACCATTTTTTCCAATGAATTTTTCTGAATAATGTCGACTCCAGAGCATGATAGCTAGCCTCCCCGCAAAAGAGGAGACCCGGGTCGCCCCCTAACCCTGATGTTCGGGCATCGATGACCTATGTAGCATGCATAGGTACCCAAGGGAGTCACCACCCTCTGGTTTACGAGCTAGGTGTTCTAACGCTAGAGGCTTCGGCCGGATACGACCTGGCACCCAAGCTCCGAGACTTCTTCGTGCACGTATTCCGTGACCCTCGAAGAGGCAGGGGGCGGGATATCGGACACATTGAAGATGATGAGGGGGGTCCGCCTGTAGGGGGTCCCGGTGGATGTCCGTCCGACGGGTGACGAGGTCGACCCGAGACGAGGCTGCTTAGCTGGGATGGGAACTGACTGGTGAGGTTTAATCGTCGGCCAAGGGTTAAATCGGATGAGGGGGGACGAACTTGATGCTCTGGAGGATATCTTTTTTGTTTGTATTTTTTTTCCTTATGTCATTTTTCTAAAATTTTTGCTTTGTCGTTGTAATCTGCACTTGACAGTAGGTCCATAAGTCTTTTATTTGTATTATTTTTCTTACTGTCTCATACTTCTCGAATTCTTTTTGGCCTGTGTAATTTCTCGCACTGAATTTTAGGTTTGACGGATTTATTTTCAGCTATCTTTTCCAGATCATTCTGTTGGTTCGGTTTGTCAGTGTTTAAATATAATTTAAACACACACCATAATATACTTAAAAATCTCAAAATATGGACTAATTTTCGACAACTCCTGGCGCATTTGCCATTTATTTAATCCTGACTTGTCCTGGCGCATTTGCCATTTATTTAATCCTGACTTGTCCACAGGATGTCACTTCTGGCTTTTCTACCATTTTTTTTGCTCTCCATATTAGCCTTAGCAACAAAAAGGAGACGTTAACGATAGATCGTCATTTCCCAGCCAACTGGACGCCATGTTTTTCGTAAGCTCATCAACAGTACCTGTTCCTATATTCCAACGACACTGCAGAATACCCATAACTACCAGGGCTTCACCAGCTGGCCTTTGTTTACTTTAATATAATTTCTTATACCGTATGGATAGAAAATAACTGGCGTCAGCGATGGCTATGAAATGACGATCGCTGACATTTCCCATATAACTTTACATATAAAATGACAGCGATCTTCATTTCATAGCCATCGCTGACGCCGTTTTTTCTTTGGATCACACGGTACAATATTTAGTATTATTGATGGCAATATACCGTATGATCGAATAAAAACGGCGTCAGCGATGGCTGTGAAATGGCGATCGATGATATTTCCCATATAATTTGACATATAAAATGACAGCGATATTTCATAGCCATCGCTGACGCCGTTTTTATTCGATCATACGGTATTAAACACAATTAGGTTTAAATAAATAAAACTGACAGACCTTATAAATTGATTTTTATTTACCCTGTATATGACTTCTTTGCTCATATTATGTTCCTGGTAGAAATCCAAAACATTCCTCAACTTTAGGAAATCTTACAAAAAATTATTTAATTCTCTTCAAATATTATATTTCTAGCTCAAGAACATAAAGAGCAAGGAGGTTTACAGGGTGAGTTTTCTACGATGTTCTCTGTGAGTATCTCGGAAACTACCGGAGATAGAGACTCGTTAAATGGGGAAAGATTGCAATTTTGTGGGGTCATAAATATGTGCCTGTCAGATTTTTGAAAAAGTTCATGGCTTACTAGATATTTCGAAAAAAACAAATTTTGGCTATTTTAAAAATGGTCTCTAATTCCATTATAATCTATTTTAAACAAAAAATTTTCAGATAAAAGTTGTAGATAATCACATTCGTAATGGACCGTGTTCTCCGTTTGTTTCTAAAGCCTGTCTCATTTTTGTCATACACAACAGACACAAACTTATGTTTTTTTTTAAATGGAAACCATAGTTGGCCATGATTTCATAAAAAGCGCCATTTTTTAAGCTTTTCGGCGATATAAGCTATATGTCTTTTTTCGAAAAGCTACTGAGTTATAACCAATTCTTATCTTTCTTGGCTAATTTCACTTAGTTGGCATGGTATTCTTACTATGATGTGATAGTTTGACATTTCTGAGAGCAACGATAATTGAACTTGTTTCCATGGCTAAGTGAAATTGTTTAAAAATTGTAAGAATTGGCTATAACTCGTTTACTATAACAATTTTTCGAAAAAAAACATATAGTTTACATCACTGAAAATCTTAAAAAATTGCGCTTTTTATGACGTCATGACCAACTATCCATTTAAAAAACATGTTTGTGTAATATGTCAAAAATGACAGACTTTAGAAAAAAAAGAACACAATCTCATTAAGGATGTGATTATCTACAACTTTTATCTGAAAACTCTTTGTCTAAAATAGATTGTAATGGAATTAGGGACCATTTTTAAAATAGCCAAATTCGTTTTTTTTTCGAAATATCTAGTAAGTCATGAACTTTTTCAAAAATCTGAAAGGCGCATATTTATGACCCTACAAAACTGCAATTCTTTCCCTATTTAACCGACTCTTTACCTCCAGTAGCTTCCGAGATACCCATCGTGAACATCATAGGAAACTCACCCTGTATATGAGATTCCCAATAACCAAATATGTACCTCTTCACTCTTACGTATTCCTGATACAAATCCGAGAAAATTCAGCTTTTAACAAAAATTTCATGAAACTACGTAATCGCTTTTATATAGAGATCTGAAAAAAATTCAACTTTTGACAAAGATTGCACAATTTTTTTTTTAAACCGGGCCAAAAATCGCCAATTTCTATCAGGAACACATACATAAGTGTAAAAAGGCAAGACGAAAATTTAGTACATGTAAATATAGCATCGATCAAAGATATTTCTGCTATCTAATAATAATAATAATATAATTAGCATTTCAACCTAACATAAAAAGTATATTTATATCAAAGTTGTTTATGGACATGCTAATGTCTGTTAAGGACATGTTGAGGTAAATGAATCTTCTAGCCACCCTCCTGGAAAGTCTTGGTTCTGTAATAAAAACAAAGAATTACTTATTTGTTCTTAAACTATTCGTTGTATAACTTTAAATAGCCAGTGAAATTATAGGGTATTTTATGAAATAAAAGTTATAGATCTCTTCGTAACAATTTTTTTTTCTAATAGTAATAAAGGAAAATACATAGTTAATTTTTCTAAGCTGTATTTGTGTTTTCGAGAAATATTTTTTAATTATAATATTTAAAAGTGTTAAAAAATAAAATTAAAAAATCAAACAAGAATCCCTAATCAAACTATTATACTATATTATATATGCAACTCTATATACACGTTGGTGTCTTTATAGTTGCCTACCAAAAATTATTTAGGCGCGAAAATTATTTATTTGAAATTAATAATTTATATCTACATATTTTACAAAATACAATAATATTAGGTATTTATTAAATATATCCGATTAAAAAATCGGTTTCTATTCTAATTTACCTAAAATGATTTAATTCCTCTTCAATTATAAATTTCATCCTATTCCACTGTTCAATGATGAATTTAATGGTAGTTGAAGTGCAGCTGGCCTTGTCCAAAAATCCTTGTTCCAAAGTAGTACAATATCCCATTTAAGAACTCAATTTCAAAAGGAATTAGAAAACTATACAATTCTATTTAAGCCATAGATATTAGGTGAAAGACTTAGAAGTCTTAGATGAACAGCAAAAAAAATAAACATTATTGCAGATAAAAGAAGAAATTTAGATATACAATCAATATAGAAGAAAAACAGTAAATTATATTTAAGAAAAACTAAATTTAGTTTTACTCAGATGAATTGAAAGTCACGAAAATGATTCCAAAATTACAACTCTATATAGACAATAGAAATAAAATGCCTTAGAGAAGTTATGACATAGAATGACACAAAACAAAAAAAATGGTACAAGTAAATGATGACTGATAATTTAAACATACATAAATTACTAGAAGATTTCACAGAATGGATATAAGACAAATGCAGAAATGGGGTTTTTTTAGAATTGAAAAAATTGCATGAAAATGAGTGATGAAATAAGAAAAGTCTCAGAAGAATGACACAAAAATTATACAATTACAAAAAAATAAGAAGACTTTTTATAGAAAAATTGTCAAATAGAGATATGATGGAAAACCGGCATGAAAACAAATAAAAAATATAACTCTATACAGACAACAGAAATGATAAAATATGCCTGAAATGTGAAAAAATTTATACAATTATAGAAATAAACAGAAAGAGTTTATAGAATGAGAAACAGAAATTTTAGGAATTGAAAAAATTGCAAGAAAATGAGTGATGAAATAAGAAAAGTCTCAGAAGAATGACACAAAAATTATACAATTACAAAAAAATAAGAAGACTTTTTATAGAAAAATTGTCAAATAGAGATATGATGGAAAACCGGCATGAAAACAAATAAAAAATATAACTCTATACAGACAACAGAAATGATAAAATATGCCTGAAATGTGAAAAAATTTATACAATTATAGAAATAAACAGAAAGAGTTTATAGAATGAGAAACAGAAATCAACAAAAGAGTTTATAGAATGAATGAATAATGAAACTCTAATAAGGAAGAAAATATGAGAGACAAGTAATGATATTGAGGTATGACATGAACAAAAATGGCATGAAAATGGGAAATGAATAGAAAAAATTTCATGAAAATGGAAGATGAATTGAAAATGAAGGCATAATTCTATGCAGGCAAAAAAAATGAAATATGTCTCTAAAGAGTTTATAGAATGATATTAAAAAAATAAAAAGGTAGCTGGTCAATAAATAAGAACTAGAAAATTGACCCATGATTATGCTTAGCCTCTAACGAATATCTGGTCAAAATATGACATCAAGTGCATAAAGAAAAATCCTCCAGAGCATCTAGTTCGTCCTCCCTAATCCGATTTAACCCTTGGCCGACGATTAAGCCTCGCCAGTCAGTTCCCATCCCAGCTAAGCAGCCTCGTCTCGGGTCACCCTCGTCACCCGTCGGACGGACATCCACCGGGACCCCCTACAGGCGGACCCCCCTCATCATCTTCAATGTGTCCGATATCCCGCCCCCTGCCTCTTCGAGGGTCACGGAATACGTGAACGAAGAAGTCTCGGAGCTTGGGTGCCAGGTCGTATCCGGCCGAAGCCTCTAGCATTAGAACACCTAGCTCGTAAACCAGAGGGTGGTGACTCCCTTGGGTACCTATGCATGCTACATAGGTCATCGATGCCCGAACATCAAGGTTAGGGGGTGACCCGGGTCTTCTCTTTTGCGGGAAGGCTAGCTATGATACTCTGGAGTCGATGTTGTTCAGGAAAATTCATTGAAAAAAATACAAAGGAAAAGAAAATTGACATCATCCGTGGAAGTCAGGTTTTTGAATAAATGGTGCATGGGCCAGGAATAAATCTTTATTGGGAGAAAATAAGCGAAATACGAAGAAAGAGAAAGAAGACTGGGAAAATAAGCGAAATACGAATAAAAAGAAGCGAAAATAAATCTTTATTGGGAGATTTTTAAGTGTGACGTGTTTAAATTATATTTAAACACAGGCAAACCAAACCAAGCCAACAGAATCCGAAAATAAAAAACACTTATTGAAATACAGGCAATAGAATATTTTATAGAATTAATGAATAATGTCATTATTCCCACAATGGAAAAAATATAGGACTCAGGCTATTAAAGAAAAATAAAAGTTAACCAAAAACAACATGAGGTAATATTCTAAGTAGATGCTATATTTTACCAATCAAATAAGACTTATAGAAATACAGTTAAAGGGATATTTTATAGAATTGATAAATATGACATTATTCAACAAACAATCATATATACAGGGTGAGCCTTACATACGTGCACACAATATGGGGGTCTAGCTATTATAGAAAAATGAAAGTAAACCAAAAACAATATGAAGTAAAACTCTAAGTAGATGGAATTTTACCAAAAAGAAAATGAAGTGGCCAGAAGATGAAATTCACCGATAAACATTAAAAATACCAGTTAAAATATATTAACCCAAAAGAAATAATATTTAGATATGCTTCTAAGTCCTGATGCATTGTTTGTAATGTTCATCAAAAGGATAAGTGTACTGCCCTAGAACTGAATACATCCATCAATTTGTTGTGGAAAATCTATAAAAAAAATAAATAGTATTACGTTTCATTATAATTTATATCTATATATTTTACAAAATACCAACAATAATATTAGGCGTTTGTTAATAACTTTATTTAAAAAAAATATTTTACTGCAATTTACCTAAAATTATTTAATTCCTCTTCAATGGAAAATTTCATCCTATTCCGCTGGTTAATGTTGAAAATAAACAACATAATGGCATCTTGAAGAGGGTGGTTGAAGTGCAGCTGTCCTTGTCCAAAAATCCTTGTTCCAAAGCAGTACAATATACCATTCAAAAACTCAATTTTAGAAGGAATTAAGAACAGAATGAAAAAAAAAACAATTAGGAGACAAATATACAACTATACAATTCCACGTAGGCATTAATAGAAATGGAATCAAAAGAAGAACTTAGAACTCTTAGAAGTATAGCAACAATAGAAGAAATCTAGAATCACAACAATATAGAAGAAAAATAATAAAGAGAAAGGCCTTGTTTGATAGCATCATATCTCTTAAAAGAAAAGTGAGACTTTGTGAAATGTGTCTTAGGGTCAGGAGATCCTAAGATTGTCTGACTGCCAGAATTTGCTAGTTCATTTAGTACCCAGGGTGCACCACGAGGAGGCGAACTAGCTTTGCACCCCCCAGAATGAGGACAATGTGAGACAAATAGAGAAAAAATAAATTGAAAAAAAATGCATGAAAATAGATGAACTTACAAAAGTCTTAAAAAAAGATACAACAAGATCAGTCAGACAATCAGTGGAAGAATTTATAGAATTGATGTATAACACTCCCATAAGGAAAAAAATGTGGGAGACAAACAATGAAATAGAGATATGATGCATTGGAAAAAATGGCATGGAAGTAAATTTAAAAAAAAAACATAATTTTATACAGGTGACAGAAATGACGAAATATGTCTTAGAAGAAGAATGACACAAAAAATGTATTCAAATATATAAAAAAAAACTTAGAGAAACAAAATTTATGCATATGATGAATTGAAAAAAATGTCAAGAAAATAAATAAAATAAATATATAATACAGGCAATAGAAATATTGAAATAAAATTCTGAGAAGGATGACACAAATAATAATAAATATACAAATAAGATAATCAATAGAAGAGTGATGAATAATATTCCAATAATAAAAAGATATGAGTTTAAAATAATGAAATAGAGATAAGAGAGAAATATGATGAATTGAAAAAATGACATGAAAATGAGGGATGATATTCCAGTAAGGAAAATATGGCAGACAGAAATAGAGATGTAGGCCAAAAAAAGCAAGACCAGCAAAATGCATTAGATGAAATAAAAAATAAAGAAGTAAAAGTGGGCAAAAAGAACAGAAAAATTGAGAAAGTTATGCTTGGCCTCCTCTAACGAATATCTAGTCAAAATATGACTCAAGTGCATAAAGAAAAATCCTCCAGAGCATCAAGTTCGTCCCCCCTCATCCGATTTAACCCTTGGCCGACGATTAAGCCTCACCAGTCAGTTCCCATCCCAGTTAAGCAGCCTCGTCTCGGGTCACCCTCGTCACCCGTCGAGCGGACATCCACCAGGACCCCCTACAGGCGGACCCCCCTCATCATCTTCAATGTGTCCGATATCCCGCCCCCTGCCTCTTCGAGGGTCACGGAATACATACACGAAGAAGTCTCGGAGCTTGGGCGCCAGGTCGTATCCGGCCGAAGCCTCTAGCGTTAGAACACCTAGCTCGTAAACCAGAGGGTGGTAACTCCCTTGGGTACCTATGCATGCTACATAGGTCATCGATGCCCGAACATCAGGGTTAGGGGCGACCCGGGTCTCCTCTTTGGCGGGGAGGCTAGCTGTGATACTCTGGAGTCAATGTTGTCCAGGAAAATTTATTGGATAAAATGGTAGAAAAGCCAGAAGTGACATTCTCTGTGGACAAGTCAAGATTATTAAATAAATGGCAAATGCGCCAGGAATTGATAGGAAATTAATCCGTATTTTGAGATTGTTTTTAAGTATGTTATGGTGTGTTTAAATTATATTTAAACACGGACAAATTGAGCCAACCGAAACTATAAAATTATAGCAATTCAAGGCATATGATCTGAAAAAGATGGTCTGAAAATAAATCCGTCAAAACTAAAATTCAGTGCAAGAAATTACACAGACAAAAAAGTATTAGAAGTATGACACCATAAGAAAAATAATACAAATAAAAGAAGACTTATGGATATACAATCAATGGAATATTTTATAGAAGCAATGAATGATGATATTATTTTTACAATAAAGAAAATATGGGAGGCAAAGTATTATAGAGAAATGAAAGTACTACAAAACAACTGATGAATTATCAAAACAAGGATCATTGGAATCGTATCTTGGTCTAGAGCTAGTAATGGGAATACCCAAATGTATTGAGACTATCCAGTGGAGACACAAACAGGGGCACAGGCATAACAAGGCCTTAATCCAAGGACCAAACTCTAAAACAACAAAAGAACTGTTAAAGTTTAGCAGGAATAAAGTGCAGATTATGGACATTATTCCCACAATGGGACAAAATATAGGAGTCGAACTATTGAAGAAAAATGAAAGTTAAGCATAAACATGTAGGAAAATTCTAAATAAATGGCATATTTTACCAAACAAATAAGACTTATAGAAATACAGTCAATAGAATATTATTTATAGATCAGCTTGCTGGGTGGTGCATTTGAAAGTTCCAAATCTGTAACAAAACAAAATTATTAGCTTAAAGTTATGCAAAAAACAAAAGCACTAATAAGATTACAAGTAATGTATAGTGTATTTTGTTTCTGCATATTGTGTTCATAATTTGTAAACAGTATAAAAAGAATACTATTTATTTTTTATTTATACTGTATTTTTAGTAGGAATATTTACAGATTTACCTTGAGTTATATGTGTTCCTTATAACTGTCATTGAACTATAATATCCAAATGTTCTGTCGTATCTATGAAGTAGTACTTCTATCGCCCTGCAGATTAGATCTAATTCAAATAACGCCTCTTATTGGCACAAAAACTCTTGCCAATGCTTTCCAAAATTCTTGTAAATTGTTGAAAATTCAGGGTTTTTATTTCTGAAATAAAAAAAACATACTATTATATTTCTCTATAAACTGAGAGTATTTCCTGATATCTATTAGGTCATAGTTTGCAAACTAAATACATTAAAACAGTAGATGAATCTAAAATGTATATTTAAAAGTAAACGCTATAACTTGTTCATTATGTAGGTAACCAGTAAAATTGAGAATTAAAAAAGGACTAAATTCAATTTCATCCAGGTGTTGATTTATATTTAATAATGAAATAGTGAAAAAAAATAAAATAAAAACTATGAGAGATATAATTTCTTCTATAAAGTATTAATGAAAAAAATACTTACTTTAATTAAACTTTAATTAATTTCCAAGTTGCTGTTGTAGCTAGAGCTGAACTATTATATAAGGCCTCCATTTGTCATAAATCTTTGAATCCCGATGCTTATTTATCTTCCAGCATTAGATTTAACCCTTGGTTAATGATTAAACCTCACAAGTCACTTCCGATTCCAATTCAAGTTGCCTCGTCTGAGATCACCCCATCTCCTCTTCTGTGAATGAATTTAAAAAGACTGTGTGCTCCTGTGTGGTATTATTAACCTGTCTAAAACAAAACAAAAAACATATTTAGGACACTCAAAAATCACAACTTTCACTAAAATCCTAAAATCTAGTGTTCCGTATTTAGAAAATATATTTGAAAGTTTTAAAGTAATTTTTAATGCATAAACATTAATGTATTTAATAAAAAATATCTGTTAGATATAAAGTTTTTGACCTACTACCTACATGAGAAAGATTCGAAAAACAAGACCAAAAAAACAAATCCCTTAAGTAGATCTTTTCTAAGAGAAACTTTTCTTGGCTAATATATCTAAAAATTATATTAACTATACGTATTTACCTTTCCTAAAACTAAACAACAATACAACGAAAATACCATATTATTTCTAAATGCGCAGTTTACGAAAAAATGGGAATGATAAAAAACATTATGTAAAATACTCTATATTATGTCATAAATAATGAAATATTTAGAATAAAATATACTCAGACGTTTAAAGAATATTATTTTAGGATGTTAAAACATAGATATTAATATACCTAGTAGACAGAAAACTTAATAATATCTGAAATCTCCAGTCTCCATGACAGATTATTAGCGCAAAAAAACAAAGACAATGTTAGTAAATACAAAGAAAATTGTAATATTTGTATTCAAACCTTCAATTATGTAGTAATGTTTAATCATTTGTTCGTTAGGAAATTGTAAAATAAAGGATCAAAACAATATTATTACATAAAAACATTGTTAAATACCAAGAGTCGCCATGATGGTTGGCGATAATAAAAAAAACTTTTGAGATCAGAAAATACGTAAAATAGCATGAAATAAACGGTACTTACTATTACAGAGGGTCGAGCAGAACCTTGGAAAAAGTTTATAAACAAATAATACACAATAAAATCATTTTTTCTAACTAAACTTTTAAAAAATTGCAAGACCGGCCGGCATACGTCATTTTTCTTTGGTTAAAATTTGAAAAAGTATTAAATCTAAATAATAGATGGCTCTGATTAAAATTCTTTTTGGACCAGAAAATAGTAGATTTCTTTAATTCATTTTAATAATTAATAGCATAACTATTTTCCAACAGATGTCACAAGAGTCGATTTTTACAGAACTCTATTTAAAATACATACTACTAAATTTCGCTAGATATCACCGTATAACCTAGTTTTTACAGATACCTTTTTATTAAAAAAAATATAGTATCACCAATTAACGACTGATGGCGCCACCAGTTAATGTAGTTTCAAAAAATGCCACTATGATAATTCGGCGCTGCAATCAATTTCGCGCGTTCGACGAAAAATTTGAATTAACGCAATTTTCTTTCAAAGCTTATATCAGTGTTTTAAGTACCAAATTCTTAATTAAAATAGTTTACAGGATAAAAATAGTAGAGGGGATTCCCCCTAGCACCTGACTGAGGTAAACTATCTTTGCTTGGATACTGGGAGGGATACAAAGACATAAAACGACATTTCAAAAAGTCAATGTGACTAAAGATAGTTTTATTTAGTCAGCCCCATTTTTATTAAATTGAAAATATAAAGTGATAGTACATTAGGTATATTATAATCATTACGTTGTTGATTCATATAAATCTATATAATTTGTTTTTGTTTTTCCTCATTTAAAAAGACCTGCTAAAATCTATGTATATAATAAGTATATTTTATATATAATAAGTACGTAGTAAAGATTAGCCGTAAAAATCGTTATTTTTATTTCAATATCTTGCAAAAAACAGAGACTACAAACGGTACGGTTTCTGTATCTAATTGTTTAATTTTTGCGCTTGTCAGTTTTTTTACGAATCACTTACAAAGTACGACCAAGGCACGCGAAATAGTAGAGTTTACAGAATTTTTGTGTCATTCGTGTTTCTTCTTTATTAATCTAACACTCAGAGCGATAAATAACACAGAAAGGAAGCTATTTCATTCTTATTTAACCCTCACAATGCACAATACATACAAATTGTTATCAATTTAGAAGATTATATACATTTTATTTCTAATATTATTCTTCTAAAAAATACACAATATAGAATGTTCAGCCATCGTTCAACGTGACGTCATGTATTGTCGAACTCTCTCAATCACTTGACAACCAGATGAAAGAGATTGGTAACATCATTATGGCATTTCGAAATTACTGCATATTCTTTGTAGTAAATTGTCATTGTGATTTGATTTGGGGTTATTATTTTATTGGCGGACAAACTCAAATTTTATTGCAAAAATACCTCAAAGATTTAATTAAAATGACCAAGAGCCCATTGCTAAGCTTATAATTTTTTTAAAGTAATAAATACCGAAAAAAAAACGAAACTCACTCAATTAATACTATAAACGTACTTAAAATTTTCCAAACAATATGAACTGATCTCAGAAATACCCTAAAACTCATATTTGACATATAATGATGACGTAACATTGAGCGATGGCTGATCAGTCTAAATTTTTATTTTAATTTAGTTTTTGTTAAAAATCATATGATTTAGAATTCATTAAAACCTTCCTTTCTGTATTTTTATTTATCTGAGTTCAAAAGAAATACAAGGTTTACTTTTGAAGAAAAAGTACATTAATAGAAAAAAATATTTTTTTATCCCAAATTGATTTAAAGCCTTAAGAAATAAAATAATAAATAAAAAAGCAGACAAGAATAGGAAACAAACTTAAAATTAAATTTTAACAACTAATATTAAATTATAAATTAATTTTTCGAAAAGCGCTTACTAAATTTTATTTAAGTATATTAACGGTAAATATAAAATTTGACTAAATTTATTTTTTCTTTATAAATATACATAACAACTCGAATAAATTCTTTGAAAATTTTAATTTTATATCTTGTTTTGTCACTAATATATGTAGGTATAAGGGAAAAATTGTATTATACAATTATATTGGGCTGACTTTTGGATTTTAAAATCTACTGAGTATTTATACTTTTATTCTACCGTTTCTAATTTTATATATGTTTTTAGATATGATAGTACAAAAAAAGAAACAGTAAAATAAATTCGTATCAGCGTAAATATGTATTAAAAAAAGTAACAAAACAAGATATAAAAGCAAACGAGACAAACAAAAATAGGACAGATAAAATTTGAAAAATTCCAACAGTAAAGATAACTTTTTTAAAATTTTAATATATAAGTAGATAATAATTTTTTAAATACTTAAAAACACTAAGTCCCCTTGTTTAAGTTCATTTTCATTTTCCAAGAAAAAAATCCAAAAAAATAACAACAAACACTTTCCGTTCCAAATTTTCGTGCTTTTTTTCAAAAACACATCACGTTCGATTGAAGTCGTATTTCCTTTTTCAAAAAGCTCCAAAATACGCTCAAATGTAGACTTTGTATGTGTTTATATCGATCAATCAATCGAGTAAAGGGTGTGAGAATGTCCAAAGATCCAAAAACGAGGTCCTCAAGTTGCGTCATACGTGACGCCGGTCCTGTACTATGTCAGCAATTTGAAGAACATGATGGCTAGTGAGATGTTGATGAAGAGGACTACAAGGACCAATTGCTGTCGCGAAAACCAATCCTAAAATCAAAAAATATACAAAGAAATATTACAATGTGTAAAGTTTTGGATTTTTTTTATTATTGAGTTTTTTTATTATCGAAAATTTTATTAAAGATTTCTTCCAGGATCAAAAACCCTCTTTATACAGGATGTTTCAAAATAAATAAAAAAACATTTTAAAGATTTTTCAACATTGAAAAAAAATATATATGATATCATATATAATTTATATATGATCATATATAATTTACACATGATATAATATATTTTTATATCTAACAATCGTATATAAATTATTGTATATAACTGTCAAATAGATAGTATACTTTATTTTACACATATTTTACACGATTTAAGTAAAATTAGATCAGCGCTCCACTTAAGTTTGTAGATATCCACCTTCCTTAATATATTTATTCAAAGGGTTTCAACCTCTGCATGATAAACTGCCATTTATTTTATCAAGGGACTCCCCTAAAATTCTTCTCATGCGTTTTGAAACACCCTGTATATGCAAAAAGTGGGATTAGGTGACAAAATATCGAAAAAAGTTAGAAAATCCTATGTAGCTTAACTTAAACCTACCACAAAATCATTTATTAGAAAATATAATGCAATTCTTTTCAATATAATCTTACTCTATTGTTTGTAAAAATTATGTACTAGAGAAAATGTTCCCCAATTTTTCTGTGTACAGAAAAAATCATTTATACAAAAAAACTATGACTATTACATAAAATAAGCATACTAATTACTAATTAAAGCAAATCTACATTAGAGCATATTATACACATAGAACTGGAACGCTACGTATCTAGATTCTCCACTGGGGACACCGTATATATGTATGTCATAATACAGTCGAATCCAAGTGACGTCACTACATGCATTAGAGCGTGCAGGTTATATGTGTATCATGCCTAAGAGCAGTAAAATACAATAGGTATGATAAAAAAATGATCGTAATTTCTAACATGACTTGGCGCCATTTCTTGATCATACGGTATACACACCTTCATCACACTATTCATTCTTCTACAAAAGAAAATGTTAGACTGAACCTAGGTATCGTACATATATGACATTTTAATCATATAAAATGGGCGAATGAGACATCTAAAAAAAAGCTAATACAAAAAATATGATAACATTGACCAGCTATTTGCACATTCCTCGAAAAATTATTGAGCACTTGAAAATGAACAGAACAAATCTAACAGACAATAACGTACCTATTAGATCTCTGTAATGCAGTATAGGAAAAGAATAAGAGAGGTAAAGAACAATTGAATTAAGTTAATCAATTTAGTCAATAATTGTGAAAATAATTAGTAAAAAAATGATTTACTATAACCTTAGAAATACAATACCTACGTCGAACAAAAAAAAAGAGTTTTATATTTTATACATTTCTACTGATAAAATAATACTATGTAGAAGGTATATAATAGTAAAGTCTGTCTTAGGAGAAAATACTATACAATCGAGAAAAAAAAAACTGCGTCAAAAACGGCTTTGAAATGACAATCGATGATAATTTTGGCGAGGTCCAGCCCTAGACGTCATTTCTTGACCCACACCCTTCTCTACTTTTTAATGGCCAGCTGGGTCTTAGGAGGTGTAATTTATTTTTATATTGAGTAAAAATGATTTTTAAATGGTATAGTTAAAAATTCTAGAAAAAATAATTTTCTGGAAATAGATTTGTGTCTAGAATCGTTCTATCCTTTTTTAGTCTTTCTATAATTAGCGTTAATTTTTGACAAGTTTTATGTCAATCACGTCTAGAGATTGACCTCGTCAAAATTATTATCAATTGTCATTCCCAGCTGTCCTTGGAACCGTATTTTTTTCGATCATACGGTATTTTTACAGGTTTTAAATAAAATTAGAACGCCTATGGATAAACCGGAATTTAAGTCAGCCATAAGTTTTTTGATATACAGTATGATCGAAAAAAAATGGCCTCCAGTTGGCTTGGAAATGACGATCAATGACATTTTTTCTAATATAATTTTACATATAAAATGACAGCGATCTTCATTTCATAGCCATCGCTGACGCCGTTTTTATTCGATCATACGGTACCTATTATGTTCCTACCTTAATGTTTTTATTGAAAGGTAGTTGTAAATAAATATATTTAATTTTGTGTGTTCAGTATATTTATTGTTTGAAATACGAATTGAATATACAAAGTAAGAGTTGTTTTTCAACAATTACATTATAGTTTTACCAATTCAGTTGTCAAACAATAATAAATTAAATTGTATTATGAATCTATAGTAAATATAGTAAGACTTTTATGTCTGATGTAAAGTTCTAGTAAATCATTCTTCGAAATTTATGAACCTAGGTAGAGTCAAACAGAGCAGGAATGCAAGGAATTCAATCGGGCAAGGTTTTTTTGTTAGTATAGTCCAGAAATAAAGAGTTGTAGGGAAATATAGAAGCAAAGGCTATTAAAATAGTAAAATCAGATAACCTAGAGTAAGAAAAGTCTAACTAATTTTTTATTCCAAGCATTCTACTTTGCAAGTAAGAAATCTTAAAATTATCAATTAAAAAGTATTATCAATATACCCATTAATCTTTATGGTAAATTTATCTACAAAATGATATCCAATATTCTGGATTTATAGTATTAGAATATAGGATTTATAGTATTGTAATAAGATATGACACAAATGTTGCTCTTTTTTTGTCAAATTTTTGTCATTTGTCATCGATTTGGAAAAATGATGCAAAATTGATGCTTAGATGCAAAAGTCACTCTTTGTGTTTATAACAAATACTGTGCCTGGATCTGATAGGTATTTATCTCATCAATTTTGCTACCAGGACAATCAAAGTCAGTGACGAACTTTTTTTTTTCGTCGCACTTATAGTAACTTTTATCCTCAAAAGTTCATTGGAATCGCTAAAAGCACTTGGAAGAAAATTAGAAGTAGTAGCTACGAAACAAAGCAGAGTAGGACCTATGTTCTATGTTGATATAAAAAATACATTTTATTTTTGCGTGATGACATATTATTGACGATATTTACGTCCCCACAAGATATAGCACATGTTGTTTGAAACCTATACCCTATATTTTATGATATTATTTATTTAAAAATTCTTTTCTATTTATATGAAGATCCCGAACCTACGCCAATGTGAAACCTTGAAAAAAGAATGTCTGTGGTCAGAACTCTGTGGTCAAATCTAACTGTAAATATACAAACGGTTTGTTTATTTTAATTTTTATTTTTAAACAAATCAATGTACATACAAGGTGGTACAAATGTACATACAAATCAATGTACATACAATACTTAAATAAGTGCATAATAATATTTTAGAGCGGATATACCGGGTGCGTCTCAAAAGTGGCTCACCCCTATAACTTTTTTTATTTTTTCAGATAAAAAAACGAGATTTGATGTGTTAGTATATGACATAAATTTGGGTTGATTGACGTATTCAATTGTTTTTGGTCACTTCCTGTTTCACCGGAAATGATTACAACTTTTGATTTTTAAATAGCACCTTCGGAATATTTCTACTTTATTCGATAGAAAATGACACTGAATAGAATGATATACCATATGTCAACTTTTCACATTTTCGTTTAAAAACAAATCGTATTTTAAATTTCAATCTAGAGTGCCATGGCTGTGTTACCGATTTCTTTCGAAAATCGACAACTATGAAACTATGAACCCTTCCTGGACACAAACGGTACATTGTGAGACAGGAAATTGTAGAGAGAAACAAGCCCTATAACATAGGATTCAACATTTTAATGAACAGTGCTTTCCATAAAATGAATAAAATGAAAAATATACGACATAATATACATTGTACTGATTTCATTCGAAAATCGACAACTATGAAACTATGATCCCTTCCCGGACACAAACGGTACATTGTGAGACAGGAAATTGTACAGAGAAACAAAAGCCCTATAACATGGGATACAACATTTTAATGAACAGTGCTTTCCATGAAATCAATAAAATAAAAACTATACGAAATATTATACATGTACTGAATTCTGAATTCTTTCGAAAACCAACAACTATGAAACTATGATCACTTCCCGGACACAAACGGTACATTGTGAGACAGGAAATTGTAGAGAGAAACAAGCCCTATAACATAGGATACAACATTTTAATGAACAGTGCTTTCCATAAGTTAAGAACACTATAATTTTTAATCAAGGAGCCTTGAAAAAATAGATTTGATCGTCTAATATCCTGGCCGGCTAAAAGATGTTCATATCGTATTTTTAATCATACCTCAATATTTTCAAATCGAACAAAGGTGGCTCATTAGCATATTCGAAGAAAGCATTTTTTACGTATAATTTGGTACCACACACTTGGTATTTCGAGTAAAATTGTCGTTATGAACCGCATGTTTCAATTTCAAATAAACCATATGCGGAAATGTCAAAAGTTGACATATAATATGTCATTCTATTTAGAGTGACATTTTCTATCGAATAAAGTAGAAATATCGAGATCTACAAGCCCTGGAAATATTTGAACTTATTTGACTCAACCAAAGGACTCAACCTGTCTAGACTATCTTTTGTAAATATTCTAAATTATAGCAAAGCTGCAAAGTGTAAACAACAAAGTGACTTAACAGTGGAGTCAGCAAAATATTTTAAAACTCCTCTATATTTACTTACATATTTCTCGGAATACTTTATCAGTTATTTTTGCCAAACTAATTTAAACAAAAAGAGTGACTTTTTTGTATCCAAGCAAAATAAGAGAAAACTTTGGAACCGATAAACTTCAAGATCTAAGAAGAAGAAAACCGAACATGTTCGAGAGAGACAGCACCGTACAATTTGTGACCGTACCTTAACTTGCGGACTGACCAGGTACAGGAGCGGATTGGCCCTCAGCCGCTCCCTCTCGTCGACCTGCCTTCGGACTTCTTCGCGCCTCGCCGAACCCAGCATGGACACTTCTTCCCGGGGCATCTGGCGCGTCGCCCTGGGCAGCTCCTGGACGTCGGGGAGAGACTTCTTGCGCTGGAGGGTGGCCTGAGTGGCTAGAACCTACGGCAAATGAGAAAAAAATGGTTTTATTTTTTATATACCGCTTGCAGGAAGAATGTCATTTAGCATTGTGGAGCTATCCTGTGTGTCTATTGTCTTTATATTAGTTAGTGATGATTTGTTGATTCTCACTATACCTTCCGTTTCCATTCCATATCCGTTCCGTATTTTTGACTGTATTCACTCATACGTAAATGCTTCCGTTCTGTATCAATTCCATGTACAATTTATATCATTACGAACGTTTTATTTTAAAAATTTGTATCTTCTGAAAAAGGTAATAAATTTAATTAAGAGGTGAAAGAATAAATAAATATCAGCAAAATGTTCACAGAGCTGGTACAAATGTAAGAATTTGACAACGCTGTTTCCGATACGCTTCAGTCCATCTGCTAAAAAGATGTATGGAAGGAAAGGATATGGAACGGAGGGAAACGGAACGTATAGTATGCATTGTCCTATTCATTTACATGATATAATATTTTATGTAAACGGAAGGGAAACGGAAGGTAGCTGATACGGAAGGTATAGTGAGAATCAACCTTAAAACTGATACAAAAATGTACTACTCGCGTCAATAAAATTAATCAGTCTCATTTTGAATTTGGTAAATATCATCCTATATCATATATTATATCCACAACTGACAGTTCACCATCAAAATTTTTTCGACTATTGAAGAAAGAAATATTGACGTATATTTCCAACAAAATGGAAAACCGTTTAGAAAAATGCTGAAATTTTCAAAATATATACCGGGTGCGTCTAAAAAAGAGGCCTCTTTCCCTATAACTTTTTTATTTTTTTTTATATAAAAAACGAGATTTGATATATTAGTATATGTCATAAATTAGGATTGATTGACGACAATTGTTTTTGGTCACATCCTGTAGCACAGGAAATGACTACCACTTTTGATTTTTAAATGACACTCTCGGTACATTTCTAGTTTATTCGATAGAAAATGACACTCTGAATAGAATGACATATCATATGTCAACTTTTGACATTTTCTCTTAATAAAAAATCGCATTCGGCTATGTTAAAAACACTAATTTTTAATTTATTAATCAAGGAGCCTTGGAAAAATAGATTTGATTGTCTAATGTTTTTAGTGTTTTATCCTTACCGGTTAAAAAATGCCCAAATCGTATTTTTAATGATAACTCATTTTTTTTCAAATGAAACGAGAGTGGCTCATTAGCATATTTGAAAAAAGCATTTTTTAGGAATAATTTGATACTACACACTTGGTATTTCGAGTCAAATTGTCGTTATGAACCGCATGTTACAATTTAAAATAAACCATATGGGAAAATGTCAAAAGTTGACATAGATATGCCACTCTATCCAGAGTGTCATTTTCTACCGAATAAAATAAAAAAATACCGAGAGTGTCATTTAAAAATCAAAAGTTGCAGTAATTTCCGGTGAAACAGGAAGTGACCGAAAACAATAGAATACGTCAATCAATCTTAATTTATGTCATATACTAACATACCAAAGCTCGTTTTTTTCAACTGAAAAAATACAAAAGTTATAGAAGGAGCCACTTTCGAGACGCACCCGGTAGATGGTTATGATTAAAATCCATTAATTTTTAATAATTTTGTAAGTAACTAGCTTGAATTGTGCTACAGCATAACCTTTATTAGAAATTTATGAATGAACCGAGTAGGCTAGGTTAAGTTTGAAGGAACCAGGGAGTTGACATATACAAGAGAACAGTTCCATCCAGGATTCACACACCTTCAGGTGGAAGTAACGCTTGCAATATGTCTTCAGATTTTTTTAATAATTCTTACATTATAATAGAAATGTACTCGAACGTGTGTACCGAGTTCGAGCGAAAAGAGAGTCAATTTATAAACAGATCATTTAATACAGTAGTAACCTGGCCACAAACAAAGTTCCTACCAGCAGCGTTAATACAGTATGTACAGAAAGATTAATAAATGTAACATTTATGTCGTTTTAAAATATGACAAAATATACTAAATTCAGAAAGAAGTAAGAAAATTATCTTTGCTGCCCTCGGTAATTAACGCCATTATAAGTCCCTTAATTACATTAAAAAAATTAACATTCAGTTCATTAAAGTTTAGCATCGTGTATATTTAAAACTATGCATTTTTTAATGAGGAATTACCCCTGAAATTTGACTCTACATTTTTTGAACACCCTGTAGAGCCTAAAGAGTGAAAAAAAATTATTGGATGATGAGACTCAAAAAATAGCTATAAAAAAGCTGGTTAGTTATAGTGTTTTCAATAATAATATTAGTTAACCTCAGCAGGTGGAGTTTCTATCCAACTCTCCGAAGCTCTCCTGGCCATCAAGGCCGGCGAGAACATCAGGTCCTCATCGTCGTCCTCACTCTGATACCACAACATTTTCGATCTCTTCACACCTTCACAACTTATAAAAACACCACAAGAACAAAAAAAAACTATAACAGTCTCCCCTTTACTGTTATCCCCTCCATTTCACCCCCTATCGAATCACCATCAAGGTCGTTACATCCTCTGCATCACGCTAAATCACGGGGTGAACAAACTGTCGGGCGCGCGGCGTTGTGAGTTTTCGGTGATCACCATATGATCACTAGGACCGGGGAGCTGAAGTGACATGGACCGTTTTAGATGTGCTCCCGAAAAGTCGCGTAGGTCGAACGAGGGGGTCAGGGATTAGAGGGGGGAAACTACTAGAAAAAGCGACGGGGTGATAGAGGGGGGAGTTGTTGAGGTATTTCGGTCAAAGTCGTAGAGATGTGCTTTTTACGAATAAATTATCGATATGTGGATGATTCCAAAGACATCCAAATAAAGTTTTTTTTCCATAGCAACTGTTAAAATTGCCTTATATCTATCAAAATTAGTAGATACAATAGTACTTTAACCGCAAGGGTAGATTAAATGATACTTTAACAGCGAGGATAGGTTAAAAACTTTATTTCTTCTCGCACGTTTTTTAATTGCTTCCATTTTTGAAAATGTTTGTATTCCTTTTCATAAGTTATTTGGGATTTAAATGGAAGTAGTTTGGATATGGCGTTTATCGCCTCAGCCTGAATATCTGTTGGTAATTTACTTATTTCGTTTTGAGCCATTTCTGGCTCCAATTCAATCAGCAATCGGCACGAAAGAGAATTAAAAAATATTGACTCAAAACTGACAACTAAAGAGACAGCTTTATTTATTTGTCAAATTACATAGAAACCAACGCCAACCCAGCACAATATTTTTTTTACTCGTAATAAATTCCTTGAAATAATTATTTCTGAATATTTTTTAAAACGTAACTTGCTATAGAAAAAAATATTGTTTTATATACGACGATAAAATTGCATTATCGTCTTCCACAATTAATTCATTCGCGATTTTATCGCTAGTTTAGTCGCTGTCTTTGGTATAAACTTTTTATTAATATTTAGATTTTTAAGAAAAGAGTTGATATTATGATATTTCGATATTTTTCGACATCTCTAGTCAGACTCATCCCGTGACTTTTGGCAAGCTATCCTGGCTGTGGCTAATGATTCGAGCTTCGTTTGAAAAACGGTGTTTATTTTTAAATTGTGTACGAATAGCCGAATGGAAAACAACGTGCACATATATCAGGTGTGTCGTTAGTTTGTCACTGTCGAGAAAAATCCCTAAATCATATACAGGGCATGTAAATGGATAAACGCGAAAAAAGTATGCGCTAATAATTCAATGAAAAAAAAGTTTTCTTCTCAAATGTCACAAAATTATTAATTATTGCGACGTGATTAATAACATAAAAAGACCATTTCAACGTCTAGGCATAAAAGCAAAGTACATTTACGCCTAAGCATAAAAGTAGAAAAAAAAATATATTATCAAACTGACATTAAGTGTCAAATTCAACGAGTGTACCCGTTGTTTCTGGATATATACCTAATTACTTACAAGGTATTACTTTTAAATCTTTTTATATTATCTGCAACGCTCGAAATTGTTTAAAAAATTATTTGTGTCATTTGAAAAAAATAGCATGTTCTATTCGGAGCAGGGGCGGATACAGGAATTTATTTTAGGGGGGGGCCAAATAAAAAGTAATGTAGAATATACTTTTTAGAGCGCCATTTTTAACCCAAAAGCCTAATATTTAACCCAATTTATAGATTTTAGGGGGGTCCTTGGCCCCATGGGCCCCCCTCTGTATCCGCCACTGATTCGGCGTAACGCAAACCGCTTATTTTTAAACGACTTTTTTTCGAAAAGGTAACTAGAAAAATCATTAGATATGTTTCTGAGCATCTGAAATGGAATTATAAGGATATTAGAGTGTCCATTTTTTTATAACGATAAAACGTCAGTAATCGCGATAATTTAAAAACTCAACTTTTTGACACATAACTCGCGATAACTTAAGAACCACTTTAGATATTGAAACTTTTTCATATTTTGAAGATCGGATCTTTTACAATATGTTTAAATAACAAAAATTCGATAAGGTTGTTTTTTGCCAATCCAAAAATTTTTAAACAACCCATCTATTTACTTTTAGTGCATATCAATTTTCAGCAATCGTGTAACTTTTTTATTTATAAAGATTTTAACATACTGTCTGCGAAGAAAATATAGCAGAAATGTTAAGAAAGTTTTTGAAAAAACTACAATCAATTATTTTTAATAGATTTCGGGATATCGATTTTTGAATTCAGAGTTCTAATAGCGCGACCACTGTCGAACACCAACTTATTTTTACCAAAAATGCAAGTGTTTCTAACTTGCACTTAAAAATGTTCAAGCTATAGGGAAAATTACAACGACTCGTTAATAAATAAACAAATAAAGTATCGCAAAACGTAATTAAATCGTGATGCTGAACGCATGATGTACACCTTTCCCTAGTACTTTAAGTATTGACAGAGGTACTAAAAACCATGCTATATTCCCTTCCACGTCTCTTAGCAATGTGTACAGTTTCTCGGTTTATTTCGGACGTTTGGCATCGTGTTTACTGTTCTCTCTTTGTTCAGTATATTATAAACGCCATTGTACTCTTCTTACACACGGAAATCTCGACCCAAGACTAACCTTTGCAACCCTTAGTATAAGTGCCTCGGCTGTATGTCACAAGTACAACCTCGCCACAAGAAGTGTAATTTTTACTCCTAATAAAACAATATACTGTTTTTTGTATAGGTAGTAGAATTATTTAAAACATTAAATATTCAAGCTAACAACAAACAATGTAAAATAAAATAAAACTCATTTAACTATTAAATCTTTGTTTTTTTTAAATATAGCATATTATAAAATATTAATATAACGGTAATTATCTAATAAAATAAATTGTTTGCTGAATAAATTTAAGAAATAAAATAAACTTTACTTCGGTAAATAAGGCCGATTCCAAGAACAGATACTTGATTGGGAGCCAAAAAAGCAACAGGAAGTGGGACCAGTAGTTAATGCATTACACGCCAAATTACTTGCTGGTATTTTAATTGTGGATGTAACATTCCATTATAACAACTTCTTTATAGCCCAGAATATACTTAAGTGCCTGGTCTTGAAGTAATAAAAATTGGCGCCAGGAGGCACGTATAGCCGCCCATACTAAAATATGTTAATAAAAAGTTGGTAGGCAGTTCTTTTAGTTTCAAAGTAAAGGAATTTTTCCAATTTTGGTCCGATTTCCCCTATCCGCCACCTGCAGTCGCGTCCGATGGGAGTTTGGAGTTCTCCACACGGATTTTCTCAAAAACGGACTACGGAAACACGGAATATCTCAAAAACTGCGACTTTGACTGATTTTGATGTTATTACAAATTTTGTTGCAAATATTATTCCTAATCTTAAATTGAAAACCGCGTTTCGCTAGCTACTGTAATTTTGGAGTTACGATTTTTTTAAATGTTTAACCCACTCCCATACCCCCTTACCAACCCCCCACGCCCACCAAAAACTAATGGCCAAATTCTCGGGTGCCACAGTATTTTTGTGCCAAATGTGGTTAAAATCGGTTTAGCGGTTTTTGAGTTATCGTGTTACAGATGGACAGACAGACAGACACCATGAAAATATTTTGTATTTAGGTCATTTATGACCCAAATAACTAATTTTGAGTGAAATTAAAAAAACTTTTTTTTTTGCCGATCTTAATAGCCTACCATACCTGTTGGTATGGTCGGCTAAAAAAAGACATCAAAATCTGAATCATATTCACGTCCACTTTACCTACCTTCACATACAAAATCTGAATCATATTCACGTCCACTTTACCTACCTTCACATACTGTGACTGTGATAATCATTCTCTCTAAAAATAATCTGTATGAAATTAACCGTTTGTGATAATTTTGGTGTTTAGATTTGATGTTGACTTTAGGTGACAGATTCTTTGACAATTAACCTACCCGCGTGATTTTTTATTTGCTACTTCTTCTAAATGAAAATCGCAGTTTAAACTAAACAGAACGCAGATTTAATTTCAAATTGGTCAAATAAAATTGAAAATGAGAAATATCAGATTTACAATAAAGAAAAATCCAGAAACATATTAAATGGATTTGGAAAATAATAACCGGCAACATTTGCCATGACTTGGAGTAAGTTTTTTTATGAGCCAATTCGTTTATTTGATGCGACAGCGTGCTATCTTTTTAGCCGACCATACCAACAGGTATGGTACGCTATTAAGATCGGCAAAAAAGAAGTTTTTTTCATTTCACTCAAAATGAGTTATTTGGGTCATAAATGACCTAAATACAAAATATTTTCATGGTGTCTGTCTGTCTGTCTATCCGTCTTTAACACGATAAGTCAAAAACCTCTAAACCGATTTTAATCAAATTTGGCACAAAAATACTTTGGCACCCGAGAATCTGGCCATTAGTTTTTGGTGGGGGTGGGGGGTTGGTAAGGGGGTATGGGAACCGTCCCAGATACTGGCTTTTGCCCTGGGGGGACACAATGGATCTGTAAGGTCGAAGTGATTAACCCCCCTCCCACTCATTCTAAATTCTAAAAATTCTAAAAGGGGGTATGGGAGGGAGTTAAAATTTTAAAAAAATCGTAACTCCAAAATTACAGTAGCTAGCGAAACGCGGTTTTCAATTTAAGATTAGGAATAATATTTGCAACAAAATTTGTAATAACTTCAAAATCAAAGTCGCAGTTTTTGAGATAAAAAAATTGGAAAAATTCCTTTACTACCAACTTTTTATTAACATATTTTAGTATGGGCGGCTACACATGCCTCCCGGCGCCAATTTTTTTAACCAGGATATGAAGATTACAGGAAAAAGGAAAAAGTGCGCTCAAAGTTTCAAACGAATTTTTATACATTAGAAATTTAATTTAGTAATAGTAGTAAATTTAATAGTACTAATAGTTTGGACGATTTTGATGCACGCCAACTTTTATTAGCCCTCCATACACCAGAACAGAGAAGCCTGCGGTCTTGGTCTGCGGATGAAAACGTTGTGTTTGTGTAACGGACCGAGTCTGTAGCAGGACAAGTCTTTGGTGGACTAAGCCTTTTCTAAAGCCAAATCTGATGGTGTATGAGGAGCTATTGATTTATCTATAGTGAGTTTTTGACTATATCTCGAAAAATTAGACTAACCTTTGCAGTTTGCCCGTTAGGTTGGCCCGGAATGAACAGACTTTCGGTCCGCTTAGGCTGATTCGGAGATGGTACTATGTCTTGGCCCAAACCTCTCTTTCGAAGGATGATTTCCTCAAAAGGAGGGTTGCTATTGTTGGTCTGGGGCGTCAAAGGAGCTCCCTGTCCTGGAAGAAGTAAGGTTCATTGGTAAACATGTCATTTCCTTGCCGTTAAGAATGTAATAGTTAAAAGCAGAAAATTCATAGGTAATTACGTAATTTTTTCCAGACAAAAAATAGTGTGAAAATGTGAGAAAATTATATTAATTTAAAGTAAAACATGTCAAAATCTGACACAATTCTTCTGTATATTAAAATCTATAAATAACCAGTCATGGTGAAAAATCTAAAACTTCTAAATTTTGTGTCTTTTGTGCTTTGTCTATTATGCCGGGTCCAGACCAAGGCGACAAAAAGTAAACACGGTTTTGAGACAAAAACAAGACAAACTTGCGACAAATTGTCCACACCGCAAGGACAAAAGTACAACAAAGTCGAAAGTTTAGTTGTTGCGAATGAGTTTTATTAACCATGTGTGATTTCACTGGTCTCCTACTGTTGGCAGCACACGTCATCCACACTGCGCCGACAACCTGTAGCAAAATATACGAACAAAACATAGACACTTTGATCTTTACCGACTCGAGACGGGACATTGAAAAGTCTCCAAATTTTGAAACAAAACAAAAATGAGACGAAAATGTCGCAGGAATGTATTGGATTTGTCGCAATTTTGTCGTAAAACATGAATGTTTCTGTCTTGTCGTTGTGTTGTCTGCTTGGTCTGGATTAGGCATTGTGGTTAAAATACAAAATAGTTATGTACCTGTTGGAACTGAACCATTTTTGATGGTCGAATTTAAACCGGTGGGCACAGGGGTAGTCCCTCGCGGGACCGAGGGTGCCCTTAAGGTTCTGTCTGGAGTCTCTAGCCGACTTGCCGACGTCCTATCCACGGAGGGTTGTCTGGAACCCGCCATAGAATTGCTTAGTCTGCCCGTCGCTCTAGAATATCTAAAATTTAAGTAAAATCGTTTTATATAAATAAATCAATTTATTTGTCTACAATCATACAATAATGGAAACTTTATTTACTCATATGAAGCGTTTAAAATGATATTTTATCCACTAGTGGAATACTGAAATTAAAAATAAATATGAATATGAAATATATTCTAGACTTTGTAGGCAGTAAATGGGTAGTTGATTATAGAGCTTCCGAGAAAAAATTGCTGCAGGAAAACCATCATCATCTACTTGCATTTTTCCGTGGAATCGTTTTTGTAATAAATAGAATTCTGAGTGAATATAATAAAACTAAAATTAGTTTATTTCTTAAGATAAGTCCTTAAATTTGGGGATTCACGTGTGCACTTATTGCTGAATCGCAACTGATTTACTGCATAGTTGGTTGTTACTAACCTATGTTACTTTACTAATAATAAATTTATCTGTAGATGTATAAATCTAAGGTATAAATGTATTTTTATTATACCCTGGTCACAGCTTACGCCCATACAGTAGTAGTTTGTTTTTAAGATATACTACAGCGTGTTGTGAAAACTACTATATACTAGGGCTGGCATTTCTGGTCTTGGGTGCCGATTTTCGTGTGTACGAAGAGTACGGTCAACACGCTTAGCAAAATAAGATGTACTAAATAAAGACAGAAGGCAAGTATTTTCCCAAGCGCATGGAATCTAGCGTCAGATTAAGTGGTTATGTAATAAATACTTCGTATTCTAGCTCTCCGACTTACGAGATTGCCACAGCGATTCACTCCTATACATGTAAACGCCGACCCAAGGTTTCGCTTGCCAACAGGGTATAATAGTATTCTGGCGTCTATAATTTTACCCATCTGGACATTTGCATTTATTTTTAATTAAAAGAAATTAGGCTTTTATTAAATATTAGCTCTGTGTACTTTAATAAACGCATCGTTCTCATGTTCTAAAAATTTTTACACAACTATCTTAACATTCAAATAATTTATTACAACACAATTCGAAGGGTTATATCGACGGGTGTCCTTATCTTAGACGACCGAATCACCGAATCGATCTTCGAAACCAACGCATTTACGAAACATTAGTGTCAAAGTTCAAAGTCAAGTCAATAGTTGTCAATAAGTCAGAAATACGCTTTTGCGGCCTAAGAACGCTGGATTAAACTCATCCCACTTCTGATGTAATCGGAAGATTGATATATTTAACAGAAATTGTGATATTTCAAATATAATTCTCCATTAATTTAACAACTATTTTCCGACGCTCAAAATCAACAACCCCCGTCATTCAACTGTCTCCAAAGCCTACGACTCCGCTACTCGCAGACACGGGGTACAGGCACGGTGTGACATGACTGCCCATCAAAAGAATCATAGGCATCGATAACATAATTATATACAATATTTTTACTATAAAAAAGATAATTACTAAATAGGCTGTGACTTTATTCCAAATATGCAAAATTTAAAATACGGTTCTGACTTTGATTCTGATGTGTTTCTCGTATTGAAATCGCACTTGCATAAGATAAGCGAGTATAACATGTAAATTAGCTGTATGAGTAACCTGTGCCCTTGTGATAAGATTTGTGTATATATTTTCTGTTTCTGTTGTCTAAATTTATATAAAGTTAAACTGCATCCAAGTATATAATTCTTGTTGTATTAGTATGAGCTACCTATTTAAAGCTATATTGATTCTTTTATACTCTTATTATGTTTGTGCCTGTATAATGCCTGTAAAGGAATATGTAGTTTTTCCGGAAAGTTTAGGTTTTTTCGACGCTTATATAAATTGTAAACAAAACAAATTGGAACCAGCGGAAGTTCATACAGAGGAGGAAGAGATACAGCTCGAAAGCGCATTAGAGCGTGCCGGCGCAAAAGGTACGATCTAAGGTACGATCACAGTTTAAAGAATATAAGTATATTATATTCTTTAAACTGTGGTACTGATATACAGGGTGTTTCAACCAACCATTTTCCAAACCAAAAACATGTGCCATCTCTCGTGGGAAGATTCCTCACGTAAAAAAAACATGTTTTCTCATCAACATAGGTGGAAGATTCCTCACTACAGGGTGTTACAGATTTATTTATTCATATCAACATAGGTCCGATTCTTTTTCTTCCAAGTACTTTTAGTGATTTGAATGAAATTTTGAGGGTAAAAATTTTGAGGTTCTTCCAAGTACTTTTAGTGATTTGAATGAAATTTTGAGGGTAAAAATTACTATAAGTGCTGCATATTTTAATGCTAAAAACGAGTCGATAAATTCATCCGGGAGGTGCATATGGGTTGTCACTGGAATATTTTTCGAAAAAAAAACATGTCCGCCACTGACTTTTTTCTTTTGATATCAAAATTGTGTAGGCCGTTTAATGTCAATTAAAAGTTATCTCTTGATATTTTGTCGAATACAATTTTTTTAATCACAATTAATAAAATTAAAATAAAAATGAAATTAATAAATGATATATTTTACCTAATTTATTATTAAATATCATTACTATTAGTTATTATTACTATTAATCCAACATACAGCAATGTCAAATAAAAAAATAATGGTATTTAAGATAATTACAAAAAACCTAATTTTAAAATTTTAACATCCTGTAACTCTAAAACTATACATTTCCATGGCCATGTTTATAGGAACTTTTTTTCATATTTTTCATGAGGAATCAATGAGTACTTATTTAAAACTTTCACAAGTTAATGATATTAATTTTTTTTAGAGGTTGCTGTTAGACTTGAATCAAGGCAAATTAATAAAATTGCGTTTATCTCATCAAGCAGGTCGAAATCCACAAAATATCAAGAGACAACTTTTAATCAGCATTAAACTGCTGACACTATTTAGCTAAAAAGAGAAAAAAAGTCAGTGGAGTACATGCTTTTTTTAGAAAAATATTCCTGGGATAACCCATATGCACGTCACTGGTGAATATGGCGACACTTTTTTAGCCTTAAAATATGTCGCATTTATAATAACTTTTCCCCTCAAAATTTCATTCGAAACGCTAAAAGTACTTGGGAGAAAAGTATAATAAATCGAAAGATTATTCAGACTTTAACACCTTGTAGCTAGGAAACAAAGCAGAATTCGACATATGTTGATATGAAAAATAAATCTTATTTTTACGTGAGGCATCTCCCCACGGGAGATAGCACATGTTTTTTGAAACACCCTGTATACTAGGCCATAAAAAAATTTAATCATTAATTTTTTATCTTTAGTTCCTCAATAGTAATTTTTGTTCCATGAACAGACTTTTTGATCTTTAGTTATGTACAGGGTGGGTCAAATTCGACGCTTTTAAATGGAAACACCCTTTTCTATAGGAGATAGACAAAAACTAATATTGGTGTCTGGAGCTCAATTTTTGTCAAAAACATGATGGTGAAAACCGCATATCGATATGTTACCGTTTCGGAGTTACGGGGTGTTTATCAAAAATATGCATTTTTAACAAATCGCTGTAACTTTTTTGCTATGGAAAATTTTGTATTTTTATGAAAACATTTCCAAAGCACCTTTTTACGTAGAATTTAATGGTTTAAGTATATTTTTTTTTAAATTAATAATTTAAGAATTATCAACAGAAAATTTGATTTTTTTATATAGGACACCCTGTATATTTTTAATTTATTGAAAAGAATTTAAAATTACCTTTCCAAAAATATAACACACTTGATATTTTGCTCAATTCATCTTCGAGATATAGAGTATATAAAAATTCGCCCGCTTTAAATAAGTAGGCTTTGAAGGGCACCGGCTGTAATGCAAAAAAATTCTAGCTATGAGCATCAATTAAAACGAAAATAATATTTGCTATGAGAGATGCAGAATATTATAACAATTTAAAATATATTTAATCAACATCAACACATTTAAACTATATCAAACCAAGACATGAGATTTTGCTACACAAGTGTTCGACATATCGACCGTCTTCTGTTATGGACAGACAGGGCAGTTTTTGAATATTTCTCGCGGAATTCATTAACTCAGTGGGGGTGAAAGATACCCTGTCATAACTGCTAAATATTTCTAATTATTGTCTAGATTATACGGAAGAATAAGGAACCTTTATTCTTCCGCAAATATATCCATAGAATTAGATCCATGGGCAGATAGTCAGGCGGCCTCGACGGCCAACGGCTGGGATCTTGGTTAGCTATTCAATTATTTTTGAAATTGGTATAAAAATTTGCTGATAACTTCAGCGTTCAGAGGTGGTGCGTCGTCTTGATAGAAAAATATGTTTTCGAGTTCCATTAAGGGCATATCATCAATAAGGGGTCCAAAGTCTACTACTCGTAGTTAGAAGTGGCGAACTTTTAAAAATTCTGTATTTCGAAGGGGATTATAACAAAATATCAAGTGTGCAATATTTTTGGAAAGGTAATTTTAAATTCTTTTCAGTTAATTAAAAATATAGAGGGTGTCCCAAATAAAAATCAATTTTTCTGTTGATAACTCTTAAATTATTAATTTAAAAAAAAATACACTTAAACCATTAAATTCTACGTAAAAAGGTGCTTTGGAAATGTTTTCATAGAAATACAAAATTTTCCATAGTAAAAAAGTTACAGCGATTTGTTAAAATGCACATTTTTGAAAAACACCCCGTAACTCCGAAACGGTAACAGATATTGATGTGCGGTTTTCACAATCATGTTTTTGATGAAAATTGAGCTCCAGACACCCATATTAGTTTTCGTCTATCTCCTATAGAAAAAGGTGTTTTCATTTAAACGCGTCGAATTTGACCCACCCTGTACTGATTAGTCAGTTAGCGAATATAATAAGAGTTATATATCTTTTAGCCGGCTGGCAAAATGCTTATTGGATATTTGGTATAAAATTAAAAAATAAACCCTTCTTCTACTGGATGGACTCAGGTGTAAGGGTCACGTACGACAAATATTGGCCTGGTGAACCAACTAATTATAATGGGACTGAAGACTGTTTGGATATCTTCAAAAATGACAACGGAAATTTTGGTTGGAACGATGTTCCTTGCAATTTACATTTCAAATATATATGTCAGAAACCAATGCCGCCGTATGTATGAATATGTAAAGTGTGTGTAACACACAAATTGTTGTGTTTGAACGGTGAGAACCAGCTCTGGACAGCCCACCTAATGAAGGGTAGGCCGAAAACCTGGTCGTGGAAGTAGGTGTTGGTTCCCACTTTAACGGCAAACATAACAATATTTTTGTTGTTGTTAATAATAGTTTTACAGCGCTTTCAGATGGAGCGGAGCGTCCGCGACTTCGAGCAAGTACCATGAGTTTATATGAACAATTTCACATGGGTCGCGTATGCTCCGTCCGGATGATTTCGTCCGACATATAAACTCATGGTACTTGCTCGAAGTCGCGGACGGTCCGCTCCATCTGAAAGCGCTGTTATGTATTTTATATGTGGTGCGAAAAATCTCTTTATATAGAGGGTGAGTCTTAAATAAAGGCAATTACTTTTAGAGTGGTATATTTTAACCCCAGAAACACGCCTATGAGGGTTTTTCGCGAAAAAAATACAAAAATTTGGTATTTTTAAATTTTTTTTATTTTTAGTTAAAAAAATGCTATCTTAATATTATGGTAACACGGGTAGTAGATTAAATTTGCACGAAAGAAAGCACTGAAAAAATCTCTCAGAGAAAATATCTCTCTTTTATCGAGATCTACCAGCCCAGAAAGTATTTACACTTATTTATGACCCACCCTGTATAGTATTATCTACTCACAAACACTTGCATGCACTTCGCATCTTTTTATTTTCATCTTCTATTTTCATTTGAAACATGCCTATTACTTACTTTTTTGTTTCATTTTTAGGATTTGCCAAACTTGCAATTATGGTTCTGAAGTATTGCCAGAGTTGTACAGAAAATAAATTGTAAACAATAAAAAAAGTAGTAATAAATAGTTTTTAAAAGTAAACTTTTATTTTAAATAATTAAAGTGATGTAACTAATATTAAAGGTAATGTTAAAGGTTTAATAAATTCCAAAATTAAAAAGAAAGAAAGTTTCACAATCACAGATCTGAAAATTATTTTCTTAGATCTTAACAGCATAATACCTTTGTTTATATAGGGTGATTTACGGCGATGGCACGTTAGACGTTTATGGAGAATCGGTAATAGAATTTTTTTGAAAATTTCAATTTTTACATAAAGGCACCTGCTCCATCTTTATAAAATATTTTCAGCATTACAATGTTGCCGCATTACTTGAAAAGTGGTAGCATCTTTCTTATTTTAAACTACTTTCATATCTTATAATTTTCCTGTTGTACTAACCTCTACCTATCTCGAATAGTTTTTGAGATAAAAAATAAAACTTGTGTAAAATTGACAAAAACATGATCGTGAATAAACATTGGTAAAATCATGAATTAAACATTTCTAAAGTTGAAATTTGGGTTGTAAGTTAGCGAAAGTACCGTGTGATCGAAAAAAAAAACGGCGTCCAGTTGGCTTGGACATGACGATCCATGACATTTCCCATATAATTTTACATATAAAATGACAGCGATCTTCATTTCATAGCCATCGTTGACGCCGTTTTTATTCGATCATACTGTAGATATAATCGATCTGTCTAAATAATATGATTGTACATTACACAGGGAGAACAAAAATATTATTTATTTCCGTTTGTTATAAAATTGCTTAAATCTTTGTTATTTTAAATTCAACCCTATGTATATTATTTAAAAAACAAGACTAATAAAAGAGCTTTTTAAAAATTAATAATTCTATTATTATATAATAGTTTCATTTCAAGAATTTCGTTACCATGGCAATTTTAGCTAATCAGCACGTAAACTCTAACTGATACTTATAAAGTTTGAATATTTGTCATGGTAACGATTTTCTTTAAACGAAACAATTATAATAGAATTATTATTTTGTTTTCCATAGCAACTGTTAAAATTGCCTTATATCTATGAAAAATAGTAGATAAAATACCGTATGATCGAGAAAAAACGGCGTCAGCGATGGCTATGGAATGAAGATCGCTGTCATTTTATATGTAAATTTATATGGGAAATGTCATTGATGTTCATTTCCCAGCCAACTGGACGCCGTTTTTTTCCATCATACGGTAGTACTTTAACCGCAAGGGTAGATTCATAGACAAACAAATAAAAAGAGACTGACAAATCTCATGGTAAAGAGTGGGACCGCGTTCCCATAGCGCAACTCAAATAACAGTTTTGAAACCAATTAGCAGGACCATGGCAGGACGTACGTCTTTATTGCTATCTTTCTTTATTATGTGTGCTATATATGAAAAAGAAAGAGATAGGTATAAAACGTATCGTAAGACATTATCGCACATTCTGGCTGGCGGAAAATTTAAATTAGCTATTATTAGTAGTATTCTTTCATTCTGAAACTGAAAATTTTCACTTAAACTGATTTATTCCCTATACCAGGTAAAGGGAACGTGGTGTAGGGAATAAATTAGTTTAAGTCAAAATTTGCAGTTTCTTTCAGAACGAAAGAATACTACTATTATAAGGGAAATTATAAAAAAAGCAAAAATTGTACTGTTTATAAACATATTTATTTATACATAAAAATAAATAAACTTTTTATAATATAATAACAAAAAATAACAGTGTTTATTCCATCCACCTACCAATTTTAAATGCAGAAGAACTGACTGTTGCAGGAAACGATCGGCCAATTTTTTTAAAGGGCATTAAAAACCTCATTTTCGAAAAAACTGCCTAATTGCAATAACAAAGTGAATATCCAAGCAAAGAAGACTTTACGAGAATCATGATCCTGAACCATTTTCAAGTCCAGTTTTAATCCTAAAACAAAAGTAAAATAGGTATATTAATAAAGTTTCTGGTTACTATAAACCAGTTATAAACTAGCTACCCAAAAAATGAAAAAAATTAATTGTATTAATTTATGTTAAGAGAGGTTCAAAATATTTTTGACACTACTACTTCTACTTTTTTCTTAATAAGATGATAAATATAACTACTTACTTTTATTTTACCGGGTGTCTTTAACATATCTATCAGAAAAAGGGGGCACCAATACATATAAAAAATAGATGATACTGGCTCCTGTAGCAAATAAAATAACAAATAGTATAACCGAAAATTATAAGTAACAAAATATAAATACCTATGTGGAACAAAGGAATTTGTTCCCTATCCATATTCATAAGTCAATAAAATGGAGAGTTTAGAAAAAAAAGGTAAATCACCAAAAGAAAAATTAACAATTATGACGAATTGTCATGATGTTGTCATCTTGGTTGTCATGATGACGAAAAAGAAAGGAAGACGAAAGGCGATTGTTCTAATTTCTATTTAGAAATTACGTTTTATATGGCTGCTTCTTTCTCTCTTGTTATATTAGAATGAGATAGTGGGTCTAATAGACGCAATGCGCAGATCAACATAAATAGAATGAAATTTTGCGTTCTGAGCAGAATTCGGAAGTAGTTAATTAAGACGTAATTTACCTGATTAACTACGTGTAGTTTTTCTTCAAAAACTACGTCATTTCCCGTTCATTAACTACATGAAAACTACGTTAATAAACTATGTATTAATATTATGAATAATTTTGCTTTGTATGAGGGGTTTAAATAATATGATGTGTGAATATTATATTTAAAGCCATATTTCTTCTGTTTTCTTAAATACATTGTGTTTTCTAAAGCTTCAACTTATTATAATCTCACCTCAAACCTTTGATATTTGAAAGTTACATACATAGGTTACATAAACTACACCCTCTACATAAACTACATTAACTACATGTAATGTAGTTTATGTAGTTTTTAAAAGTAACATGTAGTTTTCCGAACCCTGGTTCTGAGTTGCGCTACGGGAACGTTGTCCCGCTCTTTGCCATTTAAGTCCCTTTTTATTTGTTTGTCTATGGGTAGATTAAATGATACTTTAACAGCGAGGATAGGTTAAAAACTTTAATTCTTCTCGCACGTTTTTTAATTGCTTCCATTTTTGAACATTTTTGTATCCCTTTCCATAGGTTATTCGGGATTTAAATGAAAGTAGTTTGGATATGGCGTTTGTCGCCTCAGCCTGAATATCTGTTGGTAATTTACTTATTTCGTTTTGAGCCATTTCTGGCTCCAATTCAATCAGCAATCGACACGAAAGAGAATTAAAAAATATTGACTCAAAACTGACAATTAAAGAGACAGCTTTATTTATTTATCAAATTACATAGAAACCAACGCCAACCCAGCACAATATTTTTTCTACTCGTAATAAATTCCTTAAAATAATAATTTCTGAATATTTTTTAAAACGTAACTCGCCATAGAAAAGAATATTGTTTTATACAAAACGATAAAATTGCATTATTTTCGGTCGACGATAAAATACCATTTTATCGTCTTGTATAAAAAATAACTATTTATTACGTAATTAATGATATCTTCTGAGATTGAGGATAAAATTCGAGTTGCATTACGATTCGATCTCGATCTAAAAGAATCGATTCTATAAAAAATCGATTCAAAAAATCGGGAATCGCATGTCAAAAAAACGATTTTCTGAAGAATCGATTTAAATCAAACATCCCTAATAGAAATATTATTCTGGTACAGAGGTGTGATTCCGGGAATGTGCGCCATGAATGAAGGAACTAATGTACGTAAAGTGATCTCTTTTACTCACCTATCTACGCTAGAATCTCTACTGGGTGGTCTTTTGTAGTGGTCGAAATGGTCGATGGACGACTGCTGCCCTATACTGCCCAAGTACGGCCGGTCCCCCGACACCCTCCTTGACATCCTCCTCACCGAATTGGCCATCATCGCACTGTCTTCCCCTCCGATGCTCTTTCTACCCGCACCTCCCCCACTATCGTTGAACCCGACCGTCGTGAACTCATTGTTGTGCAGTTTTTCATTATTATGCAACGAAGACACACCGAACTCGTTTTGGACACCGGCAGGGTTGTTGTACATGTTGTTCTGTAGCGTCGTAGGGTTGTTCGAGTGGCCGGGGTTGTTTGTCAGCGGTTGCTGTTGCTGTTGATATTGTTGCTGTTGTTGCAATGGCTTGTTGGGACCTTGATACTGGTTCTGTTGTTGGTACAGGTTCGGTTGTTGGTTCTGAAAGTTTGAAAAATTTTGTTGTACAGGCTGGGCCAAATTGGAGGCTTTTAAATAGCTCCCTTTTCTATAGGAGATAGACGAAAACTAATATCGGTCTCTGAAGCCCAATTTTTATCAAAAATATGATGGTGAAAACCGCATATCAATATCTGTTACCGTTTCGGAGTTACGGGGTGTTTTTCAAAAATGTGCATTTTTAACAAACTGCTGTAGCTTTTTTGCTATGGAAAATTTTGTATTTTTATGAAAACATTTCCAAAGCACCTTAATAATCTAAGGCTTTTCAACAGAAAATTTTATTTTTTATATGGGACACTGTATATTTTTAATTCATTGAAAATAATTTAAAATTACTTTTCCAAACATATAGCATACTTTGATATTTTGCTCGATTCTTCTTCGAAATATAGAGTTTTTAAAAATTCGCCCACTTTGAATAAGTAGGCTTTGAACAGGGCCGGCTGTGATGCAAAAAAAAATTCTAGCTGTGAGCAACAATTAAAACGAAAATAATATTTCGAATGAGAGATGCAGAATTTTATAACAATTTAAACCATATCTAACAACATCAACACATTTAAACTATATCTCAATAAAAATGAATAGCAAACCAAAACATGAGATTTTACTAAAGATGTTAGACATGTCGACCGACTGTTATGGACAGACGGGACCGTTTTTGAACATTTCTCGCGGAATTCACTAGCTTAGTGGGGGTGAAAGATACTCTCACACAAGCGCTAAGTACCTACTTCTAATTCTTGTCTAGATTATACAGACAATTTAAAAATAAGAACCTTTATTCTTCCGCAAAAATAAAAATCCATAGGCACCAAGTCCGGCGGCATCGACGACCAACGGCTGGGATTTTGGTTAGCTATTCAATTTTATTATTCTCGAAATTCTCTGCAAACGTTAGCTGATAACTTCAGCGCTTTGAGGTGGTGCCTCGTCTTGCTGGAAGAATATGTTTACGAGTTTCATTAGGGACAGATCATCAATAAGGGGTCCAAAGCCTGCTAGTCAAAAGTGGCGAACTTTTAAAAATTCTGTATTTTGAAGGAGGCTATAACAAAATATCAAGTGTGCTATATTTTTGGAAAGGTAATTTTAAGTTCTTTTCAGTTAATCTATACTAATATATAAAATCCTTAAGTGATTCACTGATTAATCACAATCCTGCTCAGACCACTCAACGTAAGAAGCTCAATTTTGGCATACAGGTTGATTCTAGGGTGTAGAGGTTCGATAAGAAGGGATTTTTCGAAATTCCAGTTCCAAGGGGGTGAAACCACCCCTCAAATATTACAATATTTTTTATTTAAAAAACGGCCAAGTTTCCGAAAAAACGCTTAAACACGTATATTTTATTTTGTTTTTTTACATATTTTAAGATTTTTTAAAAATTTATACAGGGTGTTTCATAAAATATGACCATTGAGTAATTACGATTCTGCTTAAACTGCTTGACGTTTAAAGCTGATTTTTGGCAAACGGATTGACTGTGGGGTGTAGAGGTTCGATAAGGAGGGGTTTCTCGAATCTCAAATTCCAAGAGGGTGAAACATATACAATATTTGTTATATAAAAAACGGTTAGTCTTTCGGGAAAACGCTTGGACACGCATAATTCATTTTGTTTTTTTACATATTTTGAAATTTTTTAAAAAACCATACAGGGTGTTCCAAAAAGTTGGCTAATTGATTAACCTCGATTCTGCTTAAACTGCTTGACGTAAAAAGCTTATTTTTTTGGCAAACGGATTTTTCGAAAGTCAAATTCTAACGAGATGAAACTATCCCTCAAATATTACCAAGTTATATAATAATATCGCCATATTGTTTTTTCTCATGCTGACATAAATGTTAGAAAATTTTATCCAGTTTGTATGTTAATGGAAATTCTTGCTTTGCTTTATCATCATCATTACAAATGATTAATTCGACCCGAACGAAGTCGCGAGTACACACTAGTTAAAAATATACAAGGAGTTTTTAACTAAATATACAAGGTGTCCGAATAAAAAATCAATTTCTTTGTTGATAACTCTTAAATTATTAATTTAAAAAAATATATATATATATACTAAACCATTGACGTGATTCTACGTAAAAAGTTGCTTTGGAAATGTTTTCATAAAAATACAAAATTTTCCATAGCAAAAACGTAACTCCCGTAACCCCGAAACGATAACAGATATTGATATACGGTTTTCACTATCATGTTTTTGATAAAAATTGAGCTCCAGACACCGATATTAGTTTTCGTCTATCTCCTATAGAAAAGGGTGTTTCCGTTTAAAAACGTCCAGTAAATTTGTCTATTTAATTTATTTCTCCGAGGTCGTACCTGTTGCTGGTACATATTCGACTGAGGTGGTACGGCATTAGGCATCTGGTTCATCATCGGATTCATCGGATTGTTGATTTTGTTCCCTATCTGGTTCCCGATCTGGTTAGGCATTTGGTTGGTGATCTTGTTGGGTATCTGGTTGGGCGTGAGAATGTCTTTTTGTTCGATCGAGGTGTCCAAGTTCCTGTTCTGTTCCCGGTACTTCATCTGGCGGGCTTTCAGTTTCTCCAGACCGGGCTGCTTGAAATCGGGAGCGTACTGCTTGGCTACCGTTTCGGCTACTTCGGAGTCTTCCCGTGCTTGGGCTGCTGCGATGTCTGCTTGTTCGGCCTTGCCACGAGCGAATGCTGTCCTGGAAAAAAAAATATATAATAATATACAGAGTGGTCAAAGTCTGGCTTTGGGTTCCGGTTTTCGTAGGTACGAAGAGTAAAGTCGATCTCTCAGTACAATAGGTTGTACTGGGTGGTCCGAACTATATTCCGGAAACTTTGACAGCATATTCTGCAGATAAAAATAAGTAAAAAACTTCGTATAAATGTATGACCTAAAATGCTTAGTTTCGGAGATACAGGGTGTAGAAGTTTCATTTTTATTTCGGATTTTTCCAAATAATTTCTCAAGTAACGTCAATATTTGGATGAAAATTAGTGTCTGGGAGTTTTTTAACACGAGAAATCTCATTTTGATGTCAATATGACTCTTATTTTTAGAGGGCACCACCTACGTGTGTTTTAATTGCTTTGAAGAGTAATAACTTTTCGTCCGTATCCGTATAAAATTACTGACTGAAAAAATATACATTCCCGTAATTTTTTACGTAAAAAATTATTTTTTGTAATTTATGTCAATGATGACTATTGATAATTTCGATTCCAAATTTCTCGAGAACCATTACTCGTAGCGATTTTTACCTTTTTTACGTAAAAAACGTCGTATATGTATATTTTGTACTCAGTAGTTTTATACAGGTACGGACGAAAAGTTCAAACCAGTTAAAAATATGTAGGTGGTGCCTTCTACAAGTAAGAGGTCATATTGACATCAAAATCAAATTTCTCATGTCAAAAAACTCCCAGACACCAATTTTCACCCAAATATTAACGAAAGAAGTTTTTGACTTATTTTTATCTGCAGAATATGCCGCCCAAGTTTCCGGAATACAGTTCCACCTGTAACCACCCTGTATAAAAAAACAGAAAAGAATACCACTCCTTTTAATGATTTCCGATATAGCAACTTACAGCTTTTTATATGTTTACAAAATATGAATATGTATTAAATATCAATATTAGTATTTATAATAATTTATTTATTAAACATTAATATAAACTAAAGATGGATATGTATATAAAGTATCCAATTAGTTTAAACATCTCAAGATAATGCTTTGCAAAAAAATATTGTGTTTAGTTGGGCTGGACCAGACATGATAGGAGAATGAGCTTCAAGATGCGCAGAAATGAAGATCCTCATGGCCGCCATGTTCATGCTTAGGTCTATAGGGGGAAGTCAAAAAGTAATGATTATACTAGAGTGGTTAATTATCTTAAGATTTATTGTATTACCTGTATTACAGTTTTGCGGTATTATATCTATAAAAAATAAATAAGTATTTTAGGAAATACCAAGTATGTGGTACCAAATTATTCATAATTTTTTTTCCAAATATGCTAATAAGCCACCCTCGTTCTATTTGAAAACATTGAGATATGATTAAAAATACGATTTGGGCATCTTTAAACCGACCAGGACAAGACACGAAAAACATTAGACAAATCTATTTTTCCAAGGCTCCTTCATTAAAAGTTAGCGTTTTTAACACAGTCATGGAACTCTAGATTGAAATTTAAAATACGATTTTTTTAAAGCGAAATTGTCAAAAGTTGACACATATCTGTCATTCTATTCAGATTGTTATTTTCTATCGAATAAAGTAAAAAAATACCGAGAGTGCCCTTTAAAAATCAAAAGTTGTTGTCATTTCCGGTGAAACAGGAAGTGACCAGAAACAATCGAATACGCCAATCAATCTTGTTTTATGTCGTATACTAAACATACCAAATTTCGTTTTTTTATGGGAAAAAATAAAACAGTTAAGAGATGCACCCGGTATTATTTTTATTTAACCTTTCGAGGGCTGTAACTTATTTGGAAAGCATTTTAGGGCATATGTTGATAGGAACTTTTGGAATTGTTTTTATCTGCAGAATCATCCACCTTAGATACACTATTTTTTGACACCTTGTATAGGATATTTTAGTATGTATTATTATATAAAATTAGGCTATATCCATAGATAAATGAAACAAGTTTAGATTGGAAAGTGCCCATAAGGACAATGTAAACACTATTTAGCGCTATCCTTGCAACGGTCGCGACCCAAAACTTTTGAAAATTTCGGAGCGGTTCGGCTTTTTCCGGAATTATATCGCCAAATATTGTTTATTCAAATTTATTATTATTTTCATTTAATTTTATAAATAAAAGACAGTGTGTTGCATACAAGAAACTTTATTTTATATATGGACGCATGTATGAAATACCTATGAAACATTGGAAACCGACGTTATGCCACGATCCACGATGGTTTTTGCAGTTCACAGTTCATAGCACAGCTTTTTAAGTTTTTAATCAAATGGCACTTTTTCACAATTATCACCGGTTGGAGTAAATAAAACTTGAATTAAACTCACAAGATAGCAATTATTACTTTGAAAATGGACGCTATAAACACTTTTCGGAATTTCTTTAATGAGAGCGGTTTGGATTTTGAAAGATTATTATGATTTTTGAAGATTCTGACTTTGACAAGAGAAAATTATTTCTGTTTTTGTTTGTTGTTGTTCTTAGCAACCGCTATAGCAGCGCCAGATCGCGTATAACGGTTGCGACCCAAAATAATTTCGCGACCTAAAATTTTTACGGGCTTTCCAATCTAAACTTGTTGCATTTATCTATGGCTATATCGGATGGGATATACAGGGTGAATCAAATCAAGACCTCGAAGTAGTAAGTGATTACCTATTAATGGCGATATCCGCCTTCTGCAGCGCGATCTTGGACGCCCTCTGCGCAGCGTTGACCGCCGCGTCGATTCGCTCCCTAAATTTCGCGCTGCGCATCAAAAAGAGTTTCTTCTTCTGACTCGTGATGAGCACATTGTTCTTGTACTTGCCCTCCTCCTTCTCGCCGTTGCTGAACGTGGTGACGCCGTAGCCGTACTTCTTGTTGGCGTACCACTCGCCCTCGTACCGCAGCCCGTCCGAGCGCTCGCTGATGCCGTACCCCGACCGTTTGTCGTTCTTCCACTCGCCCATGTAGGTCTCGGTCACGCTGGGGTCCATTTGTTCGTCCTGGAACGGGATTAGATGCATACAGATGCGTATAAAAAATAGAGTAGTCGTATACCGATACCGGGTTATACAGGGTGTCCCAGGCTTCCGGAAATATAATTAAATAATATATTTTATAAACTAGCTAAATATTTTTGAATATTATTTTTATTTTTTTGCTCTTTGACATTGTAAACATTTATAAATGTTTATTTTAACAATAAGACTGACAATATTATTTGTATAATGTTTTGTATTATCTTTTGTTTGTTTGTTTGTGTACCTTGTTTTTTACTTTGTTTGTTAGTTTAGCTTTGTCTACAAATTGAAAAATTTTTTGACAATAAAGGCATTTATTTATTTATTTATTTAAATATCGGAAGTTGACAGCAACCTTCTTATTTTAAATGGGTCTATTTTTTATTACATACTTAAATTCTCTTTAACATTCTATGAATATTGACGTTAAACTCTCTATACCTAACATTAACCGTTTTTGAGAAAAAAAAATATTTAAAATTTTTGAACGAAAAAAGTACCTGTCAAAAAAAATTGTATAGTCTAAAAGTCAAATTTAGTGATTACCACAGCCACTGTGCCATAAAGAGAAGACATGTGGCTATCTATTTCAAAAATTAAATTGTTCAAATGTCATTCAATAATGGCGGTAGCTGTCATGGAATTGAGCGATTAAAAAATTATCATATACCTATCATTTCTTTCGATATAACAATATAATTTTTTCGATATTAACAATGATATGTCATTTTATTCAGAATGTCATTTTCTATCGAATGAAGCAAAAAAATACCGAAGGTGTAATTTAAAAATCAAAAGTTGTAGTCATTTCCGATGAAATAGGAAGTGGCCGAAAAGAATTGAATACGTCAATCACTCCTAATTTATGTCATATACTAACATACCAAATCTCGTTTTTTATTTGAAAAATAAAAAAGTTATAGGGGTGAGCCACTTTTGAGATGTACCCTGTATACAAACTTTCGCGTTTATAATATTTATTTATATCATATTATTATTAAGTAATAGTTTAAATATAGTAGGCAAAATATTTACTTACATCGATCACAAAGCTAGCATTGGAATCTGAAGGCATTGAAGCGTTGGTCATTGCTGAGCCAGCCGAATCAGTACTGATGTACGATGCTGACGAAGCGGTACTTTTTATGCTGCCCGATCCTGTCCGTCTGTCCAGTTCGCCCGTACTTGCTCCCTTTTTTAGAATACCCTAAAAATAAAACTTTATTACAATATTTTTACTTAATAAATTATTCATTTAAGATACACTATCTACTTTTAAATTAAAACTGAACAGGTAACACCAGTCAAATGTCAACATATTTTAAGTTGTCAACCTATGATTTTATTGTCAAATGATATTTGATTGTTGCGCTGTTTAAACTACTACGTTATAGTACCTACGGTTAGGATCCCAGAAATGCATTTTGCTTAAAACTTGTTCGAATTAGGAAAAAACCTAACGTCTAGAAAATACAATTTACATTCACAAAATCATAGTAAAAAAATGTGTTCGAATCAAAGAATGTAAAGATTATTTAAGAAAGGGGGATTTTCACAAATCTAAGATTTGCCAGCATTCATGGTTAGCTAGATGAAATAAAATGCTCAAAATACTTCCTTTCCTGTTAACTGCATAAAATGATTGTCTTTTTAGAAGGATCTTTTCATTTTAAAAGGCATATGTGGAGTTCTACGTCGAAAAGCAGCTACAATAATTCCTCTCATGTTGTTGACAATAGTTGGTCGACTTTTGTAAACACTGTCTTTAACATATCTCCATAAAAAAACCAGACTAGATAAAATCAGGAGCATTTAACTATTTTATTAATTGGTGAATGCACACTGCATTCACCAACTAATAGAATCATATCAATTCTTTCTGATGTAGGATAAGTTTGCATTTTCGGCAAATTTCTGAAAATTTTTTTTGTGTGTTTTAACTGACACAAAATGATAACCAGTTGTTAAAGTTGGACTAATGAGACAGCTATGTTGAAGTAACGTCAGACATATCACAGCCACATCACAGCCACCTAAATTTTATGAAATAATCAAGATCTACTCAGATCAAATCGTGTAAATGAAAATATCTAGGAAAATCTTTGTTGAGGGGTAGGCAACCTTAATAGTATTTTGAAGAGACATGAATTCTCCACTGAATATCGGAATAATATACTGGGTGTTCCATTTAAAATAAAAGAGTAACGTGCTTTTGAAGGTGACCAATATTCAATATTAATTTTGTCCCACACTGTGTATAACTTTTTGGATCAAGTTTTAGTTTGATTTAAAGTACAATGGTTACTTTAACTACATATTAGGTTATACCGGGTAAATTCTAATTTAGGTAGCATTTATTGTAATTTTCTAATAAACAAAATTTGTTTATTAGTAAGCCACTGCTGACAATTAGTCTCCGTTGGATTAACGCCCAGCAGTGTTTGCAAAAAATAACTATTTTATTTTGTAGATTTTCTTACTGTTTGTTTCTTACAGCAAAATACCCATAGGACTTTTTTGGAGACAGAAAATCATATAGGTTCACAACTAAAAGTATGTTGGCATTTGCTTGGTTTTGCATTGTTACCTGCTCAGTTTCGATTTAAAAATACATACAGTTTCTCTTAAATTAGTTAAAATCGCCTTGTTCAAAATTGGCATTTTGTTTCAGTATACTCAAACCTTTAAACAAGCTCTTTATGACTTCGCTGTAAAATCGACAGGGGAGCCAATATTTGGACAGTTCAAAATTCGCATCTTATATATTATGGTACTAACTTTAATAAAATTCTTCTTGATGTTCCCACTCCCTAACGACCTCCTCCTACTCCCCACTGCAGGCTCGGTGCTCTTGCTCTGCAACACGAACCCCCCTCGGGAATCGTCCACCCTCCTGTCCCTTTTTTCCGCCGCATCCACCGGTACTCCTCCTACTTCGTTACTCCTCAATGACGTCAGCGAGGCCCTGAGCGCCTTGTTGCCTCTGTACTTGGAGGCCTTGCCGAAGGGGGCGCTTGTGCGGATGCCGTAGCCGTGGCGCATACCCCGCATCCATTGCCCCTGGTACGTGCCTGGAAAATAGAAGAGAAAAAATTAAATATAAACCATTCAATATGAAGGAATTTACAGTGAAATTTCGTTGAGTGAAGGGCTTGAGATAAATCGCCTGTTTAAAAATAAACATATTTCTTTAAATTCAAAACGTTCATTTTTAAGACACTGTATACATAAATAAAATTATTGATTTTTATAATATTATTCGTAAACTAGGGAGAGGGAAATCAGACAACGAATAGAGATGATAGGTGTTAAATAATAGCTTTTTTCCATAGCAACTGTTAAAATTGCCTTATATCTATCAAAAATAGTAGATAAAATAGTACTTTAATCACAAGGGTAGATTAAATGATACTTTAACAGCGAGGATAGGTTTGGAAAACTTTAAAAAAAACTTTATTTCTTCTAGCACGTTTTTTAATTGCTTTCATTTTTAAAAATTTTTGTATTCCTTTTCATAAGTTATTCGGGATTTAAATGGAAATAGTTTGGATATGGCGTTTGTCGCCTCAGCCTGAATATCTGTTGGTAATTTACTTATTTCGTTTTGAACCATTTCTGACTCCAATTCAATCAGCAATCGAAACGAAAGAGAATTAAAAAATATTGACTCAAAACTGACAACTAAAGAGACAGCTTTATTTATTTGTCAAATTACATAGAAATCAACGCCAACCTTGAACCCAGCATAATATTTTTTCTACTCGTAATAAATTCCCTGAAATAATAATTTCTGAATATTTTTTAAAATGTAACTCGCTATGGAAAAAAATATTGTTTTATACACGACGATAAAATTGCATTATCGTCTCCCGAAATTAATTCACTCGCGATTTCAATACAATAAAATACCATTTTATCGTCTTGTATAAAAAATAACTTGATACAACTAAATACATCGGTGGCTAAAAATGACCAGAAATAAGGTTTTAAAAATTTTCTTGTAATTATAAAATAGGTAAAATAGACGAAATTTGGTGATTTTTCAGAAGATCTGGAATTTTTTGTGAAGTTGAAGGAATATGAAGGTTTTTTGAGGGTCCGTTGAAGAAATTCGCTCGAAAATTTCTGGCAACGCTGTTCTATAAAAAAATACATCTACAGAGCGTAGACGATCACACGTATCTAGGAAGGCTGTCGAATTTAGAACACCATCCGCAGATTTCAGCATCCCTTATGAAGTTGAAATGATCACACCGTAAAAGGACATCGGCCACCTTATTAAAACTATGGCGAGGCATCTCAATGAGTGTGTCAGAAATCGGGGATCAGCAACACACTATAGAGCCAAATTTATGAATTCAATCATCATCATCATCATCATTTTCAGCTTATTCAACCATTGCCAATTATGGTGTAGCCTCTCTCACCCATTTAGATACTCTTTTTGTAGTTGGGCCCATTGTTATCTATTGTTGGTTATTAGTGATGGGAATACCGGTTCCACATGAGTCGCGTTACAATAGCGACCGTTCCAGAAAAATACCGCGACAAAATACCGTGATTTTGTAACCGAAGTTCCGACTTCCAAAGTGTCGCGGTCCTTGCTTATGTAGTATTTCTGGCATTGGTACCTACTTTTATTTTATACTACCTACCTACTCCCACAAACCACTGTCAAAAAAAATCTTTATTGGTGACCGGTTTCGGCAATTCCAGCCATCATCAGACCTTAAAAATAGATATAAACAATAAAACATATAAATGTATAAAAGCAAATAAAATTTTCATTTTATTTTATGTGCTTTTACGTTTCATCTTTCAAACAACGCTATTTTATACCATGCTTAGTAGATACCAAAAATCGCTATTTCAAAAGTAAAGTAGCGACAGGAGCAATAACGCCAATAGTAACCGACCCAATCGCTACAAGCAAAGTAAACCGCCTCCGAGGTCGAGCGTCGATGCCCAGTGCCCAGTTACAGCAGTTACTTCTGTTCGCGACTGGGAACTAAAACTCTAGGAGCGCGACGGCTGGAGCGAAGTAGGCCGCCGCCGAGGTCGAGCGTCGATGCCCAGTGCCCAGTTACAGCAGTTACTTCTGTTCAGCGACGGCTGGAGCGAACACGTCGCCATCGAGATCGCCCGACGCTACGTACAGTTCCAGTAATTTTATTGTAGGCGACCGACGAAATCGCGACGGCTGGAGCTAAACACGTCGCTATGCGGTTACTACGGTTCAAACTAACTTCAAGAGCGATTATAAATAATTTATTTGTAAATTATAAATCATTTATAACTTTGTCGTCATTATGATCGTCGTTCTTCAGTAACAGGTTCCCCATACGTGTTCCCGTCACGGCGTTACGAAAAAATACCGCTCCAAAATCGCGTTACTCAAATACCGATATATCACTATTGGCTATACGGGCCCAAGTTATCCCTGCTAATTTCCTAATATCATGATCCCATCTCAAGTTTGGTCTTTCTCTAGGTCTCCTAATTTCTCGTGGGTACCATGCTGTAATTTTTGTGGTTCATCTGTTATCCGTCCTTCTTGCCAAGTGTCCTGCCCATTGCAACTTGAGGGATTTGATGTGTGGATGATATCTATTACCTGGGTCTTTTGTCGTATCCACTGTATTCTTTTATGGCCTTTCTTGGTTACACCCATATGAATTCAATATATGAATTCAAATAGTTGTTTTCCTTTTTTGTCACTCAATATATTAATTTGATTATTCCGAGGTGAAAACTATTTAAATGGGTTGTCAAAATCGATTTAAATGACACGTAATTTATTCCAAATCACGTCCAATATTAACATAATGACGAAAAGCATTCCTGGGAAAATTACTACATCGATTCGCTTAGAGGAAAACCGACCAAGCTATATATAAACGACAATGCGTCAGCTTATCTTGTTCATTCATTAGAAAATGTTTTTCATTTTAGATAATGTATATTCGCCGCTAGGTATTCTACACAAAAACAATATCATTATACTATTTACTAAATTCCTGCAAGTTTACTAGGTTTTATTCAGCCTGCCTGCTGCATTTTAAAGGGATCTAAACAATGTTTTTTTAAGTATAAGTTTCATTCAGAACCTCAAAATTAGTGGAATAAATTAGTGGTTTCATTTAGCATAGATATATGTGTTCCACTAATTTTAATGTAGGCATTCAGAACGTCCAAATTAGTAGTGGTAGGTACTTTTGAAATACACTCACCGGCAAAAAAAACCGGCCACTAAAAATTAGTCCTAATTTCAGAGTTGGATTTCTCGCGAACCACTCATTAAATTTTGATGATTTTTTTTAAATTGTAAATTAATTCCTTATTAATGGATGCTACGTCAGAAATTCTTATTCCGAATTTATTTTGAGCATATACAGGGCACAACAAGCACTGAAAAAAATATTGTTCATAATATTAATGAACATTGATTATTAACTGTTGTTTCGTTCAGACAATGATTTTTTTCATTAATATAATGCTTTATTAATCATAGATCGATGTCCGATTTATTAATACTATGAATCTAATTTCATGAATATAATGAAAATCTGGTTATTAAATTAATGTAAGATTTTCATTAATATAATAAACGCGTTCATTGTCCCAATGAACGCGTTCTTTATTTTAGTGCTGAAACTTTAATAAACACATATTCATTATATTAATATACTAAATCATTGATTAATGAGTTGTACATTGTGACAATGAACAATGTTATTAATACAACGAACACACTACATTATATTAATGTACGCGGTTATTAATATCATGAATAAAATATTAGGGCTTAAATGTCCGCCATGTTGATCGGTTACTTTGGCCCTTTAATAACGTCTGTGTGGTTGAGTTATTCAGTGAGGCTTTAGTTTCATTAGAGCGGTAAGTGTTCTCTTCAATATTTTAAATATTTTAAATAAAAGTCCTATCGTATTGTAGTTAATTTGTTGTGTTGTCAAATCAAATTCCGCTGTGTGAGATCTCTCTGGTATGGGTATTCATTAAAACAGCTGTTTCCAAATATGTTTCAGAAGATAAAAAACAAAAAGAAGAAAAACATAGCATAGGAACTGATTATGGTAAATTCGAATGTTCTTTTAATATTTGGCATTTTAATTATTTTGATATACGTCTTTTGGAACCGGAAGAAGATGTTGAGACCTGCCTTCAAGCCAAATTCGACAATTTAACATGGGACCCACTTGATGCGACTTGGAAAGCCTGTTGCAAATTCGTCTAGACGTTATCAAGTCTAAGGATACAACTAATATAATGAAGAAATGGTCTTTTTATAGAAATCCCTCAGGATATCGACTAGTAAATTAATTTTCTTATTATAATTTACCCTTATTATAAAATTAATAATAACATTACTATTCCCTTCGTCGATTCGATTTTTTTAATTTTTAATTTGTATATGCTATATTGAGTTTAATAAATTATTATTAGTTTATTGCACTTGTTTTTTATTAATAATCCCTAATGGAAAAATTTACTGTGCTCGTAAGTAAGTCGGCACTATTAGTAATTTTGTTACCTTTGTAGCTAAGGGCTTGTTCAAATGGAAATCTATTTATAGTAGAATTATTTCAGGTAGCTGGCTGGGAAATGACTATCAATGACATTTCATATCAATGACAGCGATCTTCATCATCGATTATACGGTGTAACAAGAGTTGCTAATAGTGTCGACTTTTAAATGTATAACTAAATAGGTTATTAAATTATTTCATTGTATTAATGATACGGTTCATTAATATAAGGATTTAGGTACATTATTTTAATGAAATCTGTTCATTGTACCAATGAATGTGTTCTTCAAATTAATGAACACTGTTCATTGATTTAATGAACTTAAAGTTCATAGAGTTAATGAATTACTTTTCATTGTGCCATGCAATGAAATCGTTCATCGACTCAAAATGAATGATTTAATTCATTATATTAATGAACTTTTTCATTATATTTATGTCGACTTTTGGTTCAGTGAATAAGACGAAGTTTTTTGCTCGAACTTTGTCACACCCTGTAGGGTGCAGCAGCTGTAGTAGCTATTGCTAAATCAAATCACATTGTAGCCTCATTTTTTGTAAGCATTTTGTTTTTTTAATTACGACACTATCTTTATTTGTATTGAAGATACGCTGCTTTAAAACGAACGTCTCGAAAAAATGCTTTGCAGGCAAAACTGCGACCAAACCAATTCGCACATGTAAACGCGCAAACTGAAGACGTGCTCGACGATGTCTTGGAAGTAGCTGGGTTCCTGTGGCAGGCCTCCTTGCAGACAAGCTGTTTTCTTTTAGTCTTCGTTGGATTGCTCTCTCACTGACTTGAGTTCTACGCACGGCTAGTAGCAGATGTCGATTCTGAAACGCTGTAATTCTACGATTTCGTAAAGTACTCAGGACAATAAAAGTCGTTAATTGCATTTGTCTTCCGTTTTCTTCCGGAACCCACTCGCCTGGTGAAATTTCCCGTTTCCATATACCGATTCCAGCCATCCTGGACTGTTGTACGATGTATACCCAGGGTATCGGACACAGAACGTTGACTTCGGCCATCCTCAATTAAAGCCACAATACGAGCAACCTAACCTAACCTTTGTTGTTATATTGCAAATACTCATAAATCCGTTTTCGCTTATGTGGCCTTGATTAATTACACATAAAACTTTCTGCCTGAGAAGCATTTTTCCGAGACGTTCGTTTTAAAGTAGCGTATCTCCAATAAAAAGAAAGATCATGTGATTAAAAAAACAAAATGCTAACAAAAGATGAGGCTACAATGTGATTTGATTTAGCAATAGCTACTACAGCTGCTGCACCCTACAGGGTGTTACAAAGTTCGGGCAAAAAACTTCGTCTTATTGTTGTGCCCTGTAAAAATTGCTGACGTAGCATCCGTTAAGAAGGAATTAATTTACAATTTAAATTCACGGCCTTGAATTTTTTTGGCCATGTTTATTTTTTAATTAATAAAGTTTGATGCCCCCTGACGGACAAACGAAGCACTTTTGTATAGAGGTAAATCGTCTCCAATGAACTTATATTGATTCCAAAAATACGTAGTAGTTCTATGTCCACGGAATACTGGGACACCCTGTATATTAAACAGAAGTTTTGGCAAACAAGTCCGTTTTAGAATTGGCAGCCATTTTGTGACGTGAATGTTCGTCGTCATGGAAACAGGAAACACAGATAAAACTGGGTTTGTGTTGATGTCAAACTGCTGGTGTTTCTATTTTAAAAAAAAACGTGTGTGGTTTTTTCGATTTTTTTGAAACGGGACAATTAAAATTAGATTACGGTTGATATTTATGTAATTCGAACAAAAACTGCGTTTCAAAGATTATTAGATTTGGAAAAGAGAAAAATTAACGGACTTTGATATGATTAGATAAAACTAAAGACTAAGTTGAATTTAATTTTCTTTTTAAAATAAGTATTTCTGTCGGCTTTCAATCACTATATATATACAAAAAACTGGACCATCCTGTATATATTCAAGTAAAATGTGAATTATTAGTTATCGAAAATAGGGTGTTCCATTACGTTGGCATCAAATTACTGATGCCCCTGGATGCAGTCAGTTTAAATGTTTGCGTGAACCGAATTGAACAGAATTATTAGTATAAAAAATGTATTTTAAAACAATTATACTCTTATTAATTATTATAGGTGAGTATCTAAAGTATAATTTGAAACAAATATATATTTTTTCTAAATGTTTACAGATTTAAAGACTTTTAAAATCACCCAGAATTTTTTTTGGTTTGTGTTTTTGTTTTATGTACACACATGTTATTTCTAAACATGTTCTCACTGATGTAGTTCTTTTTTATTGATAATACCGTATGATCAAAAAAAAGTAATCAGCGATGGCTATGAAATGAAGATAGCTGTTATTTTATATGTAAAATTAGGTTAAGCATACCGCCGTCAACGATAAATTAATTCAATTTTCCACCGGCATTTACAAATATAGAAATATCATGCTGACGGTATTTTTTGTATACAGGGTGTTACAAATTCGAGGTACGAGCATTGGTGTCTCGGAAACCGTAATAGATACGAAGATGGTTAAATTGGGGCAAAGTTGCTCATTAGGATGTTCACCAAGATGCCATCAAAAAGTTTTAAAAATTTCAAGGATTGCTGAGTTTTTTTTGGAAAAAACGGATTTTTTTGAAAATAAATTTTATTTTTTCCTGGCGTTACTTTTTAGAAAATCAAAAAACTAATTACACGTTCTCGTAGCCACTTTATTAGGGCTATATGACAGTATTTTTAGAATTTCAAATTAGCTGATAATTTGTGAGATACAGAGGCCAACTTAATTTTTTTAAATACGGACCTACATTTTTTATTTCCAACTTTGGAAGAACTTGGTCTCCTGAGTACAATGATATGCCACACTTGATACTTTCTTTATTGGGTACCTTAACAATAACAAAACCATTTAATTATTATTTAAAATAATTTCAAGTTCGACTCTGTTTTTTTTTAAATTATTTAATCTGATTATATTCATCGCAACAATATTGATCAGCGCTAATTAACATTGAATAAGGAAAATCGAGCCAATTGAAAGATTCAAATAAATAATATCCAGGTCAGCAATTTAAAGAAATTATTTTTAACTTTTTTATTGAATTTGAAATAGCAGTGTACGATCTAATAATATGCATAATATTATTCGCAGTTATTATAAATAAATCAACTAACAACAAATAAAAAAAAAGATCCAAAAATTTTTTCAAAAAAATCCAAATTTTCCAAACATTTCTTTCGCAAAATAAAACTCTGGGTTCGAAATATACGAAAAAGATCTGTTTCTGGGTTTGAAATTGACTACCCCTAAAAATATTTGCATTTATTTAAGACTCACCCTGTATATATTTAATTTAGTTTATTTTTATATATATATATATCTAGAAAACATCCAATGCTCTGTAAAAGAATGGCTGCCCAACACCGACATATCCGATCAAAACAACTGGTTAAAGAAAGAATCGGGAGACAAGTGTAAAGGCTTGATATTTTCTGACATCAATGAGGATCAAGTTTTCATCGAACATTTGGAAGTTGAGCAACTGGTATTACCAAAATATGGAAAAATATCCTTCGGAGAAAAAGGAATAATTCAGTTTGGAAAAACAGATAATCCGCTAAATTGTAAGTTAATATACCATGTGATCGAAAAAAAACGGCGTCAAAGACGGCTGCGGAATGAATGAATGTCGGTTTCAAACTTCAGAATTTTGATAATAGTTTATATCTGAAAATATACCTTTTTAATTTTTTTTTTGATTCTAACTAATTTTAAGGTGTACAGCTGAAACCAATCATAACAGGATATTTGATGAGGCCAGACCTATGGAAAAACTTGGATAACTCCACAAATTCCGCTACTCCAGATGTAGAACAGTTGCCATGTTGGTGAGTAAATAATTTATTTTGAATTATCAGCTGATCGCCAGTGATATATTATGTGCTCCGCTGTTCCAGGATCTTTATAGCTGTCTACAGCAAAGACTTCCTTGATACAGGTTGAGCTTATTCAGTTAGCTACTTAACAAGCATATGTTCCATCAAAAGGTCTGTTGTAATTTCCAATTCATTCCAGCTGATCATTAGCAGTTCCTTTGTGGTTTTAGAATAAGATCCTTGAATGAAGGTCTTGTTGTCCCAGGTAATTTTCATTTGGGTATTCCCAGTACCGCCTCTGAACCAAGATAGCATCCCGATAATACTTGCCTTGCTAGTTCACTCATTTCTTCGTTACCTTTGATACCATTCTGGCCCTACACTTTCCGCCAGACACACTTCTTTCTGCTAGAGCTTTCAGTTCACCCAGACATTCCCAGATGACTCTTGACGATACTTTGGAGTTCATAAGCGCCTTAAGTGCTGCATGACTGCCTGAGCATATATTGATGAGCTTACATGAGTAGGCTCTTCTGTTCTATTCTCTCGCACATTGTATTGTTATTATAAGAATGGCGAAGATTTCTGCCGAAAGGAAAGCATAAGCTTGCCCTTTGTCTTTCCCAAAATACATCAGCTCATGTTTTGTCAGCGTTAGTCCGTCCTGAAATTTTTTATGGTTTCTGTCCACATTCCCCGATCCATTTTATTCACCTCGATTGGTTTGTAGTAGTGATAAAGAGGGGTCATTTGGTCAGATCTCACTTGGAGTAGAGGTCCTCCGATAGAATTCCCCATCTTTAAGTCCTGTTTCTCTCCTACTCCCCAGAGACAATGCACTTTTGTCGATAGAGTCCCAGTTTTGCCTTCACCTGGATCACTATGTGAAGAGACGGATTGTCCAGAAGCGCTTCCATTGATGCAGGGGGTAAAAGTAAAATATTTATTTTGGATGATCAGCTGATGACGTATAAAATTAACGCCGACCAAATGTCATCAAAACAACATCGTCTAATCTCAGTCGTGTGTTGGTAATCGTAATCCTTGTTTTTAAATAACAGAAAAGCACTTTTTTATGACGATGTATATAGCGAAGTTTAATTAAATTTATTGTTTATTTCTTGGCCGATTCCTAGAAGACAACTAGGTAATTAGTTGGGTTTTAAACACGACCGAAATTAAAATAACAAAGAAGTCAAAGACACGAACTTGAACTTGAGCAGTATTTCATGAACACTGATTTTTTTAAGTGTTACTCTCGAGAAAAGTAAATATTACTGCAATTTTTGATAAATTCCATAATAAATCTTCATAAATTTTAATCTACATAATTATCACTAATTTAAAAGTTTATAAAAATAATTGATTTATACCATAATACTAGCTGACCATTTTTTGGTTACATACTGTACAAACGGTACATTGTGAGACAGGAAATTGTAGAGAGAAACAAGTCCTATAACATAGGATACAACATTTTAATGAACAGTGTTTTCCATAAAATCAATAAAATGGAAAATATACGAAATAATATACATGTACTGATTTCTTTCGAAAATCGACAACTATGGAACTATGAACCCTTTCCGGACACAAACGGTACATTGTGAGACAGGAAATTGTAGAGAGAAACAAGCCCTATAACATAGGATAAAACATTTTAATGAACAGTGCTTTCCATAAAATCAATAAAATGAAAAATATACGAAATAATATACATGTACTGATTTCTTTCGAAAATCGACAACTATGAAACTGATTCCTTCCCGGACACAAACGGTACATTGTGAGACAGGAAATTGTAGAGAGAAACAAGCCCTATAACATAGGATACAACATTTTAATGAACAGTGCTATCCAGAAAATCAATAAAATGAAAAATATACGAAATAATGTATAATGAATAATGATTTCTTTCGAAAATCTGTTGTCTAAAGGCTCATTTACATTTGTCACGTTTAATGCTCATCTTGGAGGAATCATCCAAAGTGATAAGTGTATATTGCTTTCATCCAAAGTGTACAGAGTGGTCGAAATTAGTCTGTTTTAACAGAAAAAAAAACATATTTCCTGAGTAGATCGAGCAAAACCGACATATAGTTCATATGAAATAAACTTTTAGTCACGTTATTTATAAACTATTAACCTTCACCGGTACAGCGTTGCCCACTTTTACATATTTTCTTTTAGTCAAAATATTTTACGAAACAAAAATAAATTAATTAAAAAGATATAAACATTTATTATTTACATCAACAAAATTCATCTCCTTAAGAGGCCTTAGGAACATAAACGGCCATTACTACCGCTTTCCCGTTCAAAATATTCTAATAAGGTTGCGACGAGTTTTTTACAACGGCTATTAAGCTACCTTGTACACTTCGCACTAAAAGAGGTTCTAAAAAGAACAATGTTCGACTCATCGACTGCATGGTTAGCAACAATAAATTAAAATTCGCGCCCTCGATTTTTTGTCCGGATTTCAGAATTTACTTGTGCGAAATTTCTAAAAATTTAATGGAAACCCTATTTAAGTAACACAATTAAGTACCTAATTTCATTAACGTTTATTTTTTAGGTACGATGAGGTATCATTTCCGCACGGTATCAACACCAGTATTTTCATGGATTATGAAACCAGGGCCGTTTATAAGAATTTATTTGAAAACATCATGCTTGACAAAAATGGCTTAGGTAAAAAAAATAAACATTTAATCTAACTTTGTTACTCATATTTGCATCCATTATTCACGTATAAAGGATCCTATACACTAGAAGTTTAAAAGTTGATAATATAAAATAAAAAAAAATTCAACTTAATAAATTTGAAAAAAATCATGGAATTTTACTACAAAAGTGTATTTATGGTTTAAATTGATTTGTAAACGCTAATTGTAAAAATAATATTCATTTGGTAACAATTACTAAACAATTTTGTAAAACTATGCAAAAACCTTAGATTTTTAAGTCTCTCAAAAGATGCTGTAAGAACACTAGTTTAGATGATTTAGTTATTCCTGTACTAACAACTCTCATTTTGCTTTTATCTAAATATGAATGAAAAAAAAACTTTATTCTTTTTAATCCTGATGTGACGTAATACTTCGATATATTTTGGATACAAATTTCTGACAAAATATCGGCTTTGTCTATGTTTTATTCATGATCAGAGGTATCCCTGGTATATTTTCTTATTAATTTGAACTTTGCTTTTTAAGGATATTTTTCAAAAACTACTAAAATTCTGCCAAAACGCCAGTGTGAAGATCCTGCGGGATGCGTTTGTCACAATGAAAAACATATTTGTGATTATTTGATGGCATCTCTACCGAAACCACAATGCGAACATCCGATAAAAGTTATCGGGAACTGTCATAAACTCACTTGCGGTAAGTCATTAGATACAGATGGACCAGAAGAATTACAGCATGGTACAAGATTGTCAAGAGTCTCGCAGCAAGACCCTGCAAAACCACGACCGAGAGAGTCTTGGCTCGGTCTTGCATTTATTTGATCATCCCTACTTATATAGGGTGATTCAGATTTTACTAGAATAACTTCAGGTATCTCTCGATAGAACTAACCGAAATAATGATAGTTTGTATTATAAACCATACTCCAAAAACGCTTCCGCTTGGAGTAAAATGGCGCCAAAATTAGTATTATTTTTCGGTTTATATTTTATTACTCGTAAGTCAGAGGATCTAAATACGCAAGTGTTTGGTTAAATGCAAAGGGCAAAATTTGGATTAATTGCTATATAGGGTGTTGTTTTTGTGAGTCGCTTAGTTTTCGAGATATTCCACAAAATTCTGGACATAGCTCAGCTGCGTTCGAAAAATGTTACTTAATTAGCAGCATGCCTTAGAGAACTTAATTCAAATTTTGGCGCCATTTTACTCCAAGCGGAAGCGTTTTTGGAGTATGGTTTATAATACAAACTATCATTATTTCGGTTAGTTCTCTCGATACCTAAAGTTATTCTAGTAAAATCTGAATCACCCTGTATATAAGATATTTTCCTTTATGTACCTCCATTTTTTAAAAGTCTTTAAATATGTCTACGGTTTGAAGCCAATTTTATTGACAAAAAATTTATTAGTTATAACATCTTTTAGGAGCAACAATTCTTATTAAGAATATTCTACCTTCACTTACTGTCAACAAAATAAAAGAAAAATTGAAAAATTATCAATCAGACACCCACGTAAGCAAAGTGCTGTCTAACGACGATGAAAAAATTATTCAAATCGTATTTGCTGAAAAGAAATTTACCGGAAACAGCTTGATAGAGGCCCAGGACTTTTATGACAGTCTTTTAGAAGGTAAAATTTACAATAATTACAATAAAACTATTTTTTTACTTCTGTTATTTGGCTCAGTAACAGAGTGAAGAGCCTACACTGAGAGAAGTACCCCTACTGAACATGAACCAACATACAAGGTCGCATGTGTAGGGCAGTCGATCAGAAAAAAAAATGATTTTCGCCGGAAAAAATATTTTTTTTCAATTTAAAATTAAATTTCTTATGTCAAAAAACTCCTAGACATCAATTTTCATCAAATATTGACGTTACTTCATAAATTATTTGGGAAAAATCGAAATAAAAATGAAACTTCTACACCCTGTATCACGGACTTTTTTACTTATTTTTATCTGCAGAATATGCTGCAGAAGTTTCCGGAATACAGTTCGGACCACCTTGTATATCACGATATAATATTTTTTGAAAAATGTGTTTTACGTATTATTCTAAATTATGACGAATAGCATTGTAACGTCGTTTTTTTTAACTATACAATGCTTCTTTTTATTTTTTTTAGAAACATCTTTGCACAAAGGAGAAATTGAACTAGTATTGTCAGGAGGATCATTGTATGAACTTGATTCCCAACTGAGCAATCTATTTTCCATATTTTTCGGAACTATGTTGGGCGCCGTTTTAGTTTTTGGCATTTTATGTTTCGTGTCGTCACAAAGGTTCCGAAATCTCAATCTAGGAAACAGGTAAACATATCTACAACCATAGAAATAGAACTGTAATGGTTTAATGGTTATGTATTAGATAGTCAAACTTAAATTCAATGCAATCTTTTTAGAATTTTTCAGACCCTAAAAATTAAACATGTTTTCCATATGTGGCCAATATTACTAAAACACACTGTATGTCATTTTTAGATTTTCAATTGTTACTGCAAGACCAGCTTTTATGTCTGCTAGATACCGCAATATCGAAGATGATACACGCTATAATTTTGATGGTCAGTCTGTTATTGGGTCTGTGGTTAGTTTAAGCCGAAGCTTCGATAATCCACTGTACGAAGACTTTCCATCAACTAGAAGCACCAGTAATGAGACCATAGCTACTAAAATAGACGTAAGTATTCCTTGCAACAGGTTCTGTTCGTTCATTCTCATTCACTGATACTTCACAAATGAAATGTGTGTTTTCCCAAAATATGCAACATTTTGTTTTCCCTGGTATTATGGACATATGGGGGCTTGAATTTTTAACTCAAAAAGAGGCTAAAAAGTCAAATAACTTAGCTACAAATTGCTTAAAAAATCATCAAAATCGGCACATTAAAATAAAATGATCTACTTCTAGAAAAATATTACAAAAATCAAAATGTGGGGGATTTACACTCGTATAAAACGACATAATATCTTTTCTATAATAATTAATATTACTATAAAGCTTTTTCTAGGATAAAGAAAAAGATGAAGAAAAGCAAGGAAATGTGCAAGAAGTGGTGGCCATTTTGGAAGCAACACCCGAGCAGAGTAGCACCAATGGAAAAGATGAACTTCTTCTTAAAGATTTGTAATAAATTTATTTACTATTTATCAGCTGATGTATCATAATAATTGTTATTAAATAATTTATGGATGTTAGATGCGATGAGTATATTTTTTTCAAAAAATACATGCTGAGAGTATTATTTTCCTACTATGAATTTGACTATAAAGGGACTATAATGCTATTCATTTTTGACAGTTTTGGTTCTAGTGACACATTGGAATATAATTCGAAATTTTGCGGATTTTTTGAGCCTGGATTAACTAAAAAACCAAACAAATTATTGAGTCTACACTACATTATATTTTTATACAAAATATTTAATAATCTATATACTTAAAATTTAAAAATAATGTGGTCAAAAACTGTGGTATATTTATGAAAGATGGAGCACTAAAAGTATAAAAATTAGGTAGTATTTTTAAGTTTCCTAAATAAAAATACGCTATTCCATAACCAGCATAGCATAATATCTGGCTGTGTGTTGTATACATATATGTGGAATGCGGAGCAAAATTTCCTTTTTATCGCATAAATGAGGTCGATCCATTTGGCACAAATTCAATGGCAATACTCGAAATTACACGATGGCGGTTCGTTATATTTTTACTTCCAAATTTACACCTGCCTAATTATTGTTAAGCCGGTCCTGTTTTTTTTTCAACATATTATGAACCCGTCTGACGTCCAAACATTGTCTCAATGCAGCCATTCATCATAGATTAGGATTTCCATACAAGTTTTTGGAAATCCGGACAAAATCTAGACTTGCTCGAAAAATAAGTGATGACTTTGGGTGTATTCCGTTGCTTAGCTTAGTTATGGTTTTATGTTCCGTTTCTATTGGTTCCCTGAAAGTTTTCTTATTACGGAACACGGTTCCTGAAAAATTCGGTTATAACTGTCACCAAACTAACCAGCGCGAGAAGGCTGTTTTTTCTGGTTTTGGTTGTCAATCAATGTTATTTATATGACAGAAATCAAGCAAATATTGGAAGTTCGAGTGAAATTTTCATTTAATTTCTAAAATTTGTAATAATATTTTGTATTTACATCCAAAAGCAATGGAGGTAGGCAGTAAAGGTAAATAAATTTCATTAACTAAATAGAGTGACTTTTTAGGACCATTTAAACTTATTATGCAGCCATTGTTTCTTAAAGTCAGGAACATTTAAAGAAAACATGAAAAACAAGACAACAAGCAATCGTGAATGTTTTGTAACCTATAAAAATATAAATATGGATTAGATTTGTTTATTTATTATTGATCTGTTTTAATATTGGACCTGCAAATTTTCACTTGAGCTGTCATTAATAAAGTACTTTTCAATATTAAACTTCATTGAAAAGAAGAAGCAAACGTAAAAGCAGAGAATACGTACATTAAAAATGCATAAAAAATAAATTTTATAATAGATGTATTGAAATTTAGAAAACGTCAACATTTGACGTTTCCAGTATTTTACCAAACCGTTCCGTATCAAACCGATCTTTTTCAGGAACCGCTCTTTACCGTAGTTTACCGGTCTGGTTCGTCTGGTTTTGCAACGGAATACAGCCTTTATCTATGTAAAGTAACGGAGAGAATACCTGACAGTGGAAGTTGTTGTCTGTCATTTTAATTCACAGACAAATTGTATTTTCTGTCATTGTTAGGATGTCGTCTGATAATATTCTTCCCTGACTCGGAGGACCTTAGAATAAAAAGTTTAAAGAAGGAGCATATAAAAAAAACTTAAAATTGGACAACTTCAGTTCCGATTTATCTGTGCCGTTCTAATTTTATTCAAAACGTGTAAAAATATGATGTAAGGTAGACTCAATAATTTATTGTTTTATTTTACGTTGTCAATAAACGTTGGTATTTATTAAAATTGTTATAAAAATATATAATTATAAAAAAAAATAGATAAGTTATAATAATTATTTATTAACAGAAACATCCGATACGCTACTGAAACAGGTAAGTCAAATTGACGTATCTAAATTCTTTGACAAGTGGTAAACAAAAGCAAAAACGCAAGAAAAATATATAATTAATTAATTTTAAGTGTAATTCGTAACTGATCGGTTTACTACACGTATGTATATGCAGGGTGCTACAAATTCGAGGTACGATCTTGGAAAAGGATTGCTGAGTTTGAAAATCGATTTTATTTTTTCCTGTCGTTACTTTTTAGAAAATCAAAAAAGTAATTGCACATTGATAGCATTTTTATATTTTCAAATTAGCTGATAATTTGTGAGATACAGAGGCCAACTTAATTTTTTTAAATACGGACCTACATTTTTTATTTGAAGGTTTAAAAGAACTGGGTCTCGTGAGTACAATGATATGCCACACTTGATACTTTTTTTTGTGTTGGATACCTTAACAATAACAAAACTATTTAATTATTATTTGAAATAATTTCAAGTCCGACTCTGGTTATTTAAATGACTTAATCTGATTACATTCATCGCAACAATATTGATCAGCGCTAATTAACATTGAATAAGGAAAATCGAGCCAATTGAAAGATTTTGGTTTAAATAAATGGTGTTGTGATACTTTAAGCTTCAAAATGTTAACTAACAAACCTTGCAGTCGAACATTGTTCTTTCTAGAACCTCTTTTAGTGCAAAGTGTACGAGATAGGTTAATAGCAGTAAAAAAAACCATCGCAACTTTATTAGAATATTTTGAATGGGAAAGCGGTATAGTAAACGCCACGAATGTTTGGGAGTAATTTAGCGGTAGCTACCATGTGAACTAATCTGTTCAAGGTCACATAAAACTTAATTCCAGTGCCGTGGTGTTTCAAGTCATTATAATAATCAATATATAATCTGTTGTAATTTGTTGTTTTAACTGTCAAAGTCTTGTCAAAACATATATTTGGTTATAAATATAAAATGGAATGCCCCATTGATCGCACTGCAAGCACACCAATGGACTGACGCACAAAAACGAATCAATCAAAGAAACGCGATATAGTATCGTCTTTGTCAATCACGCTAACATTTTAGAATAAGTAGGAGGAGCGCAGGCAGATGATTAGACCGGGCCTTTAAAAACCTACGTCTGCGGTAAAAATCTACGTTTTTAATGTAAAAATGATAGCGCGCGTGTCGATTCTAACTTCATCAAGCGATGAATCACTCCCAAACATTCGTGGCGTTTACTAAGGTAATGGCCCATTATGTCCCTTAAATGCTGTTAAGAAGGTGAGTTTTGTTGATGTTGTATTTATAATTGGTTTATGTTTATTCCCTAAAATATTTTGAGATTCTGAAAATACCGTATGATCGAATAAAAACGGCGTCAGCGATGGCTATGAAATGAAGATCGCTGTCATTTTGTATGTAAAATCAAATGGGGAATGTCATTGATGTTCATTTCCAAGCCAACTGGACTCCGTTTTTTTTCGATCATACGGTATATAAATTAATTCTTGCCCTGAAAATATATAAAAGTGGGCAACGCTGGGCTGGTTAAGTTTAAACACGTGACTAAAAGTTTATTTGGTATGAACTGTAGATTCTTCTTTCCTAACATTATCGATTTTTCTTTTGAAAGAGAAAAATTAGATTAAAAGTGTCGTGATGTAATCTTGGGCTTCGCATTGGGGATTCGGCGCGAATTAGCCACTAGCGATCGGTCGCGAGAGAGAGAGGAGACCGAAATAGATTTTGACGTAACAGCGACAGGTACCGCATTTTCAACACTATTTAACAGCTTAGAGCGGTGAAGTAGCGGCAGGAACGCTACGAGTTTGGGGCTAGTTTAAATATTTTTAGCGCCGACGATAAGTGAAATGTTTTTTATCGGCCATAAGAAGGAATGAGTGCTGGCGCTTTGAATAAAAATATTAAGGAAGGAGTATAATGTTATCCATGTATTTATGCATGGTAGACGGAGGTAGGGTCCTAGGGTGGGGATTCTTGACAGTTATGGTTGACGATTCATTTGACACATTTCAATTGATTTGAAATTTTGTGGATTTGTCAGTTTTTACCAAGCTTATTTTATGCTATTTATTATTTATTCTACAACTGATAATTGTTTAGAGGTAGTAAATCTAGAAGGATATTTTTTGTGACAGAACTTAAATTAACAGTGACACTAGCGCCATTTTTCAAAAAAAGACTCTAAAATAGTTGGTTGTGTAGATTGCGGTAGATCACGGTCAAAAATCGAGGGAAATAATGAAATAACTTTTCACTAGTAAGTGACTATATAATACAGGGTGCATCACTTGTCGTCATTTGTAAAAGTTAAATCAAAATACATTTCAACATTGACAATAAAGAGTACAAAATGCATACGAAGTATAAGAAGAAGATATGTTCAAAGAACTATAAATAACTTGAACGAAAAATAATACAAAACTAAATGACAATGTCAGGAAATAAATAAATAAAAGCGGCAACTTGACATTTTTTACAGCAGAGCTACCACCTGAATCCCCAGCGCGAAATTTAAATTCCAGTTAGTCAGCACGGCGCCGGCGCCGTATATGTCCTGTATGGTTGGCAACAATGAATTTAAAAATCACGCCCTTGATTAAGTAACTAAAATTTAATTGATATGAAATATAAATATTGTCATTTTCAATCCTGCTTTTCTCTATTGCCGATTTTTAATAATAAAGATAAAGCTTAATATACAAAACTCACCATCATCTGCGTATGTTTCCGATCCGTATCCGTCCTGTAATCCGTTGGCCCAAGTACCTTCGTACTTGGCGGTTGACGTGTTGGACTGCCGTACCCCGTACCTTCCTTTGAACCCTTGCGTCCACTCGCCCCTGTATATCCATCGACCTCTCGTCTCTACGCCCAGACCGTGTCTTTTGCCGTTTTGCCATTGGCCCTCAAAACAACTCCCACTGCAACAAAAAATAAATAAGAATATATTATTATAGTTTTATGTATCAATTTTACCGAGAGCAAAGTGTCTACCCCGAAGGCCTATGGCCAGAATAGTTTTATAATTCCTGTGGTAATTATGGCAACTTAATTCCCGTTAATTATGTCCCAATGGGGTTATGACTATATTTATGGTTTGTGTAACCAAGATGATATAAGCTTATATTATTCTGTATTATTCTGTACGAAATATAGTATATTACATACCGAGGAGAGAAGTGTTTCATTACTGTCGAGAGATTGATATTGTTAATCGAGAGGTGGTAGCGTCGAGATTACCTAAATCTCGAGACAATAATGCAATGATACTATTTTATTTACAACCACATCATTAATTAAAAAATAGGGACAGTATTTTATTTTGAAAAAAATAAATATGCGAAAATTTGTCGTTTTCTGTTTTGGAATTTCCATATCTATAGTTACCGGTACCAGGGGTTGTTGTGGCGCAAACCACAAACCTTCAACAGCGAAACAAACAACTAAGTGACAGTTTTGAATTTCTCGTTCGCTTTTTCTAATTTATATAACATACAAAGCCAGAATGCTGTCGGAAAGTTCTGATAATGAAGACTACTTTAATATTGGTACTCCGCCAGAACTTACAGAAGCTGCAAAAAGAGCAGAAGCCAGTTTACTTCCAGAGAAAAGTAGGGGGCGATATGAAATAGCATTGAAAGTATACGAAAAATACGGTTTGCCGAAAGAAATGCTAAGAATATTGCTTCGGCGACAGTCTTGATGGCATATTTTAGCGACATGGCAAGGCAGAAAAAGCCATCTACTCTTTGGGCTACGTACAGCATGATACGGGCAATGCTAGAATTAAGGGAAAAGACTGACATATCAAAATATCACAAACTCGTCGCTTTTTTAAAACGCGTGAATGTAGGTTTTAAGCCAAAGAAGTCTAGCATTTTTATCAGGCAAAACTTTAACAAATAAATGTATTAAAATCTTCAATTATTATTATTAATCTTCTTGTTTATTTTTGTTGATGTTAGATAAGTATTTAATAAGGATATTAAAAGAATATTTTGCTTAATTAAATGAGACGAGAAATAAGAAAAACCGAGTGAGGGAAATGGGTGAGGAAAATGGAAGAGGGAAGAAATATAGATAATTTGACACTTTCAAATTTTTTAAAAGTCAGTAATGTCAGTATTACATATGTGGTTGTAAATAAAACATATTGTTTTTATTTTTAGTATTTGCCAATGAATAGTTTTCCAATCCGTTGACTATGTATATGGAAGACCAATTATTCATCTATTGCTGTTGTTTTCGAATCGTTTAAATCAAAGTTTAATGGACGACTTTTATTTCACTTTCTTTTTCTCATTTCGTTGGGTAAATCTATAAATTTTTTAAAGCCTTTTTTGACGCAAGTTCTATTTTTAAGTCTTCCTCGAATTGTTTCTTTTGGATGTTTCACGTTTAATCACGGTTTCGGTTTGTTAAGCCTTTGTTAAGAGTCTCAGACTGAAAATAACTGTCTGACTATACTAATGTTTATTTATTGTACCTATATACAATCTGGGCAGTAAAAATGCATTTTAGAATGCTTATGTGCTGTACTCATGATAATTTTTATATATTTCACGAATTTCAAGATTTCTATATACGTTAAACGTTTTGAGCCTTTAATTTTTTGGGGGAAATAAATGCCTGAATAAATGTCTATATTTTTGGCATATTGACTGACAGCTGATTGTTCTTTTTTTCTCGTGGCTGTATCTCGGGTTAGTAGGGTAACTGTAGGATCTGCGAAAAAAAATGTTTTTTACTAATTATTTTTTTAAACTTTTAAATAAAGAGGACATATTCTGGAAATTATTTTCAAGTTTGTAGAGTAGGGGTCTCAGCAATTAAAAAAATGGAATTTTTCCAAATTTTGACGAGGTAAGGTCGGATTTTTGATAAAGGGGTTTTTTTGTTTGAACAGAGCATGGTAATAGATGTCATCGACAAAATCAAATTCCTGAAGTGGTAATGAGCAGGACACCTGGCAAGAAGGACGGACAACAGATGGACCACAAAAGTTATAGCATGGTACCCACGAAGCATTAAGAAACCTAGAAGAAGACCAAACCTAAAATGGGACCATGATATTAGAAAATTTTCAGGAATAACTTGGGCCTGCATAGCCAATAATAGACAAGAATGCGCCCAACTACAAAGAGAATATTTAAATATGTATGGAAGGCTATACCTTTAATTGGAAATAGTTGAATCAGGTGAAAATGATAATGGTGATGATGATGAATATACGAGTATATATACTATATAAGCATTTAATAGTAGATGCTAGGAGTCTTAACAAATATTAATATAAACATATATACATACTACATACATGGGGAGCAAAGGGGTATTGATCCGATAATATAAACAATAAATATTAATACAGACAAAAAAAGATAGTAAAGGGGAATAAAAGCATAAAGAGTCAGCAAAAACTGCATCTGAATATTATCCTAGGCAACTAAGCTAGGTATATAAGTTAGAAGACCTATATAACGGACAAATCAGCGAATCAATATCGAGAAGATTTGACAAAAGATGAAGCACAAAAATTACAGAGTGGTACCCAGGAGGCATAAACATAAGATAAAAATGATATCATAAATTACGATGGATTAACGACATCAATGAGGAACAAATTTGCATCAAACAATAGAACACCCAAACGCATCATCGCAATATGACGATGTGTTTGTGAATTTTTATCTATATCATTATTAAATATTATAGTAAATTAATATTATCATATACACAACACAAAACAAGACTAAAAATTAACAAGGAAAATATTCCCATTTTACCTAGTAGAAATATGATAAAATTACCTCTTACATAATACATATCAATTAATAATAAAGTTACAGTTTGTTTATAAATAAATAATTTACTCCACTATTTCCTATAGGAAGTTTTACTTTTCATATTTTCCAAATACATAACAAAAATCGTATTAACTATTCGCAGAATCTAAGGATTTTCAATTCGGCTGCATTGAATAAATAATTTTCCTAAAAATCATACATTTGTTTACTAAATATTAACATTATAACAACATGAGACTAATTAAAAACATTACTTCCATTAGTAGGAAATAAAAAAAATATTTTTCTAGGCTAATGACACGTGAAGGTATGCATCGTATACAGGGCATTTTTAACTTAAACCATAATTATTATAAGTAAATAATCTACAGAGTGTTTCAAAAAACATGTGCCATCTCCCGTGGGGAGATTCATAATAAACGTAAAAATAAGATTTATTTTTCATATCAACATAGGTCCGATTCTGCTTTGTTTCATAGCTACAGGGTGTTAAATTCTTAATATTTTTTAGATTTATTATAATTTTCTTTCAAGTACTTTTAGCGTTTCGAATGAAATTTTGAGGGTAAAAGTTACTATAAATGCGACATATTTTAAAGCTAAAAATATATTGACCTATTCACCAGGGACGTGCATATGGGTTATTACTGGAATATTTTTCTAAAAAAAGCATGTACGCTACTGACCTTTTTTCCTTTTGTTAGCGAAAAGAAAAAAAGTCAGTGGTGCACATGTTTTTTTTTTGAAAAATATTCCAGTGATAACCCATGTGCACGTCCCTGATAAATTTATCGCCACGTTTTTAAAATATGTAGGAACTTTTACCCTCAAAATTTCATTCGAATCACTAAAAGTAGGTACTTGGAAGAAAATTATAATAAATAGAAATATTATTAAGACTTAAACATCCTGTAGCTACAAAACAAAGCAGAATCGGACCTATGTTGATATGAAAAATAAATCTTATTTTTACTTGAGGAATAACCTCACGAGAGATGGCACATGTTTTTTGAAGCACTCTGTAGAAAGCAATAGTTGGAATGAAAAATGAATATTTTAAAATACCTAATTAAATTCTTGGCGATATTTGCGTAAAGTCATCTGGGGGGGGGGGTCCAGACCCCTCCATAAATACGCCACTGTAGGTACTCCATGATGTGTAATGTAATTATTACATTTTAATAATTTTACTTATTAGATTTTTTCTATATAACATCTTTTATCGTCTGTAACATTTTGAAGACTTCGAGGACTCCCTCTAAGCAGATAGCTGTGCAGATAGTATCGAAGACATCGTTTTTTCTTTATAAGGTGGTCGATAATCGTTCACGTTTACATTATTTTGTTAAAAATATTATGTTTTTGATCTTCTCTTTAAAGTTTTTATAATTTAATATGGTATTTTGTGGTAGTTTTTATTGTTAATTTATGTGTATATTTGTTTATTAGTTTTTAAGGGAATTAAAAATTAAAATAGAGATTCTTCCAGAACATATTGATCGGCTGTTTCGATCTTTATAGTGTTTGACCCCGAAAAGTGAGCGAGAGGCGCGAAAATAGCGAACGAACGACCTAATTTCCCGATGGAAACGGTCGGAAAATGCGTGCGGCCACGTGAAGCGGCGACGAATGCATCTCGCTGCTCGGTTTAAAAATAAGCAGGATATGCAACAATATAATTATTGCAGTCGCGCTTTCCACGAACTTGCACCGCGTTTTCACGTGCCGAACTTTGTTTTTTGTCATCGTTATAAACAAATTAGAGTTCGAATCAAAACAACCAGTCATTTGCCGAAGTGATGGGATTCTGTCCTCAGCATATTGAGCGTGTGTTTTGACGTTCCAATGGTTGATGTTATGTCGCTCAATTATAAACAAATTAGATTTTAATCGAAACAACAAGGCGATTTTCTCAAGTGACTGGATTTAAACAGATACACTGTGCCGGATTGGCTTACAAAAGGAAACGCTTTTTTATTACTACCTTTTTGAGAAAAATGCATGTCCGTTTATACTTTTCCAAATTTCCATATTAGAGAAACATAATAAAATATGAAAATATAGTTGAACTTTTTCTAGTCTCAAAAATTAAAATGCGTTTCTATGGTAATATGTGTTTTTAAAGAAGCACATTTATTTACTTCAATGCCACGGAAAAGGTGCATGGTTATAAAAATATTGAGCCTCTTTAACATTTTAAAATAGAAATATAATTCAACTATATTTTCATATTTTATTATTAGCCGACCATACCAACGGGTATGGTAGGCTATTAAGATCGGAAAAAAAAAAGTTTTTTTTTAATTTCACTCAAAATGAGTTATTTGGGTCATAAATGACCTAAATACAAAATATTTTCATGATGTCTGTCTGTCTGTCTGTCCGTCTGTAACATGATAACTCAAAAACCGCTAAACCGATTTTAACCAAATTTGGCACAAAAATACTGTGGCATCAAAATCAGTCAGAGTCGCAGTTTTTGAGATATTCCATGTTTCCGTAGTCCGTTTTTGAGAAAATCCGTGTGGAGAACTCCTAACTCCCATCGGACGCGACCCCAGGTGGCGGATAAGGGAAATAACCGCAGACCAAAATTGGAAAAATTCCTTTACTTTGATACTAAAAGAACTGCCTACCAACTTTTTATTAACATATTTTAGTATGGGCGGTTATACGTGTCTCCCGGCGCCAATTTTTTTTGTCTAAATTTGTATGGAAATTTAAAAATCCATAAAAGGGATTAACGACTCTAGAACAGGCAAAAACTTTTATGATGAATGTATTTTTCTCAAAAAATGAATAGTAAAAAAAGCGTCAAAATCTAAATAAAGCATTTAAGTTTTATGAACAATTTTATTTTAATTATCGTTGATAATTTGTCATTAACACGTAAAATTCTGCTTGTAAAGCAGTTTAAAGGTAATCGTGACTTCAATTTTATTGGGCATAATATCGTTTTCATAGTTCAAACTAAACCAGGTAATTATCTTTTTTTATGGGATATTCTCATAATTTATGAAGGTACTTTGAAAATTAATTTGAATCACCCCTTTTGACTACAAAAATAGTATTCTACTACTACTATTTTGCAGTAAATAAACCGGGTGTTTCTCAAAGGAGGCTCACCTCTATAACTTCTTTATTTTTTCAAATAAATAAAGGAGATTTGGTACGTTAGTATATGACATAAATCAGGATTGATTGACGTATTCAATTGTTTTCGGTCACTTTTTTTCACCGGAAAGGACTACAACTTTTGATTTTTAAATGGCACCTCCGGTACCATTGTCCTCTTGTAAAAAAACGCCACATCGCATTGTTTTTGAGAAAACATTTTTTGGAGAATTTATTTTCTAAAGCAGACCTACAAAATATACAGGGAGTTCCATTATTCTGTGGACATAGAACAACTACGTATTTCTTGGATCAAAATAAGTAAATTGCACATAATTTCTTTTATACAAAAGTGCTTCGTTTGTCCATTAGAGGGCATCAGTCAAAAATAAACCCGAAGCTTAATTAATTTAAAAATTATTATATTTTTAAGCTTTTTATGAAGCTTATTGTCAAATATAATTTGTGGTATATATATTAATCGGCTTAAAACGTTCTACGTTTCGATGCCATCTCTCCATGCACCGTCTCCCAAAGATCTTTCCTCTATAAACGTGTCAATCCGTTCCTGCCAACTTCTTCTCGGTCTACCCGGTTTTCTTCTTCCTGCAGGTTTTCAGTTTATAATTTGCTTTGGGATTCTTATTTCTGCCATTCTTTGGACATGCCCGTACCATATGAGTTGACTGTTCTTTATCTCGTCCACTATTGTATGTTTAACTTCCATAGTCTCTCTTATGCGTTCATTAGTTATTCGCTAGAGCCTTGATTTACCTTGACTACCTTCTCCAAAAATCCATCTCTGTAGCTTCCATCATTCGTTTTGTTGTTTCCTTAATTGGCCACACTTCACAGCTGTACGTGGTTATACTCTTGATGATGGTATTATATATTAGTGTTTTATTCTTGTTGTTTATGCTTCTGTCCCACAGTATCCTGTGGGTACTAACATAAAAATAAATTTGTGGTACTAACATAAAATTTTATAATTTCGCCAACTAGATTATTAGAGCATAATAGATTTTATGCACCTCCACACCTTGATGTGACAAATATAATTTTTTGGAAGTCAGCTTTGGAAAAATATGTTTTTCCTCAAAAAATATGCACGGTGGCGTTTTTTTACAAGAAACAAAAAATGTAGCAAATACTAGAGGGACTATTTTACGATAAGAAAATCGGCCGTCGGTGTAGTTGGAAAATATTTATCCTAAAATTTATGTAGAGGTGGGGGTAGTTTTTATCCTTCCCGTACTTTTTCTTGATTTTTATGAAAGTCAAATGTTAGAGCACTTAGCAAAACATAGACACCCAAAATCTCATTCAAATCGGAATAACAATTCTTAAAATATCTGAAAAAATGTGTTTATTTTTTTAAAGTTTGATGCCCTCTAGCGGACAAACAAAGCACTTTTATATAGAGGTAAATTGTGTCCAATGAACTTATTACAGGGAGGTATCCAATTAAAAAATAGTACATGCTCCAAAAAGTACATTAAAATCCCAATTAAAAAAATACAAAAGACTGGTGGCAAAAAACTTTAGATTTCACCTAATGTATATTGCAAATACAACCTAGATGTCTAACTGCAGGGAAGAACATTACTTAACTTTTATCTAAGTCAAAGACTAAACATCAATTCTAGGAAGCCTGATTACTATTCTAGAAATCTACATTATAAGGCATACCCGAAATAACGTAATGACTTTACTGATATCGGAAATATATCGAACGCTTTTGACACGTTCTTACTCAAGCCAAACAAAAACACATAACTAAAACATTAAACACGAGTAACTTACGTACGTTAACTTAGCCGTAACTCTGTTATTAGAATCGGAAATACCGGAAATGTTTTTATTTTTAATCAATGAATATTCAAGAAGTGTTGACAAAATAATATAAAAGTCGATAATCTACCAAATATTCGCTCAGTTCGAAATCTATAATCGAAAACAACTATGCGATCGGTTCTGGTAATATCTCTCGTAGTACTCGCGGTGTTTGATAGTGCGCATTCGGCACCAAAATCTTTAGACTTGAAAGAACTATGCGGTTATCCAACGGAAGAGTCGTGTTTACTCGGGCACATGTTACGAATTTTGACTCATCTGATTCAGAACCCAAAAGAATGCACGTGCGATCCAGGTAAAAAGAACTCTAGTGACCCTTCAACCGATAGTGTCCCCACTCCTCAACCTATAGTATCCACTACAAGTGATCCATCCACAATAGATCCTGATACCGGCCAACCTACAATCCTGTCTACAACACTTCTCCTCTCAACATCTCCTACTAACTCGCCTTATGCTAGTCCGTCCACAACTGAAAGTACTTCAACATTTAATCTTAAATCTACACAATATCCGTCTAGAGATTCATCCACTTTTACCACTAATGTGCCCACTACTTTTCCAACAAGGCATTTACTCAGTACAGACTTGTATACAACTACCTCTTCTCCTGTAGATTTATTAATGTCTACCGCTTCAACTCCACCGTATTCTGATATATTATCAACTGCTAATAGTTTTCCAAGTACTACCGTTACTACTATCCTGCCTTATACTGATTCTTCTACAATAACGACGACATCACCTATTGTAGAGAGTACAACACTTATTCCTAAGTCTACTAAATATTCAATCGAGGATCCATCTACTCCGTATCCTACATCATCTAAAACCTCTACTTTTCCAACAAGCACTACAAACATAGTTATAACTACAGCTAAATCCACCACAGAAGATTTATTAAGCACCACTACTTTAACTCCTGACTCTACTGGATTTTCGATAACAGGTGTTCCTCTGAGTACTACAACACTCAACAGTGATTTATCTACACCAGCCCATACGACAGTTTCATCTATTGTAGAGAGTACAACAGTTATTCCTAAGTCTACTACATATTCAATCAACAATCTCTCTACTCCAGATTCTACAGATGTTTCAACGACATCTTTAACCTCCATAATTCCTACCGACATTACAAATATAGATATAATTACACCTACAACCTTCACAGAAGATTTATTAACTTCTACCACTTTAACTCCTGATTCTAATATCTTTTTGACAACTAATGTTCCTCTAACTACTACAACACTCTATAGTGATTCATCTACGTTCTCCTCTACGACAGTTTTACCTACTGAAGAGAGTACCACAGTTATTCCTGCATCAACACTATACTCAACCAGCTACCCATTTACTCCAGATCCTACAGATGTCTCAACAGCATCTATAACCTCTACTTTTCCAACAAGCACTTCAAACATAGTTATAACTACAGCTAAATCCACCACAGAAGATTTATTAACCACCACCACTTTAACTCCTGACTCTACTGGATTTTCGATAACAGGTGTTCCCCTGAGTACTACAACACTCTACAGTGCTTCATCTACACTAGCCTCTCCGACAGTTTCATCTATTGTAGAGAGTACAACCGTTATTCCTAAGTCTACTACATATTCAATCAATGATTTCTCTACTCCAGATCCTACAGATGTTTCAACGACACCTTTAACCTCCACAATTCCTACAGTCACTACAAATATAGATATAACTTCTACCACTTTAACTTCTGATTCTAATGTCTTTTCGACAACTAGTGTTCCTCTAACTACTACCACACCCTGTAGTGATTCATCTACTTTACCCTTTACGACAGTTTTACCTACTGAGGAGAGTACCACAGTTATTCCTGCATCAACACTGTACTCAACCAGCCACCCATCTACTCCAGATCCTACAGATCTCTCAACAGCATCTATAACGTCTACTCTTCCTACAAGCACTACAAACATACCTATAACTACTTCTACATCCTCCACAGAAGATTCATTAAGCTCTACCACTTTAACTCCTGACTCTAATGTCTTTTCGACAACAGGTGTTCCTCTGAGTACTACAAGACTCTACAGTGATTTCTCTACACCAGTCCCTACGACCGTTTCATCTATTGTAGAGAGTACAACAGTTATTCCTAAGTCTACTACATATTCAATCAACGATCTCTCTACTTCCAATCCTACAGATGTTTCAACATCATCTTTAACCTCTACTTTTCCTACCAGCCCTACAAACATAGCTATAACTACGCCTACATCCTTCACAGAAGATTCATTAACTTCTACCACTCTAACGCCTGATTCTAATATCTTTTCGACAACTAGTGATTCTCTATCTACTATCACACCCTATAGAGATTCATCTACGTTACATTCTACGACAGATTTTCCTACTGAGGAGAGTACCATAGTTATTCCTGCATCAACACTATATTCAACCAGCAACCCATCTACTCCAGATCCTACAGATGTCTCAACAGCATCTATAACCTCTACTCTTCCTAAAAGCACTACAAACATACCTATAACTATATCTACATCCTCCACAGAAGATTCATTAACCTCTACCACTTTAAGTCCTGACCCTAATGCATTTTCGACAATAGGTGTTCCTCTGAGTACTACAATATTTTACAGTGATTCATCTACACCAGCCCCTACGACAGTTTCATCCATTGTAGAGAGTACAACAGTTATTCCTAAGTCTACTACATATTCAATCAATGATCTCTCTACTCCGGATCCTACAGATGTTTCAACGAAACCTTTAACCTCCACAATTCCTACAGAATCTACAAATATAGATATAACTTTAACTTCTGATTCTAATATCTTTTCGACAACTAGTGTTCCTCTAACTACCATTACACCCTATAGTGATTCATCTACGTTACCCACTACAACAGTTTTACCTACTGAGAAGAGTACCACAGTTATCCCTGCATCAACACTATATTCAACCAGCAACCCGTCTACTCCAGATCTTACAGATGTCTCAACAGCATCTATAACCTCTACTCTTCCTACAAGCACTACAAACATACCTATAACTACATCTGCATCCTCCTCAGAAGATTCATTAACCTCTACCACTTTAATTTATGACTCTAATGCCTTTTCGACAACAGGTGTTCTTCTGAGTACTACAACCCTCTATAGCGATTCATCTACACAAGCCCCTACAACAGTTTTATCAATTGTAGAGAGTACAACAGTTATTCCTAAGTCTACTACATATTCAATCAATGATCCATCTACTTCCAATCCTACAGATGTTTCGACATCATCTGTAGCCTCTACTTTTCCTACCAGCCCTCCAAACATAGCTATAACTACGCCCACATCCTTCACAGAAGATTCATTAACTTCTACCACTCTAACGCCTGAGTCTAATATAATTTCGACAACTAGTGTTCCTCTAACTACTATAACACCCTATAGAGATTCATCTACGTTACCCCCTACGACATTTTTACCTACTGAAGAAAGTACCACAATTATTCCTGCATCAACAATATACTCAACCAGCAACCCATCCACTCCAGATTCTACAGATGTCTCAACAGCATCTATAACTTCTACTCTTCCTACAAGCACAACAAACATAGTTATAACTACGCCTACATCCGTCACAGAAGATTTATTAACGACCACTTTAACTCCTGACTCTACCGTCTTCTCGACGACTAGTGTTCCTCTGAGTACTCTCACACCCGATAGTGATTCATCTACAACAGTTTTACCTAACGAAGAGAATACAACAGTTATTCCTGAATCTACATCATACTCAAACAGTAATCCATCCACTGTACTCCTCACAGATGTTTCAACAACGCCCATATTATCTACTTCTTCAGCAGCCACTACAAATCTGCCTATAACTACACCTGCCTTTTCCACGGAGAATTATGTACCAACATCAACTTTAAATCCAAACTTCAACTACGTCTTCAAAACAACCATAATACCCTATAGCGATTCCTCTAGTACAACTTCAATTTTGCCTCATACATCATCTCCAACTACTGAATCTGAAACAGATTCTTCAGTTACAATCGACCCATTAATTTCTACCACTTCAAGTTTCGACCCATCTGCTATAGAACTGTCTACTACATCTACTAACTTTCTTCCTAGTATTTCGACTACTACTCAGTCCTTTAATACTGAATCAACGCTTTCAACTTTGCCACCTCAATCTAATACCGCTGTTTTCAGTACATTAGCTACCACAAGTTCTCCTGTTACTGAATCATCAACACCTTTATCATTTTCAAGTACGACCCCATGTACTACTTCGGTGTTTGACGTATTTCATACTGGAAGCCCTTCAACTACAGTTCTTCCTACTACAAGTTCTTTTGCTACCCAGCCAGCAACCTCAACAACTTACTGGTTGACGGAGTTATTATTTGCTACTAGTCCCAGCGATTCTTCAACTACGGATACAAATTCTCCTTTTACTGAAGCAACCGCAAATATATCATCTTCTGGAACAACGCAATCTACTATTTCTAGTCCTGGCACTTGGACAACCACTGTCGGCTCAAGTACAGGTCTTCCTACCACAAGAGATCCAGATATTTCAACAGCAGTGCCTTCCAGTACAGTTTTACCTACGACAAACTCTATTGCAGAACTCACATCTACAGTATTTTCAACATCAGCTGCAAGTACTACCTCCAATCCTAGCTCCTCTCCTATTGATTTATTAACTACAGTACCTTCAAGTACAGTTACATCTGAGAGTCCTGTTTCTACAAATATATTCATTACTGACCCATCAAGCACAGTATTTTCAACTACTCCTTTCTCCATTACTAAACCTTCCAATGATTATTCAACTACGTCATACACTACTACAAGTTCACCGTTTTCTACTACATCATCAATAATTATTTCCACCACTGATTCAGCAAATATTTTATACGTAAAAGATCCTGTCAGTCCTCCAAATTCCGCAAGCTCTGTGTTAATTACAACTCCTAAACCTGAAGAACCTTCAACCGAAGCTCCTAGTTCCACCACTCCTGCAGGTTTATTTAGTGACATTGTTTCTACAACTTATTTTGCACCTGCAGGTCAAACAACTACAGTAGCTCCAACAGCAGATCCTCTTATCGGTACCACGCCAGTTACTACTACAGTTGAGCCAACAACAGAAGCCGTTACTACAGCTGCGACCACCACAACTGAAGCTTTAACTACTACTGAAGCCGTTACCACAACAGCAGCTATAACTACAACTGAAGCTGTTACCACCACCGAAGTTGCTACCACAACTGCAGCTGTTACTACAACTGAAGCTGCTACTACGACCGAAGCTGCTGCCACAACAGAAGCAGTAACTACGACTGAAGCTGTTACTACAACTGAAGCTGCTACCACAACAGAAGCTATAACCACAACTGAAGCTGTTACTACAACTGAAGCTGCTACAACAACAGAAGCTGCTACCACAGCAGAAGCTGCTACAACAACAGAAGCAGTAACTACAACTGAAGCTGTTATAACAACTGAAGCCGTGACTACGACAGAATCTGCTCCAACAACCTCAACAACTGAGGCTTTAACAACTACTACAATTGCCACAACAACTGATGCAGTAACTACACCAGTAAGCACGACTGTTTCAACTACAATTGCTTCAACTACCGAGATACCCGTTACTACAACAACTCCGGCAGTAACAGAGGCCAGTACGACGGTCGCTACTACAACAGTTGCTGCTACAACTCTGCCAGCTTCTACTACAGTGGCTCCTGAAACGACTACAGGTCCGGTAACTACAACATCTTCTATACCAACCACTACAGACGATCTAGACGATATTGTAACGGAAATACTCAATCCCGATCCAACAGAAACCACGACAAGCCAACCAAACCTAAATATACCAAACGATCCAAAATTGATACTTATACCAGCCATTCAAGATGAGAATGGTATAAGGGCACTGACGTTAGACTTCATAATCAATTTTATACGGGAATTATTTGATAATTGGAGCAGTAGTAGTAGTTAAATAAGTTTTTGTTATTGTAAATATTTAGTTGTTTAATAAATTTCTTTGTTACATAAATCAAAATTTTTGTTTTAATTTTAAGAGAAAAAATAGCTAAAGATATACAGGGTGATCCAAACTGTATTTTGGAAACTTTGGCAGCATATTCTACAGATAAAAATAAGTAAAAAAGTTCGTATAAATGTATGTCCTAAAATGCTTAGTTTCGGAGATACTGGGTGTAGAAGTTTCATTTTTATTTCGATTTTTTCCAAATAATTTCTGAAGTAACGTCAATATGTAGATGAAAATTGGTGACATTCTTTAAGTAAAAAGTCACGGAAATGTATATTTTTTCACCCAGTATTTTTTTACAGGTACAAACGAAAAGTTAATACTCTTCAAAACAGTTAAAAACATATGTAGGTGGCGCCCTCTACAAATAGGAGTCATATTGACATTAAAATCAAATTTCCCATATTAAAAAACTTCCAGACATAAATTTTTATTCAAATATTGACGTTTTATTGATTATTTGGAAAAAATCGAAATAAAAATGAAACTTTTACACCCTGTATCCCCGAAAGTAAGCATTTTAGAACATTGATTTATACGAACTTTTTAACTTATTTTTATCTGCAGAATATACTGGCAAAGTTTCCGGAATACAGTTCGGATCACCCTGTATATTTTATTGCACAATTTCACTGATGTCTAGAGCTTATAAAAAAACAACTTTTAATGAATCACAAATGAGATAATATGCGTGCCCTGTTCTGTGTTATAGCCCCACTGGGAGATATTATCACAAAAAGAGTTTTAGGTGTTGTTTTTTAGACATTGCATGTAGAAGCTTTCTACACATAATAACATTAAAAATATTATGGTTCATGTTAGCTTAGTCCATTGGGAATAATTCACTTAATAATTGAAATATATTTTGTTTTATTCAAAAAGTTACATTATCTTTAAAGGTGAAATAAATACATTTGCACGATTTTAACACACGTACTAAAGTTTAGAGATAAAAAAATTCTTTTTTTTTTGACAAAATGGATAACTATGAAAAAGACTGAACCATTTGTACCAAGTGAATCATATTATCAGCCATCTGAAAGGTCTGATTCTATCGATTCTGAAAGTATAGTTTCATTTATCATTATTTTCACTATTACTACATCAATAAGTTAGGCAGTTTTTGTTACAAATACTTAGATATAGGGAAATTAAAATAACTTTGGTTGCACATCATAATACGACCACCAGCAAACTCCATAAGACGACGCATTGTGTCATTGATGACGTGCACCGTAAGTTGTTTTAATTTCCCTATATCTGACATTTTGTTGATCTGAACAAAACTGCACGAGGAAGAAAAATTTTACCATTTTATATAGACGTAACGTAACACACTCTAAAAGGCAAAACATAAAAGATCTTCTTCCCTTTATCCCGCCAATATACCATAATTTTTATAAAAATCGAAGAAAATATCTACTATTAATAGACAATGTGAAATCAACAAATCTCTTAATGACGAAGAAGAATGTGCCGATGAACCAATTTATATCTAAAATTTTAAATATTTTCAGAGAATACTTGTTCAAGCCCAAAAAAGTATAAACAAACGTTCTTAAAAATGACCACAGTTGTATTTTGAATTACTTTAGTTTTGCAATTATACAATTGAAAATATAATAAAGCATTGCGTCAAGTTTTCTTCTCTAGCTTGTTTTATTTGAATTAAGTAAAAAATTAAAAAACTTTAACTCTTATTTTCTCCGTAATTAACTTCATCCAGTTCGCTTCTCAACCTATCATATAAAGAGAGAACTTAGAAGGATAAAATAATATAGGAATGGTTTAAAGCGCGTTTGTCAGTGCTCTTCTTCACATGATGTGCGCATACCCATGACTTAACAGCGTACACTTAAGTCTGTACGCGACTTTAGATTAATCTTAAGTTAAAAAATGGTATAAAACTAAGGGTATGTGCTTACCTGGGCCACGTGTAGACGCCCGACACCTCGAACCCGTAGTGCCACGAACCGCTGTAAGCCCCCTGGCCTTTAGGGCCCGTACACACGCCGTGTCCGTGCGCCTTGCCGTCCTCCCAGCCGCCGCAGTAGGTGCCGCCGTCGTCGAAGTCGAAGCGGCCGCCGTTGACGTGACTTCGGGCGGCGGCCGTGCCGGTGGCGCCGGCCGAAGCTTCGGCTACGGGGGGCGGCTGTTGCGCCTGCGTCGGTTGGTGCATGCTGCTGATGTGCTGGAACAAAAGACAGTTTTTCTTTATAAGTATTATAAAACTACAAAAAATGTTAATTAGTGCTTATAACACAGTAACATTGGATGTATACTATAAATCCTATGTCGAAAAATAATCCTATATTGTGTGTTATTGTATATACAGGGTGGTCCAAACTGTATTCCGGAAACTTCGGCAGCATATTCTGCAGATAAAAATAAGTAAAAAAGTCCGTATAAATGTATGTCTTAAAATGCTAGTTTAACATGTTGAGTAGATAGTTATATTTCACTGAAATGATACATTTGGGTACTTTTTATTTTTTTAAATTAATTATAAATTTTCCTGCCAAAAAATGATGCTAAAACAGTTTCTGTTGAACTTTAGGCACAAAAACATTTCAAATTTATGATTTCACTATAATAATTATTTAGTCAACAACATTATGTTTAATTTATGTCAATGATGACAGGAATTGTTAATTTTGATTCCAAATATCTCGAGAACCATTACTCGTAGCGATTTTTACCAAGAGATCTTTTTTACGTGGAAAACGTCGTAAATGTATATTTTCTTACTCATTAGTTTTATACAGGTACGGACGAAAAGTTAATACTCTTTAAACCAGTTAAAAATATGTAGAAGGGCGCTCTCTATAAGTAGGAGTCATATTGACATCAAAATCGAAGTTCTCATATCAAAAAACTCACGGACACTAATTTTCATTCAAATATTATGTTACTTCAGAAGTTATTTGAAAAAATCGAAATAAAAATGAAACTTCTACACCCTGTATCTCCGAAATTAAGCATTTTAGGACATACATTTATACGAACTTTTTTACTTATTTTTATCTGCAGAATATGCTGCCGAAGTTCGGAATACAGTTGGGACTACCCTGTAAATCTTATGTTCACATGTATTTGTCAGTTCTACGTTAATATATTACAAGCCCTATATTCTTATAATGCAAAAGTTCATGCGTTTTAATATAATATCTTCGAAAATAAACGGCATCAGCGATGGTTATGAAATGAAGATCGCTGTGAAAATTATATGGGGAATGTCATCAATCACCGTTTTCAAGCTAACTGTATTAGGTTCACATTTAAAATAAAATCATTGTACAATACTTTTAACTGTGAACAAAATATTAAAATACGCAAACTTGGCATTGAACATTAGATTCAATATACAAACATTATTTTTTGCTATCATATAGCTATTTATAGTACAGTTTGACCGTAAAAAAGGCGCCAAAGACGGCTGGTGAATGACAGTCGATGATAATTTTGGTGAGATCAATCTCTATAGACGTAATTTACTAAAACCTGACATAAAAGTTGTCGAAATTAACACTAAGTAATTATAGAAAGATTAAAAAAGTATAGAACGAACCTAACCTAACCCAGAACATACAAATCTGTTTCGAAAAAAAAATTATTCCTCGAATTTTGAACTACACCATTTAAAAATTATTTTTACTCGCACAAAAATAAATTACAACCTGTTTAAGGCCAACTAGCAATAAGCGCCATTAAGAAAAGTACGAGTTAAGTAAATGACGTCTTGACCTCGTCAAAATTATCATTGATTGTCATTTACCAGCCGTCTTTGATGGCGTTTTTTTTTCGATCGTATGGTAGAAATCAGGGTTAGGTAAAAGGACACTCCTATAAACATGAGTTCCAAAATGCATAGTTTTAAAGATACAAGATAAACCTTAATAAACCTGATAAAAAACAATATTTTTTAGAGGTAGTTTTTTTTATTTATCTTAAACACCGTTATTGTGTGTGTTTTTTTTGCAGGTAGCACGAAACATCAATGTTATAACCATAGGTTAATAAGTTGTAATTTGGTATCAAAAGTATTTTAAAATGTTGCTCTAGTTGCAAACAGATTTAATGTTTAATTTGTTTAACCAGCAAAGAATTGGTTTATTTGTTTTTCTCCTAAAGAGTTCTAGATAGGCATATGATGCAAGGGGAAAAAGTTGCATTTTTATTTACCTTATCTAAAAAACATAAAAAATGAAAAAGTGTCAGTGGCGTGCATTTTTTCTCAAACATATTCGATAAGGTGTCGCCTAGGACGCCACTGAAAATAGTAATTATAATTTAATTGGGCTTCGATTAGGCCATTATTACTGGAAATAAAATTGACAAATAGTTTTAAAAACATTTTCGACGAGGATTCGCCCACTGAAATTTGGCTATACATTTTTCGAACACTCTGTATTTGAATTTAGTCAGAATTAAAATTAAATCTAAATATTTTTATGGATATAGGTATACCGAGTGGTGCATAGTCGTTGGAAACATATGAAACCCCATGCAAATTCCCTATTGTCTTTCCAGCTAGCATAAATACATTTTTAAAGGTCTGCGTATGCTAAATACACACATGCCAATTGATTTTAACTAATTTACGAAAACATGCATCTATTTTTAAATTAAAACCGAACAGGTAACAATGCAAAACAAGGCAAATGCCAACATACCCTACAAGTAGACACTGAAAAACTTAAGATACAGTGATGACAGTGTGAAGATATTTCCCGCACAGTAGCATTGACTTTTTACTTGACAGTATTATCATGACTTTTTTCTCAATTCTGTTATTCTCTAGCTCATAATAATTACAATTAAGTATTATTTATTTTAAAATAGCATTTGACAACGATAAAATCATAGGTTGACAACTTAAGATATGTTGGCATTTGTCTAGTTTTCTATTAATTTAAAAATAGATAAAAATAGAAAGTTTTTCTTAAATTAGAGTTAAAACTGGCTTGTCCAAGTTTGTTCAAATTTGGCATACGTATGGCCCGTAGTGCAGCAAAACTCTGGATACGGGAAAAGTGGAATGTTACTGCAGGAACAGACAGTGGCACAGACATAGCAAGGTCTTTATCCAAGGACCTAGCTCTAAAACACAAGGAACTGCTCACAAAGGAACTGCTAATGCTTAGCAGGAATAAAGTGCGGATTACAACAGGACACATGGTTATCAAGTGTTACCTGAACAAGCTCAACCTGTATCGAGGAAGTCTTTGCTTCAGACTCTGCGATAATGATCCTGAAACAGCGAAGCAGATTTACAAACGACAGTATTTATTTGGAAAAGCATGGCTAGAACTCGAGGAAATATGCTCCCATTCTATCAAGGACCTGCATAAGTTGGTGCAAGGAGGATGGGTGCAGGCATAAAAAGGGGATAAACACAGGTTGCAGTGTTTCCGGCAGAGGATGGCTCCTTATTATTGAAAAAAAGCATAGGCAGATCTTTAAAAACATATTAACAATAAGGAAACCAGTATTTGGACAGTTCAAAATTTGCATGGGATTTTTTATGCTTCAAACAGCGATGCTCCACGCGGTATAAACTGCCCAAATTTACAGTAGACATTTCACAATACGGAATTTCGATCAAGGTTCTCCCAAGGCTAAACCCGATCCTGGCTCAATTATAGCTACATTCCAGGAGAGCTACACCGAGAATAGGTGAATCCAAAAGCACACCACAATACCACAATATCCCATACATCAACCTCACTCGTTTCGAAGCAGTATCCCGGCCCAGGTCTCCGGCTCGCTCAGCAACCTACCTAATCCGTCCTCCGTAGAACTGACTCTATGTAGCAGTATCAATGACACACTGGTGACGTATCGCACACTGGCAAATCCGTCTCCCGCATCGCCTGACGTCGTCGTGATATTGGCTCGTTTCACCGAGTAAAATTACTCGATCGCTAGCTACTAGCGTGCGTTTTTTCGTTTGTGCTGCTGGCTCGGCTTGAGTTGGTTGATGAGTATCGAGTAAAAATGTTGATCGAATCGTTCGTATGGCGGCGGATGATCTCGATGGGCCGATAAGAATGTCATCTCGGCATGACGCGCGCGCTATGCGGTAACCGCCCGGTAGTGTCGCGGCGCGGATCGGCGCAGTACTGGGCGGCCGGGGGCCGACGTCGACGTCGACGGGCGCCGCGACGGAAGGAAGGCGCAAGCGTCGGGACGGGCGTCGTGGCGAGGTTGCCGGATTGGGCGCCGTTTCGTAGGTTTTAAAGTTTTTTTTTGACTGTATTCTACAAATTCCACTAACAGTATGTCCCCGAATTGTCTTTACAAGAGGAAAATATTTTTCATTATTGACATCTTTATAAAAACGCATTCTTCATAAAAAATTTTGCTTGTTCTAAAATGGTTAATCCTGTTCATAGTTTTCCAAATTTCCATACCGTTTGAGAAAAAATTGAAAAAGTCTTAAAAACCAAGTATATCTAATATAATTTCGTTTTCATTATTTGTTACATTGTTATTGATAAAATTTTAATTAACGTCATATTTTTTGCTGTTTTAAAATGTTAAAGAAGCACAAAATTTATTTTGTTCAATGCTAAAGCAAGGGTGATAATACTGATAATAGTTATCGGGAAATATCATACTTTAAGGACAGCAAAAATATGACGTTAATCAAAATTAATAATAACCATCTATATCAAAGAATAAAATCAAAATTATGTTTAAACTGGCGGATTTGAAACTTAACATAAAATAACATTTTGTGTGAAATATTTCATATTAACACAGCAATCTGTATTTTATTATCTATTACTATACTTATAAATAAATATAAAGATAGCTCTTCTAGTTGCTTTTTGGAAATTTCATTTTTTGCGAGTGTTAAAGAGCGTGGAATTTTATTTATCGCCATTTTAGTTCTACCTACGGTCAAGGAAAAAAAAACAGGCTGGAAGCTGAGGCAAAATATATAAAATTAATATTTTTGGGCCTATATTATTGGTGTTTTAATATATTATATACCATATAAAATATACAAAAAAAAATAATGAATGAAATTAATTTATTTGTTTTTAAATTATTTTTTTATTAAACGTATTTTTTCAAGATATCTTGGGCTACAACAGCGCAAATTTAAAAAGTGCTTGAATTTAAGAGTGCTTAAAAACATTTTTAAACCAAAATTCTATTTTATTAATAAAGCGCTATAATATGTTTTTTGGCCAAAAGTTTGGTATAAAATTCCCACTATAAAATTACAGCAATGTAATAATCTATACATCAATAATATATAAACCAATATGACTAATTCATTTTAATATAACTCTTTTAGAATAATTTTCTTCCCTACAAGACGATTGTATTAGATTTTATATCTGACGATTCATTTCTTAAGATACCACTTTATATTTTTATAAATACGGAGTTTTTATTTCATTTTTTAAAAGCTTATGCTTTTAAAATATTACACACTTACGCAAAAAAAATGTATAATAAAGAATATTCCAATAAGAAGCAATGTGTTGGAGTGATATAATATAGGATCACTTTTATTATGTGTGTGTTAAAAACAAGCAACATTTTTTTTTGTTAAGTGTGATATTATTGCATTTGGGCTCTGATTTGGGAGATCATAAGTTTTTTTTTAAAAGAAATTAAAAATCCAGGTCCATATTTAAACAAAACTATGCGATGTGGCCTTTTTTTTATAAGAGACAAAAAATGTAGTAAATACTAGAGGGACCATTCTACAAAAAGAAAATCTCTCATTGGTAGAGTTGGAAAATATTTACATTAAAATTTATGTAGGGGTGGGGGTAGTTTTCATCCTTCCCGTACTTTTTTTATTTTTGTGAAAGTCAAATGTTAAAGCACTTGGCAAAACATAGTCACCCAAAATCTCATTCAAATCGGAATAACGGTTCTTCAAATATCTTAAAAAATATTTTTAATTTTTTAGAGCTTTATGCCCTCTAGTGGACAAACGAAGCACTTTTGTATAAAGGTAAATTATGTCCAATTAACTTATTTTTATTAAAAAATACGTACTAGTTCTATATCCACGGAATATTGGGATACCCTGTATTAACATTGTCAAATTTTTATCAAATATCTACATTATAAAATGCTAATGTTTAGCTGTGTCGTCTCTACTGAAGTAACGACTTGCTCTAGAAAGTTGCTTTTTTTACTAAAAGATACCTAATATTGGCTCTTCTAAAAACTGTCGTCGCCGGATTTTTTGTTTTTCATTTAATTAAAAAAAATAAAAAGTAGTTTTTTCCTGATGCCGTGGCGGATGCGCCAGGCTTCAACTAGTCTTATAAAAGATCGTTGAGAAAGAAATTTGATAGTGTAGTACTGGCCTAAGAAACGTCAAAAATCTATTACCATAACCATCCTCTTGTAACGCAGGAAAAGTAGTAATGGTAATATATGAAATTTGTATTGTTATATCTTTTCAAATACAGCCAGAAAAAATCTTCGGAAATACTTACCTAATCGGATTTTTTTAGATTTAGATATGATTTGTGTGCGCAACTTTTCTCTAATTTAATCATCATTTTATCTCTTCTGTATTATGAGATCTCTGTAGTCTGTAGTGTGCATTTTATAAGTTTGAGACACTGTATAAAATAGTTTATATACCCAAATATACTCTTTTAAATATTTACATAGTCACTAATTTCCTGTCTTGCAAAAATGCGATTTATTTTAAGTACATACCTACGCGAATAAAGTGAGCAGAAATAGACATAAAAATTATTAAAAAACTTACCTTATAAAAACTATCAACATATTTTTTGTAAATTCACAATTCCTGCAGCATTCCAAAGATAGTTTAAATGTATTCTCTCCAACCCAAAAGGTTTCAATAATTTCTCTTAATATTTTTTGATAGGTGCCTTCAGCCAATGAATATTTTTCCTGATTTGATTATGATACATTAATAATAATCACTACATTCACTTTTTAACATTTCTTGTTTAAATAAATCAAAATTACAACAAATTATTAACACTGACAGAGTCAAGTCTCAAAATACTGATATTTTTGTGACATTAAACAATGACAATTGCCTGAAGTCATGGCTATGCTTGATCAAATATTTTCCCCCGCGTAATTTTAAAAATACAAAATTTCTGTCTATTAGGTAGGTCAGAAAATATTTTCTTAAATAAATTTATTCTTAAACATATAGGTATTTGACTTTGTGACATTATTTATGGATATAATGAAATTATTATGGAAAAAAATAGACTAGCAATTGGACATTGTCCAGTTTTTTTGTAGGTAGAGTAATAAATAATAATATAATCCTTGCTCCGAAAAAATCCTTATATAATTTTCCCGCATTTAATCTAAAATAGATTACATTATAAAAGAAATATCATAATGTTTATTTCAGTATAAAGAAATCAATCAGAAGATCAACGACCTCGATATAAATTACTTATAAAATCAAACACAGCTCAATAAAAGGTCAAGTGTAACAAAACATCGATTTTATATATTAGGAAGTTTACTTTTTCAATAATTAGTTCCATGAACAGAAAAATGCGCTTATGTATAGGTATAAAAAAACATTCTGCATACATATATACATTCATTAAAATGCATGGCATGTTTATGTAATATTTACTGACATTTTAAGTAAATATTTTGGTTAATTCATTATTCTTAATATCAAATCACGTCCAATATTTAATAAATTCTTTAGAGATGTTTTAATTCTATGTAGAAGCCAGTGGCGGGTCTTCAAGTTTATCATATTCTTCTATAATTTCTATTTATTCCAAAAATTATTCGTCATAGATTTGAAATTTATACACAGAAGCTTCCTAGAATTGATAAACAAGACTTGGTGCTGCTTGGTGCATTCTGCGCCGGTGCTGCCACCATCGGAGAATATCGTAAACAACCGGCATATACAAATATACCGGTTTAAATAGCGAATAGACGAAAAATTTATTATACAGGGTGTTTCAAAAAACATGTGCCATCTCTTGTGGGGAGATTCCTCATGTAAAAATAAGATTTATTTTTCATATCAACGTAGGTCCCATTCTGCTTTGTTACGTAGCTACAGGGTGTTACAGTCTTAATAATCTTTCGGTTTATTATAATTTTCTTCCAAGATCTTTTAGTGATTCGAATTAAATTTTGGGGGTAAAAGTTACTATAAGTGTTACATATTTTAATGCTAAAAAGTGTCAATAAATTTATCAGGGACGTGCATATATGGGTTATCACCGGAATATTTTTTTCAAAGAAAAAAACATGTGCGGCACTGACTTTTTTTCTTTTGATATCAAAATTGTGTAAGTCGTTTAATGTCAATTAAAAGCTATCTCTTGATATTTTGTCGAATTCGGCCTCCTTCATGAGATAAACGCAATTTTTTATTAATCACAATTAATGAAATTAAAATAAAGTTGTTAAATTGTATATTTTACCTCTCATTTATTATTAAATATTATTACTATTAGTTATTATTACTATTAGTCCAACCTACAGCAATTTCAAATAAAAAAATAATGGTATTTAAGATAATTACAAAAAACCTAATTTTGAAAAATTTTAACATCCTGTAACTCTAAAACTATACATTTCCATATCCATGTTTATAGGAACTTTTTTTCATATTTTTTGATGAGGAATCGATGAGTACTTATTTATTGTTGGCTTGGCAGAAATAATCATGGATTACAATTTCAAAGACCACTGTGAACCCTAGATCATATATACTTACGTGAATAAATCAACGCCATAAGTTTAGCATTAAAAAACATGTCTCCAACATCACGACATGCCATTTTCAAACCTTCTTTAGTGCACTTAAGAAACGTTCAATAGGTTTGTCTTTCTCGAGGACCATACTTTGCGCAGGCGCATTAAAAGTTGCACGTATTTCCAAAATAATCACAATTTTATACGGTTTAGAAAGTACAAATTATACATTGTTATGGAAAGCAACTTTTCATGGTCATCATATTGTCATAATTTTATTTCCATCGTGTTACGACGCTTGTTTTTTGCGTTTTTATTTTAAAAATTGTATTTTATCGACCGTTTTTATATAGCCAAGGATGCAAGTGTCTTCAGTGAGAAGTTAATTTTAAGTTTGTGCAATTATATTTCTTTTTTTTATTGGTCTTTCTAAATACTCGTAAAATGACCAGAAAGTGTTTGGTGTGTGGAAGTTTTAATATAAAGGTCCCCGAATTATCTTTTCATATGCAAATAAAGTATTTAGTGGTTCCTTTATTTATATTAAGTTATATTAAAATTATATTAAATTTTTTTTTATAAAAAACAGATAGTATGCATGTCTATCTGGTTCGCTTTCCTAAGAATATTGATATTCGTACGGAGTGGCTAAATGTATTTTTTATATAATTTAATTTTTTGTGACAGTAAAAATTTAATTTATTCTACAAATATATGTATTTTACAAATTAAATTTTTAAAATTAATGTTCAAATTTGGCGCGCGGACGATAGTTCCTCGACAAGGATAGATAGAGTAGAAGCACCGCGTGTGCGACAAAAAAAGTAGATAAATGGAAGTCGTTGATATGTTTGCGACAGTTTTTTTTATTTTTTCCCATTTTTAAGTATTATTATCCGCAAAAAAAAACAAATATTAAAAATCAATAATAAATTTACTTTCAAAAAAATACATCATTCTCTTTAAATTGTAGATTTAACTTAAATATATTTATAATAATAAAAAAAGGGTGCCAAAAACAGGCTCTATACTTAAATACCAACAACATAAATAAAAAGTTTCGCTCTTTTTTCGACCTCTAACTCTGGTGGAATTTCTTGCTGGGGTCTTTGGCCATGTCGATAAGCGTTTGGGCGGGTTTGAAGGGTAGACCGTAGGCGTTCTGGTACTGTTCCATTTTGGAGACCAACCTGCCGGCTCCGTACTGGTCGACCCACCTGAAGGGGCCGCCGCTGAATGGGGGGAAGCCCAGACCGAAAACGGCGCCAATGTCACCTGAAATATTTCATTTATTTAATAAAATACAGTATAAAGAAGAAAAATGGGTGTTTCTATTTAAAAAATTCGACTTTTTATACACAAAAAAGCAACGGAAAATTTTTTGGTCAAGTTTAAATTGCTATATTTTTTTATTTTTAGTCCTATTTCCTTGATTTTTTTTAACAAACTGTATATAAATACAGGGTGGTTCGAACTGTATTCCGGAAGCATATTCTGCAGATAAAAATAGTTCGTATAAATGTATGTCCTAAAATGGTTAGTTTCGGAGATACAGGGTGTAGAAATTATATTTTTATTTCGATTTTTTCCAAATAATTTCTGAAGTAACGTCAATATTTGGATGAAAATTGGTGTCTGGGAGTTTTTTGACAGGATAAATTTGATTTTGATGTCAATATGGCTTCTATTTGTAGGGGGCGCCACCTACATGTGTCTTAACGGTTTTACAGAGTAATAACTTTTCGTCCGTACCTGTACCTAACCATTTTTTACGTAAATAGCAGGGTTGTTAAGTAGTTTATGAAGCAAAAAACTACGCCAAAAACTACGCGTAGTTTTTTGTATTAACTCCGTTTTAAAATTTTAATAACTACCTTCAGAAACTACACAAAAACTACACAAAAACTACCTACAAAAATATAGTAACACATAAACAATTTAGACTTTAAACAAAAATCAAAACAAATTCTTATCATGGAAGTATGAAGTTATATTATATTTGTATAAGTTAAACAACATCAGAAAAAAAGACAATTTTTTTTCAACAAAAGTGTATTTTCAAAGTAAAACCTCTGAAGGCGGGTAAGGGGACAAATAACTCACAATCTTTAAGATATTTATTTAAATTTAAATGCTTCAAACATAGCAGGGGGCGACATGTTTTGGGGACTTAAACAATTCCCATCATCAGGCCCAGAAAGACAAACGTCAACCTAGGAGTGGTACTTCCTAGGTTGACGTTTGTCTTTCTGGGCCTGATGATGGGAATTGTTTAAGTCCCGAAACATGTCGCCCCCCTGCTTTTTTTGAAGCATATAAATTTAAATAAACATCTTAAAGATTGTGAGTTATTTGTCCCCTTACCCGCCGTCAGAGGTTTTACTTTGATAATATGTACTCACACTGGGTTAGAGAACGTTTAGTTTTAAAAGTGTATTTTCTACGAAATACAAAGTAACATTGAACACAAAATAAACTATAAATTCTTATGGAGAAATTCTTCATAGACATTCTCCAGGAGAATATACGATTTTTTACATCTAAAGGCACAACTTCATAATTCCCCTCTTCCCAGAAGGTATGAAGCAAGGTATGGAGACATCGACGTCTTCCAAGCATTTTTAACTACTAAGTAACAAATTCACAAAATATAGATTTTTTATTTTTTTAAACTGATCAACAAACAAAGTTTTTAGGTTATGTTTTCACTGTTATTTAAAAAAACTACATTAGTTACATAAACTACACATTTACTACTGGACATTTAAAAAACTACTTGTGACATGTAGTAAATGTAGTTTATTAATTACTACGTGTAGTTTAACAACTCTGGTAAATAGTCACGGAAATGTATATTTTTTCACTCAGTAGTTTTATACAGGTACGGATGAAAAGTTATTACTCTTCAAAACAGTTAAAACACATGTAAGTGGCGCCCTTTACAAATAGGAGTCATATTCACATCAATAATATAACAACTTTTCATCCTCACCTTTTTAAAACTACTGAGTGAAAAAATATACAATTCCGGGTCCATTTTTACGTAAAAAATGTCTCTTGGTAAAAATCTCTACGAACAACCTTTCTCAAGATATTTAGAATGGAAATAGTCAATACATGTCATTATTGACAAAAAATAAACATGTTGAGTAGATAGTTATTTGACTGAAATGATTAATTTGTGAATTTTTTCTTTTTTTAAATTAATCATAAGTTTTTCTTCGAAAAAATATTATGATAAAACAGTTTCTGTTGAAGTTTTAGCACAAAAACGTTTCAGATTTATGATTTCAGTCTCACAACTATTTATTCAACATATTTAATTTATGTCAATGATGACAGGTATTGATAATTTCGAATCCAAATATCTCGAGAAGCATTACTCGTAGCGATTTTTACCAAGAGACCTTTTTACGTAAAAAACGTCGTAAATTTCTATTTTTTCACTTAGTAGTTTTATACAGGTACGGACAAAAAGTTATTACTGTTCAAACAAATTAAACTTACTTTAAACTTGACAAAAAAAAATGTTCCGTTGCGTTTTTTTGCATCTGAGTGTAGTTTTGCTAAAGTAATATTTGTAACATTTTTATTTGAGTACCATGTGTAATATTTGATATAAATTTTTGATTTGATAAAAATGCTAAATGATTAGATTATTCATAATGTTCTTAGTTTTTTTCTCCAAAAGTTCAAAATAATTTTTTTAAGTATAACTACTTGTTTATTTTTGCTTTAATACATATAAGTTAATAAAGAAAACCATAGGCGTACCATTTCTTTCTTTTTCATGACTCAATATCAAAATAATTTGTTGGAAACTTTTTTCGATCATACAGTATTTTAAACATTGTCGATCGCTCTGTAGAATCTAAACTTATAAACTATAATGCTCACCTTCAAGTGGATTGGCTAGAATTTTCTCCTCAAGGCACAGGACGGCTTCGTTCACGAACCTAGCCACCATTCTCAGGGTCTTATCCTCGTCTTCAAAAGGTCCCCTAGGTTCCAGGCTGTATTTTTTCAAGATTTCCAGGGCTTCTATGTTCACGTCCCTGCTTTTTGATCCTTTTTGATAGATAAAGATACCTTTGCCTGATTTCCTGCCTAGGAAACCAGATTTGACGATTTCTACTAAGATGTTTTGGTCACCTCCTCCAAAACGTTCACCAAATGCCTAAAAGAATGCGAATGAATAAATAAAATATATGAGATAACCTCCATTTCGGAGGATTTGAAGGATATATATTTTTTTATAAATGCTTTTTATAAACTCCAAAAAAATAGAGGTAATATAAAACCGCTATTATAAATGCTATTATACCTTTATAATTTTTTAATGTTTTTTTAATTAATAAACGATAATTCTATCACTCGGCCGGATAGCTTGGCAGCTGTAGTGGCCATTAAACCAAAATACTACTACATCTATATCTCTGACTATGAACTGATACCTGCTACTAACCACCAGTCTGTTTTGTGTGGTCTGTGGTCTCTTTTTATTTAAATGTTTTGTTCATTATTCATGTTGGGGATTTATTTTTAAATTAATGTTAATCGTTAGACAAGCAGGGTTTCTCTTGCATAATCAAAATTATCACTCTAAATTTTACAAAAACAAATTGTCACTCTAAATCGCTGCCTTTTTTAGAGAGATGCCACTTGTCTTGTCATTATTCAATTCATTATTCGAACTCTCAGAATGTTTTTAACAAAAGTTTCATCTCAAAATAAAATTTTAATCAATCACAATTGTTTATCTCCATCATTTACCTGATTAATAATACAGAAATTACAGTTCACTTACAAACAATTCATTATTTATAGTAATCTACAGTAATTTTATTCAATTATACGAATATTCTCGTTGATTATTGATTTGAAATAAATATGACAGTGTTCTCCAATGAAAATGCGAGTTACTAACTCTAAATTCTAATTCTGAGCTGGCAAATAAGCTAGATACTTTAGACCTAGACCGTTATTCAGAAGTTAAAAATCTATAGATGAAAATATGCATGAAAATTTACTTCCTAGCACACAAGGTTTTACCACAGATTAGGTATCCTATAAGTATACAGATAAAAATCTTGTCCCTAATTCGTGGTACGAAAATTTTTTTTTATGACGATGTGCAAACGAGTAAAATTTTCTGTGCGCAAAAATAAACTCACGTAAAATAACAATAAACAGCGTAATAGAGAGATATCGCTAAACAGAATAGCGTGCATGGACGTTAATAAGGACAGGTGTTATTTCCTTTATGTGAGGTGTTATTAACTCTCTTCGTTTATAGTTATCGGATCGGAAAGAGTTCTGTTCGCGTCGCGTCCGCTATTTAAACTTAACCTAACTTTGAATTTAAAACTTTGAAATTGTTTTGTTCACTAGGTATTTTAAAACTGGGTTAAAATGCTTATTTCCAGTGCTTTATTGTTTAACATCTGCCAGTGTTTTTAGGGCAACAAGCAACAAATTCTCTTAGAAGGGCTAAGTCGTCATCTGCTGTAAACCTAAGACTCTTTATAGGTTCTTTAATATTGGAAGAGGTGGAATCCATATTTTGGGCCATATTTATTTAATTAAAACTAATCCCAGCTACTTAAATATCAAATTACCTAATAAAACTAAAGTAATAATTCAAAACAATTCAAACATAACCTAAAATAAAAGATCTCGCCGGCCCCGATTGTCAAATACCCGGACACGCCCATTTAAGCAATTTTTAAACGTTATTTAGAAATAGCGCTTGGTGTAATTGATCCGCAAATTACGTAAGGCGGTAACGTTATTAGCGGGTGTTGCGTTAAAAATTGACTCGCGCATATCGTAACCATGATAAGGTACGTGTAAATACTGCATGACGCTATTCGGTTTTCCGATATCTTTCTAATAACTGTGCCGATCAGGCGCTGTGCACAATTTTAGAGGCCATAAGTGGGCGTGCTATGTGCGCAAACTAGTAACCTAACTAGTGCCCGATTCCGAAAATTGGAACCACGAAAAATAATAAAGAAAAAACAAAGTTTATAATCTGTGCTACTACTAACTGCTACTAACCAACAGTTTCTTTTGTGTGATCTGTGGTCTGTTTTTGTTTAAATGTTTTGTTCATTATTCACGTTGGGGATTTATTTTTAAATTAATGTTAATCTTTAGACAACCAGTATTTCTTTTGCATAATCAAAATTGTCACTCTAAATTTTACATAACCAAATTGTTACTCTAAATCGCTGTCTTTAGACAGATGTCACTTGTCTTGTCATTATTCAATTCATTGTTTCTCAGAATGTTGTTAACAAAAGTTTCATCTCAAAATAAAATTTTAATCAATCACAATTGTTTACCTTCATCATTTACCTGATTAGTAATACAGAAATTACAGTTCACTTACAAACAATTCGTTATTTATAGTGATTTACAGTAATTTTATTTAATTATATGAATATTCTCGTTGATTATTGGTTTGAAATAAATATGAGTGTCCTCCAATAAAAATGCGAGTTCCTAATTCGAGATTCTAATTCTGAGCTGGTAAATGAGCTAGATACTTTTCACCTAGACCGTTATTCAGAAGCTACAAACCTATCGATAAAAATATGCATGAAAATTTACTTCCTAGTACACAAGGTTTTACACGACTTACAAAGGAGTTGCTGTGGCAACACTGCCGTTATCACTTTTCCTCTCGCGCGTAACGAGGCGAGTGTCACGGCCTTGAATTTTTACTCCCAACTTGCTTAAAGAAGTTTCACTTCAAAAATAATTTATTCTGAATTTTTTCGGGTTTTCTTATTATTCTCGAGAAAAATGAGGATTTTAAAAACATTGCTCTTTCTATTCAAACTCTATTTATTGGTCATTTTATATATAATACCCCATAATAAAAAAAAGACAAGTAAAGGATTCTTGAAATAAAAGATTACACTAGATTCACACAGATAATACAATAAAGTAAAATTTACCTTAAATAGGTCTGGTCCAATGTGACTAGCTACGTCAAGTCCAACTTCATCAGCCAATGTTGCCGCTCCGACAGGAAAGCCGAATTTCTTGGTTAGTTTGTCCAAATCTTTAGGATCGACACCTGAAAAATATTTTTGTTTCTATACAAATACTTCAAAAACTACTCAACACCTATATTCAAAGATATTACATATAATTATTGTTGTGTTCTGTATTTTTCTTACCTTCTTGAAGCAGTCTGATAGATTCGGCCATCATGGCGGACAAAATCCTGGTTGTATAGAATCCAGGACCGTCTCCTACTGTAATCACAACTTTGCCTTGTTTTAGACCGACGTCTACAGCCAAAGCTGTCGTTTCTTTGCTAGTTTTGTCTGTCGTTATAATTTCCAACAGTTGCATCTTATCCACAGGCGAGAAATAGTGCATACCTGGAAAAAATGATATACTGTATAATAGTAACACTTCACAAAGCTAATAATTCTATAGTGTGTATCACGTAACTTTTCCTGCATTCGATATTTGACATAAATTATGGTAACATCATAGATATGTATAAATGATAGACTAACCAATATACATTAATTTGTTTTAACTAAACTAACTTTTTTTTGGTAGTTTATAAAAAAAGTATATTTAATAGTGGAATGTACATATTTCCTTTTTTGCAGGTTGTTATTTTCCTAGTTTGACATTTAATACAGAATAAAATTGGAGTTTAATTTGAACACTCAACTAAACAGTTTTATTTAATAAATAAATACTAAAATATCACACGCTTACCAATAACTTTATCTGGTCTAGACGAAGCTGCAGCGATATTTTTGATGGGAATAGCACTAGTGTTGGTGGCGAACACACAATCTGGCCTAGTGACGGCCTCTACTTCCTTCAACACTTTGTGTTTAATGTTTAAATCCTCGAACACTGCCTCTATAACAACGTCTGCGTTTTTGAACTGTTTGTAGTCCAATGTGGCGTTTAAATTTGACAAAAATCTATCCCTTTCCAACCTAAAAATGACAGATAAATATTAGTACTAGTCATGGTACTAGTATTAAAAAATACTTCAAAGGTTCTTATATAAAATCGTCAAAAGAAGATGACTTTATAAGGTTATACAAACGACCCATTCATTAAAGGTTTAGTACCTTAATTTTGACAATAATGTTTAAGATACTATTTATTTTCGAAGTTTAATAAAATATAAAGAACCAAAATGTTTTTTCATTTGCAAAAAAATATTTATGATAATTTTTAATCGCTCAATTCCATGACAGCTACCGCCATTATTATATGACATTTGAACAATTTAATTTTTGAAATAGATAGCCACATGTCTTCTCTTTATGTCACAGTGGTTGTGGTAATCACTAAATTTGACTTTTAGGCTATACAAATTTTTTTGACAGGTAGTTTTTTTCGTCCAAATATTTTAAATATTTTTTTTTCTCGAAAACGGTAAATGTTAGGTGTAAAGCGTTTAACATCAATATTCATAGAATTTTACAGAAAATTTAAGTATGTAATAAAAAATGAGGGCACCCATTTAAAATAAGAAAGTTGCTGTCAACTTCCGGTATTTCCGGAAATGCCACCATATTGAACATATTTTTAATCAATAGATCTCGTTGTAAGACAATTATATGCAAAAAATCTCCGATCTAGATAATGTGGTTCTCTAGAAACTTCTAATGCACGCTCAGCCTGGGACACCCTGTATACCAATTCAAGCTGAGGCTATAAAAATTTAAAGCCTTTCCTATAGACAACATAAAAAAACTATGATAATTACCCGCTGAATCTTTTCCTTTTGACAGCATTGCCTAAGCCAGTGCTGATCTGATTGTAGCCTCTAGCCAAACCAGCTGAGTTTGAGTCCTTCAGGATAACGTTGTAGCCTTTGTCTACTGTTACGTGGGCGATACCGGCACCCATTAATCCTAGAATGATTAAAATTACCTTATTATTTATTATAAGAGGTAACCTTAGACTATGCTACAACTAGACGCCTTTGTTCATGGAAAAAAATACTTACCAGCTCCTAGTACAGCTACAGTCTTAAACTCTTTAGTGGGTTGACCAAAACGATTCTTCTTACACTGGGTTTGGCCTTTGAACAAGCTGACCAGTCCTTTACTTTCAGGCGTCATGGCTAATTCTCCAAAACCTTTAGCTTCCGCTTCGTAACCTGCCGATTGTCCTTTGTCCAGCCCTTCGCGAATGACGTCTAATATCTATAATATACGTCATAAATATATAATTATACCATATGATTGAGAAAAACACTGCGTCTGATTGGCATTTGAAATGACATTATATAAGTATTTAATAGCCTTATAAGTCTACATATACAGTGTGTCCCGGTCTTTACAAGAGAAACACTTTTTTATTATTGATAATTTGAGAAAATTGCAATCTTCACAAAAAAAACTTTTTATTTTTTTAAATTAATCATAATTTTTTCTTTGAAAAAATGATGATAAAACACAAAATCATTCCAAATTTATGATTGCAGTCTAATAACTACTTAGTCAACATGTAGTCGAAATGTTTAATTTGTGTCAATAATGACAGGTATATATTGATATAATTATCGATTCCAAATACCTTGAGAACCATTACTGGTTGCGATTTTTATCAAGAGACCTTTTTTACGTAAAAAACGTCGTAAATGTATATTTTTTTACTCCGTAGTTTTATACAGGTACGGACGAAAAGTTATATTACTTTTCAAACCAATTAAAAAATATGTAGGTGGCGCTCCTGTAGGAGTCATATTGACATCAAAATCATTTTTCTCATGTGAAAAAACTCGCAGACACCAATTTTCATCCAAATATCGGCGTTAATTCAAAAAATACTTTTTTTAAAACCGAAATAAAAATGAAACTTTCAAAGATAATGAAACATGTCTCAAAAATGGATCATTTTTGTAAAATACTTAGGTTTTATATTTATATAATTTATAATTAATTATTTGAAATAAGTTATAAATGTATTAACACAACGAAGGCCAATAATTATTGTGAAGCATTTTATTCTGGTTTAAAATATATCGATACAAAAACATATACATACATACAAAAACTAGCACAGATAAAATTCCTTAATATAAAAAAACATTTATATTTTACGAACCAAATAATTCCATTGCAATATTTATAAAAATATATTGAAATATATTATAATTTTCATTTTTCTTCCTCATTAGGGCATCAAAATATGACCGAGTCTTTGTTTTTCATATTTATCATTTATTTTAACCAGTCACTAAAGACGGGTAAAATTATTTTGTTGGAAAATATATTTTTTTTTAATTTCCTCGTCTCTATTTAGGCCAGTTAAATTAGAGGGGTTACTTAGAAAAAAGTATTGAAAAGCTAATTATTATTGATTTGATTGGTTCATTTGACGTGAAAGAGAAGTTTCCTAGGTTTAGTTTTGGAAATGATAAAATTCTTGGACTTTTTTCAAAATTTCTATCAGGCTCACCTCTATATACAAGGCGAATCTTTAATAAGTGCAAATATCTTCAGCACAGTGTAGATCTCGATAAAAGAATCATATTTTCTCTTTACCATTTTTCAAATAAGTCCAAAATAACCGAGTTATCCGAAAATTAAAAAAAAAGATATAATCATAGATAAATGAAATAAGTTTAGATTGGAAAGTGCCCATAAGGACAATGTAAACACTATTTGGCGCTATTCTTGCAACGGTCGCGACCCAAAAAATTTCGGAGCGGTTCGGCTTTTTCCGGAATTATATCGCCAAATATTGTTTATTCAAATTTATTTATATTTCCGTTTAATTTGATAAATAAAATACAGTGTGTTGCATACAAGAAACTTTATTTTATATAAGGACGCATGTATGAAATACTTATGAAACATTGGAAACCGAAGTTATGCCACGATCCACGATGGTTTTTGCAGTTCACAGCACAGCTTTTTAAGTTTTTAATGCCACTTTTTCACAATTATCACCGGTTGGAGTAAATAAAACTTGAATTAAACTCACAAGATAGCAATAATTACTTTGAAAATGGATGCTATAAACACTTTTCAGAATTTCTTTAATGAGAGCGGATTAGATTTTGAAGGATTATTATGATTTTTGAAGGTTCTGACTTTGACAAGAGAAAATTATTTCTGTTTTTGTTTGCCATTGTTCTTAGCAACCGCTATAGCAGCGCCAGATCGCGTATAACGGTCGCGACCCAAAATAATTTCGCGACCTAAAATTTTTACGGGCTTTCCAATCTAAACTTGTTGCATTTATCTATGGATATAATTTTAAAAAATTTTGACAGCCACCAGATTTTTTTTTGTATTTGCATCTCTTCCAGTGCCGTAACCATGGTAATATCAGAGATTAAGAAATTATACGGCAGGAAAATTTGCGGTGAACAGGCAGTTCTAAAAAGTTTTCTAAAATATACACGAAAATTCACGATTTTTAACATTGTTTTTAGCGCAAAAAAAACTCATAGACGTGATCCTGGGGTCGAAATATACCACTCCTAAAAATATTTGCACTTATTTAAAATTCACTCTGTATAATTTATTAAAAACAAATTAAAAAAATCGAAAAATAAAAATATTTTCATGTGCAAGTATATTTTCGAAAAAAAAATGATAATACAAGTTCAAATATTAACCAACGAGTTTTTAACACCCTGTATAATATTATTCACTCACCCTAAGCGGTGCAGGGTACAACCCTCCAGACAATTTCATCACCGAATCTCTGGCCTTCTTGAAAATCTGGTCCTTAACAAAGTTATACTGCAAAGCATAGGCCAGAGCCTTGTCAGTAAAACTCTTCTTCCTCTCAGCCTTTAGTTTGCCAGAGGCCAGCTGCTTGGCCACGTCTATGGCTATGGTTTCCAGGTACTTCCTCGTTACGTTTTCGGCAGTATCCAAACCCGGGCCTAGAGGATCGACTAGGAGGTCTACGATGCCTAGTTTCTTGGCTCTGTCCGCCTTGACAGTTTTGCCTGTCAGGGCTAGGTCTAGGGCGGTTGGTACGCCTGCTAGTTTGGGTAGGCGTTGAGTGCCACCACCACCTGAAGAAAGAAAAATTAAGACACTGCTTATTTAATCAATTACACAGTTTTTCCCCGGATTGTCTTTACAAGAGGGAAAACTTTTTTATTATTGATATTTTGAGAAAAATGAATTCTTCATAAAAAAAAATTTCTTGTTTCTTTGAAACTTTTCCAAATTTCCATACCGTTTAGAGAAAATCAAAAAGACATCAAGTCCTTTTGATTTTAATCAAAAGGCGTTTCTATGGTAATATCATTTCGATTTCATTCTTTTCTGACAACTATTATCACCCTTTCCATAGTACTGAACTAAATAAATGTTGTGCTTCTTTAATATTTTAAAACAGCAAAAAAATTACATTAATTAAAATTCTATCAATAACAATCTTTGAATAAAAAATTAAGATCAAGGAAGAAGTATAATGCAATCCATGTATTCATGCATAGTCGACGGAAAGAGGACTCTAGGGTGGGGATCCTTGGCAGTTCTGTTTGACGATTCATTTGACAAATTTGAATTTGATTTGACATTTTGTGGATTTGTTAGTCTTAACTGAGCTTATTTTATGTTATTCATTATTTATTCTACTACTGATAGTTGTTTAGAGGTAGTAAATCTAGAAAAAAAAATTGTAGCAGAACTTAAATTAACAGTGACACACTATTGCGATTTATCGAAAAAAAAACCTGTAAAATAGTGGTTGTGTAGCATGGGGTAGATTCGGTCAAAAATCGAGGGAAATAATGGAATATCTTTTCATTAATAAGTGACCATATATTATACATAAGTGTAGTAATCCGATCATTTATGAAATTCACTTAAAAGTAATTACATATTTTTTCTTGCTTTTTTGCTTTTATTTATTACTTGTCAAAGATTAGATGTCAAAGAATGTAGATACGTCAATTTGACTTACCTGCTTCAGTAGCGTATCGAATGTTTGTGTTAATAAATAATTATTATAACTTATCTATTTTTATTAGAATAATATATTTTTATAACAATTTTAATAACTACCAACATTTATTCTCAACGTAAAATAAAACAACAAATTATTGAGTCTACCCCACGTCTACCCTACATCATATTTTTACACGTTTAGAATAAAATTAGAACGGCACTGATAAACCGGAATTTAACACCCCATTCGGCCATTTTAGAGTCCCGTCGCAGTCGATCTAAGATTGTTAATATGCTCCTTCCTTAATCTTTTTATTCAAAAACTGATCTTTATAAAATAACGTTAACGTTGCGTTACCGCGTTAAGTCTAAACCTCCCTATTGTACGATATTTATCAAGATTCAATTTTTACTGATAAAAAAATTGTTTTTGTGTCGCTTATTTTTAAATACAACAATTCATTTTTTTTGTTTACCATTTATCGGCAATTTTATAGGTATGGACCGAGAAATATATTATTATTTTGATTTAAAAATAAATTATCTTATATCAAAATATGCTTGCTTTATCTTATTTATCTATGGAATAATTTTTTTTCTCTTGTTTTAGTAACAATTATTGTTTTAAAAGTGAAAAATTGATGACAAAATTACAATTTTAATTGACAAAAGTCAAAGTAAAAAAAGTATCCGCAGCAACATTGCGACGTGCATTCGTCACATAATTTGAATTGACACATGTCAATTTTATCTTAAAACTTTTGACACGAATTATGTATTATTGAAGAAAAATTACCTGGTAAGAGCCCTAGCATGACTTCGGGCAATCCCAACCCTGTTTTCCTGTCTTTTACAGCGATTCTGTAATGACAGGACAAAGCAGTCTCTAGACCACCACCCAAACAAGAGCCTTGAATTGCCGCCACCACTGGTTTACTGCTGTTTTCTATTAAGTTAAATATCTGATGACCATTCCTAAACAGAAAAACACAAGGTCATTCAAGGTCAAGTTGTACGATAAGCCTGTATAAATCAGATATGCGCAGACGGCCTGTGCGAAAAAACCAAGCGTCTGTGGGGACCTTAAAGCAAACTTTATGCCGGGTCCAGACCAAGCAGACAAAACAACGACAAGACAGAAACATTCATGTTTTACGACAACATTGCGACAAATCCAATACATTTCTGGGACATTTTTGTCTCATTTTTGTTTTGTTTCAAAATTCGGAGACTTTTCAATGTCCCGTCTCGAGTTTGTAAAGATCAAAGTGTCTATGTTTTGTTCGTATATTTTACGACAAGTTGTCGGCGCAGTGTGGATGGCGTGTGCTGCCAACAGTAAAAAACCAGTGAAAGCACACATGGTTAATAAAACTCATTCGCAACAACTAAACTTTTGACTTTGTTGTACTTTTGTCCTTGCGGTGTGGACAATTTGTCTCAAGTTTGTATTGTCAGAATTCCCCATTTTTTGTCGCAAGTTTGTCTTGTTTTTGTCTCAAAATCGTGTTTTCTTTTTTGTCGCCTTGGTCTGGACCCGGCATTATACATACTTTGATAATTGCGTAGCTTCATCTGCAGTTTTGCATTTCGAAATCATGTTGATATCCGCACCAGCAATGAAACATCCCGGCTTGTTGGAGATCAGAACGCAAGATTGGATTTGTGGATTGTTCTGGACTTCTTGGAAGAGTTTGGAGACCTCATCCATAACCTCTTCGTTAAGGGAGTTCACCTGTAAACAAAAATACATTACAGGAAACTAGATTTATTTGAAAAAAAAAACTTTTTTTAAAAAAAATTAACAACTGTGTACAGGATGTCCCACTAAGAATAGCTCTCGGCTGTATCTTGGAAAGTATTAGCCGTAGCGCCTACGGAAAAAAATATTTATAACTAAAGGGGCTATGAGAAATGGCTGGAAATTATTTCCAAGTTTGTAGAACGGCCGCTAGAGAGCGCAACTGCTATAAAAAAATAAGAAAATTGAGTTTTTACACAATTTTGCCAAGTACTATAAATAATAGCTTCATAATCTTCAGAAAATGTTGAATATTTTTTGTTTGAACCATTTTCCCCTATCTGCCAAAATAATGTGGTGGGGGAAGGTTCGATCTGTTTTTATTTAAATATTAATAACTTCGGACTAGGGGATCCAACAAGGGAATAGGGAACTAGGGGGAATTCGAACTAGGGGGATCCAATAGGGAATCCAACAAGCGTGGGTTCGTTTAAAAGAGCGTTTCTTACTCTATATTATACCGTATAAACGATAATAATAAGCTTTTGAATGTAGACGCTAGGGGGCGCGGACTTACAAATTAACAAATATTGCGCGTTTTTTCAAAAAAGTTAAATGCGATAGTATATGTAATTTTAGCTGATGGTAGAGAGTAATAAAAGCTCAAAAAGTCAGCGAAAACCGCATCTTGAAATCCTCTTTCAAACCAAAGATATTAACAAAATTATAATAAATACGAAAAAATAAGCCCTTAATTACCTTATTTTTATAACACGGTTACAGTAGTAGCCCTCTTCAATGTTTGTTAATTTGTAAGTCCGCGCCCCCTAGCGTCTACATTCAAAAGCTTATTATTATCGTTTATACGGTATAATATAGAGTAAGAAACGCTCTTTTAAACGAGCCCTCGCTTGTTGGATTCCGTTTATCCAGTCCGAAATTATTAATATTTAAATAAAAACAGATCGAACCTTCCGCCACCACTTTATTTTGGCAGATAGGGAAAAATGGTTCTAACAAAAAATATTTAAAATTTTCTGAAGATTGATAAATTTTAATAAAATTATTGATTGTCCGATTTTCGGACATTTTAGTCTGAGAACGACCTACGTTAATTAACCAAGATATTCGTAAAAATTATATGCATGGACGATAATGTTATATAAACACGTTTAAATATTTATGACGTAATTTTTTTAAGAAAATGCCCGAAATTCGGACGCATGAAAACTGAACTTAAATTTTTTGATATTTTGACGTAACCAATTTACCTCTTTTTGCTTCCTAGCCTACTACGATAATTTTTAGGCCATATAATCCTAAGCGGCAGCCTAACATGATTTGTTCTCTTAATATCTCCGGTTAGAGAGAAGATAGAAAGTTGCGGTTTACGCTGATATTTTGGAAATTTTGTGCTCTATTTAACTGTGCAAAGAGAAATATACCCTCCTATTTATTTTTTTTACGCAAAAGTGCAATATCTGTTATGATGTTAAACAGCGCCCTCTAGCTACCACGAAAAAAATTGTGAAAACAAAATTTATACTGGAGATCATTAAGGAAGAAAAGCTCTTTTAAACGAGCCCTAGTTTGTTTAAATCGCATAACTCAAACCAGAGTTATCCTTATTTTAATAAAAGCAAGTTTAACTTTCCCCCACCACTTTATTTTATGAGATAGAGCAAAATATTCTATATCAAAAAAATGACAAATTTCTCGATGATTACAACAGTAATATTTAAAATACCTGGTCACCTGCATATTTTTGAGAAAAATCCTGTTTTCTGATTGGCTATTAGAGAAACGCCCCCTAGCGGGCATTTTTCGAACTTGAAAATAATTTCCAGCGATTTCTCTTGGTCGATTTACTTATTAGAATTTTTTTCCCAAAGTTATACGATAAGTAGTTTCTGAGATACAGCCGGCGTCCATTCTTAGTTGGCCACCCGGTACAAGGTTGAATCAAGAATATCATACTTCATACAGGTATTTACGTCAAAACAAACATGAAGTAACTTTTACCTTGACATTCACACTTCTCCAATTCAACCAACAAGATGACCAAAATTCTCTCGATAGGCGACAGCATCACCATCAAGAGAACCAACGGCGCACTTCAGGAAGCCATAGTCTCGGACATTGACTACGACCTGCAATGCATCAAGGTGGAATGGTACGAAAACGACGACACCAAAGGCAAGGAAATACACTTTGTCAACGTGCAATCCCTCAACCCCCAGTACCTGTTTGAGCCACCCAGTTCCACGTCCCAAATAGGATTGAACCAGAGCGAAACCAATGTGGAAAAGAACAGGAGCCAGGCCAGGAGAACCAAAGCGACTAACTGTGATAGTTTGAAGGACTATGGAATGCTTAATGTGGAAGGAAGGTCGATAGCTGGTGCTAGGACTACGAGGTCTGCTGTTGAGTCCAATTGCAAGCAGAAAAATAGCGTTACATTGCAAAGAATTAACAAGCTTGAAAGGGAAAGGTTAGTAAGAATAATAACTGTACCTAGAGCAGTCCCAAATATATTTATTAATGTAACTTTGAATCTTGCATTGTTTTTATATATTTAGGACAATTTATCAATTAAACAAAACAAGAAATTTAATTTTGTTTGTTATTCTTAATTTGTTGCTTTTCCATCTGACTTTCATTTTACAGGGTCGCTTTTATGTATGGAAACGGTCGATTATTAGGTAAAATATAGGAGGTACCGCAAAAAGTTAAATATAAAAGTTATAGGATTTTTAAATATCTATTAGCGAGTAATAAATTTAAGTAATTTAAGGGTCGGCCATAAAGTCGTGGCACATCAAAGTTTCATTTTTTTAAATAGAACCCCCTGTATATTATTGCATATTTCGATTCTTCCTTCAATTCTAAGCAAAAATCGAAATACACACAATGTACCTCAAACCAACCGTTTCCGGGTTATTGACTTTTGAATATATCGTTTAAACAATTTGATTTCATTCGGATATGTTCTTCGATAATTTTGAAACTGTCATACCAAAATTTTCATCCCGAGCCGCCTTTTGACGCCGTTTTTTTTTCGATCATGCATACAAGAAAACCATAGGCGTACCATTTTTTTTCTCTTCCATGACTCAATAATAAAATAACTTTTTTGGAGGCCATTTTTTAATTTATTATTTAAAAATTCTTCTTTGCTTCTTTTTCAGATTAGAAAGGCGCACGAAGCAGGCCAAAATGAAGGCCGAAAGACACGACATCATGAAGAAAACCCAGGACAACCCTTATTGGAAGGTGACCCAAATGATCGGAGACTTCAGAGACCGAATCGACACAACCAACAAGCATTTCCTGGGCCACGACACGCCATCAGATCACCTGATCACCGTAGCCGTCAGAAAAAGACCCATAAACGACTCGGAAATCAAAAAGAACGAAATCGATATCATTACAGTACCTAACAAGCACCAAATAATCGTCCACGAACCCAAACACAAGGTAGATTTGACAAAATACCTTGAAAACCACACTTTCAAATTCGACTGTACCTTAAACGAGTTTTGTTCAAACGAAACAGTTTATAAGTTCACAGCTCAGCCTTTGGTGAAGTGTATCTTTGAAGGGGGTTATGCAACATGCTTTGCATACGGTCAAACTGGCTCTGGAAAAACTTACACAATGAGCGGTGATACAGAGTACTCTGAACCAGGGATCTACACTTTAACTGCAAAAGATATTTTCAAAAATATCCAATCCAACAAATATCGTCACTGTAACTTTATGGTATCATGCAGTTTTTTCGAAATATACGTTAAAAAAGTGTACGATCTACTCAACCTAAAGGAACCTTTAAAAATACTTGAAGATGGCCAACAGCAAGTTCAAATCGTCGGACTCACTGAGCAAGTTGTCTACTCTGTAGACGATGTTCTTGAATTAATATATGAAGGTAATAATAATAATTTATTTAAAGAGCAGCTTTCAAGTTTTATTAGGAGTAAAAATGATATTTCTTGTGGCTAGACTGTATGTTTGACATTACAGCCGAGGCACAAAAAGTCATTTTTACTCCGAATAGAACATGCTATTTTTTTCAAACGTCAAAAATAATTTTTTAAACAATTGGAAACGTTGCAAATAATATAAAAAGATTTAAAAGTAACACCTTGTAAGTAATTATATTATATCGAGAAACTATATATACAGGGTGAGTCAACGATAGAGTAAAGTCCATTATTTCATTTGTTTCGAGGTTTACGAAAAAATGTTAAATATAAAAGTTTTAGGGTAGATCAAGATACACATTCTAAAATTATTATAGAGTATACAGGGTGCTTCAAAAAAGTATGGCGAATATAACATATGGTTTTTTAAATGCAATACCCTATTTTTTATTTTATTTTTAGATTCTGCGTAAAATTCCATAATTTTTTTGTATAATGTTATATACCTAAAATTAATAGTTTTGTAACATTTAAATTTGTTTAAACAAATGTTAGATTGCAGTGTGGTAAAAAATTGTCAGTGATGCCATTGTTTCTGAAGTTGGACAACTAAAATTTGGTAGGAGAATTTTATAGAGATATAGAAAAAGACCTATGTAAAGATATTTTAGTTAGATGCTACAGGGCGTTCAAAATATATTTATGAATTTCAACTACTTAAAATTAAGAAATTTCAAATTTTTTAAACGGTACACCCTATATATTAACATTTTTTCTGATAGATTTGATAAAACTCTTCAAATTTTATTAATTATATCATATACCTGTTTTTAATAGTTTGCGATTTATTCCAATTTTTTCTATTTTTGAGCAAAATTCCTATATCAGTAGTCATCAACAATTAGGTAATCTAGTATTACCTTAATCTATGGCTATTCGCCCTGACGGGAAATCCAAGTGTCATCTTTCATAATATAGAAATCGATAGAAATACGATGGCAAAGTGAAAATCTTGGCAACGATTAGTCTTTGCCAAGATATTCACGACTGCGATTTTATTTTGTGTAAAGTTAATTAACTTTAACTAATTCTAACAATTGTAACTAATTATGATTAAGCTACTTGTTAAATATAAGTAATAAATAGTTTTGTTTTGTCATGGCAACTATGATGTTATAGCGTAATTGTTATTAATATTAAAAATATGGGTAAAAATAGAAAAAATTGGAATAAATCGCAAACTATTAAAAATTGGTATATGACATATGTATTTAATAAAAGTTGAAGAATTTTGTAAAATCTACCAGAAAAAATGATAACATATAGGGTGTACCATTTAAAAAATTTGAGATTTTTTAGTTTGAAGTAGTTAAAATTCATAAATATATTTTGAACACCCTGTATCATTTAACTAAAATGTCTTTTCTTATATATATATCTTTTCATCTCTATAAAACTCTCCTACCAAATTTTGGTACTTTAACTTCAGAAACAATGACACTACTGACAATTTTTTACTACACTGCAATTTAACCATTTGTTTAAACAAATTTAAATATTATAAAAACTATTAGTTTTAGGTATATAACATTATATACAAAATGTTAGGGAATTTTATGCAGAATCTAAAAATAAAATAAAAAATAGGGTGTTGCATTTAAAAAAACATGTTATATCCGCCACACCTTTTTGAAGCACCTTGTATACTCTATAATAACTTTAACATGTGTATCTTAACCTTCCCTATAACTTTTGTATTTAAAGTTTTTTTGTAAACCTCGAAACAAATGAGATAATGGACTTTACTCTATCATTGACTCACCCTGTACAGTTCATACCAATAAGCTTTTAGTCACGTGATTTTGCTTGACCGGCACAGCGTTGTCCACTTTTATATATTTTCTTTTAATCAAAATATTTTAGGAAACAAAAATAAATTAACTAGAAATACAGGGTGGCGCGGGCGCCTCTCATAGCTGCGGAGGCTCCAAGGAGAACGACAGTTTGTATTGAAATAAAATTTCGTGAGCATATGTAGGTTAATTTAGAGCATTTTTTAAATTAATAGGGAATTCTACAGGGTGTCCACAAAAAAAGTTACATATCAAAGTTGTGTTCTTTGTAATGGAACACCCTATATATTAATTGATTCTAAGAGAAAAATACAGGTGAGTTTTATTAGAGAAGTATATGTCTAAATTGTAAGGTTTTTGACTGATTTATCATTTACTAAAAATGAAGCCCGGTTCAACCTAGTATGTACTTAAAATAGCTATTGTATTTTAAACTAAGTTAAAATTTGTCCCTAAAAGTTATACAGGGTGAGAAAAAATTAATATTGAACACTGGTTACATTTAAAAGCAAGTTAATTGAACACTGGTGACATTTAAAACCAGTATATTGTTCCGATATTCAATGTGAAATTCATGTCTCTTCAAAATACTATTAAGGTTGCCTACCCATTAGACAAAGATTTTCCTAGATATTTTCATTTTTGTGATTTTGCTGCAGTAGATATTTATTATTTGATAAAATCTATTATCTTTAATGCACACTGCATTCACCATCTAATGGAATAATGTCAATTCACTCTGATGTAGGATAAGTTTCCATTTTCGGCAAATTACTGAGAATATTTTTGTTTTAACTGGCAGAAAATGATAACTATAATGTGATAGTATGCTATTAAAGTAACATCAGACATATCACAGCCACTTAGATTTTATCAAATAATAAAGATCTCTTACACTAAGCACTAAATCATAAAAATAAAAATATCTAGGAAAATCTTTGTCTAAGGGGTAGGCAACCTTAATAGTATTTTGAAGAGACATGCATTTCCCATTAAATATTGGAATAATATACTGGGTGTTCCATTTAAAATAAAAAAGTAACTTGCTTTTAAAAGTAACCAATGTTCAATAATAATTATGTCTCACCCTGAATAACTTTTTGGGTCAAGTTTTAATTTGATTTAAAGTACAATAGTTAAATAATAGATTATATTAGGCTGTACCGGGTAAATTCCAATTTAGGTAGCTTTTATTGAAATTTAAAAATTGTTCTTCATTTTTAGAAAATATTAAATGTGTCAAAAACCTTATATTTTAATGAAACTCATCTTTTTTTCTCCTAGAATCCGAAAATTAATGTTATGTTTTCTAAAATATTTTGATTAAAAGAAAATATGTAAAAGCCGGCAACGCTGTGTCAGTCAGGCTTAATCACGTGACTAAAAGTTTATTTCGTTATTTCGTATTTTGTATGATCTATAGAACAAAAATACACACTAGAAATAGACACATAAAAATGATCAAATTTACATTCTCTGTTCATACATTTATTTATTTATTTATTTATATTCTTTCCTTTTTGTTTTAAGGTAACAAAACAAGGACCTTTGGTCATACTTCGGCTAACACACAGTCATCCAGATCGCATGCAATCTTCCAGTTTTATTTGAGAACCCAAAACACTACGAATATTCATGGTAAATTTTCTTTAATCGATCTAGCCGGGAATGAAAGAGGTGCCGATACATTCTCAGCTTCAAAAACGACTCGTTTAGAAAGCGCAGAGATTAACCAGAGTTTACTGTCTTTAAAAGAGTGTATAAGGGCTTTAGGCCGAAAAGATGGACACCTACCTTTTCGAGGTTCCAAACTAACCCAAGTTCTGCGAGATTCCTTTGTTGGAACCAACTCAAAAACGTGCATGATCGCTATGATATCTCCCGGCATAGGGTCCTGTGAAAATACCCTTAATACACTGAGATACGCTAACAGGGTTAAGGAACTTAGCGATCATAATAGCTCGAAAGATAAATATTATTGTGAAAGGGCGTCCAGCAGTGAATCCAGGCTTCTGACGGTCGATAAAAAGAAGAAAGACGAACACATGGAGAAGCAGAATAGGGATATGATAAGGGTTTTTCAAAAATACAAGAAAGAAGCCGAACTGTTGCTCGATTCTTCCTATATGGAAGTAGGCAGCTATTATTGTAATTTAAATACTGTTTTAACTGATGCTATTGCTTCTTTAATAAAGATTAAGGATTCCATATAGTATAATTTTGTGATTTTTAAAGTACAGCACGCTTACCTTTGATCCAGGGGAATCGAGGAGTATTAGACCTACATTGTCCACGATTTTTAGGCTTGTGTGTTTTTGTTGGGCAGTAGCCATACTTCTTGCCAATACTAAAAGATTAAAAACGCGAACATATTAAAAAGAAAAAAACGATAAGTTAAAACAAAAAGAACAAGGTACAAAAAATAGGGTGGAAAATTGATGTTATTACATACCTGAGTTCCAGCATAATTTATTACTGATATTTTTGTTCTTGCACAAGTGGCCGAAAAGGCGTAAACTAGACATAGCTGTTTCCTGACTTTGGAACTACACTTTGAACTGACCCTCTCCAGCTACTGCAAAAACCAGTGGATGTTTACAACTTATAAAAATTAAAATAAAATGTACTTTGGACTGACGATAGTCAAATTTCCAGCGAATAATAACCTCAATTAATTGGAGCAAGTGTTTTTCTAGTTGCCTAAAATCGGGAAATAAAGGTATGAAAAAGGTTCAAAAATAAACTGTGATTATAAAAACTGTTAAAAAAATATAGGTATTTTTGGAATAACATTCAGAGCCATGGTACGAATGAAGAATTCAGAACGGACAAAAAAGCATAGATAGTTTATTTCAAACCAAACAGAATTGTTTAGGTTAGATTCTTAATAAAAGAGATTTTTGTATTACATAATTAGTAAGTTGGCAATAAATTAAACATATTTTTTATCAAAATATACATTAAATTAACTAGAAATTTCATAACTTATTGAAGAATTATACAAAATAGGGATAAAAGATAGTCTACACCGTCTACACCAAAAACGTAATTAAAAAGTTACCAAACACAGGGTGAGTTTTAAACATATCTTAAATAAGTCAAAGAATAAGCATATACAATTATGGTTTAATAATAATATAATATTATGGTTTTTTTTTCACGAAAAAAACTATGAAAATATGGAATTTTTTGAAAAAAAAAATTGGATTTTTTTAGTTAAATACATAATTTCTTGATAATATAGTATCATGTGGTAGATTAAATTTACAAGAAAGAAAACCTAGAAAAGATCCAGTAGTTTCAAAATTTAAGCAAAAAATCATTTTTATGGAAATTTTCAAAGTAAAATAACTCGGTTATTTTTGACTTATCTGAAAAATGGTAAAAAGAAAATATGTTGCCTGAAAAGCCTTAAAAATATTTGCACTTATTTAAGATTCACCCTGTATAGTAAAATAATTCACAACTTATTGGAAATATAAGTAAGGTATGATGAAAATTTAAATAAATTGTCTCTGATAAAAATCCTTTAAAAATACATTTTTGGAATAATATTCAGAAAAGAAAAAAGCCTTCATAGATTATTTTAAATCAAATAGAGTTGTTAAAGATTAGATTTTTTTTTAAATAAAAGAGTTATTTTTGTATTACATAATTAATTATAATTAATTTAATTATAAGTAGACTGTTAAATTTTGTAAAAAATGATGTTTTAAATAAATTATTTTTCAAAAAAAAACAAATTAGAAATATTTTTCTGAAATTTACTTACATTAAATCTAATCAGGAATTTAACTGGATGAAATAGGGATAATGTTATTACACCAAAAACGTAATTAAAAATTTATTAAATATTGTAAAATATGTATAACAAATCTTATTGTAAATAACATTTTTATTATAATTTTTACATTGGCTCATTTAATGAGTTACACGTATCATAATTAAAATATTAATCATCGCATTTCTTAAAATCTTTTAATAAATACATGCACATACATATATATTTTTTGTCAATTCATTTAAACGTCAGTATAATTCTACAACATCAAGCACTATCTCCTTCATCTTTCTTCACTATCTTCATCTTCTTCTTCTTCTTGTTTTTCTATTAGCCGTGCCACAGTTGAGTTATAATGTCCCCCTGCCGCAAACATTTTTTGATGAAAAACAATAGTCAATTCAGGATTGTCACTAGCCTCATATGGAACCATACACAGAAATCGTCCCGGTGTTTGAATAACGTTTATAACACACGCAAAAACGTTAGCAAGAGCTATTATTTCAGTATGACCACCCCACCGGTCTGTTTCCACTCTAACACAGTAAGCTTCATACGCTTGATCAGCAGTTCTCCTACTTCCGCCGGAATTTTTGTCCACAAGATCAGCTTCCTGGACCAAAACATGCATGAACCTTGGCTTATTTTGTCTCAAATAATTCGCAGCCTTTTTACGTATCTCAGTAGGCGTATATGTAGGCATCCCTTTAAGTTGTAACTGATGGCCAACAGCTGCGAACAGGCAACTTCCATCGGGTCGTATTGGGTGGATTTGAAGATTTTCATCTCTAACAAGTTTAAGAAGCATTTTCATTTCTTCTTCGTTATCTTTTGGCCCTTCTTTCTTCTTCTCATCTTCTTCATTTTTGATGCGTTCTTCGCTCAGTCTCTTTGTGCTATTTCTTTTTTCTCTTCGCTTTTGAGCGCGAGACGGAGTTTTTTCTTTTTTAAAGGGTACTCTATCTTCAACTTCAAGTTTCTCTTCGAGTTCTCTCTCTAATTTCGCTAGATCTTCTCTCTTCTCCTTTTTGTCCTCTTTCAAAATATTTTTTTTCAGAGCCTCGATTCTCGCTTTCAAATCCTCCCTCTCCTGCTTGCGTTTTTCGCGCTGCCTTGTTTCGTATTGCTTGTTTTCACTTTGCTGTTCAGAACGAGGACTCTTTTGAGGGCTTGGGCCAGCACTTATTCGAGGGCTTTGGCGAAGAGCGCTTTTTACTTTGGAAGAACTTATTTCACTGGAACTTTCACTGTCAGAGTCAGGCGATTGGTATTGCGGAAAGCTAGACCTTCTGCGAAGACCACTTCGTCCTGGAGTAGGACTTTTTTCACTTGTATCAGACTCTTTAGAGCGAGACCTTCGGCGAGGGCTTTTAGGAAGAGCACTTTTTCTTCTGGGAGTCGTTTTTTCACTTGCACCTTCACTAATTTTGTCTTCTACCCTGTCATGTTCTGTTGATTTGTCTTCTTGAGAGAGAGGCCTTCTACGAAGACCACTCCTTCCTTTGGTAGGACTTTTTGCACTTGTACCTTCACTAATTTTGTCTTCTACCTTATCATGTTCTGTTGATTCATCTTCTTGAGAGAGGGGCCTTCTGCGAAGACCAGCTCTTCCCTTGGTAGGACTTTTTGCACTTGTATCTTCACTAATTTTATCTTCTACCTTATCATCTTCTGTTGATTCATCTTCTTGAGAGAGTGGCCTTCTGCGAAGACCACCTCTTCCCTTGGTAGGACTTTTTGCACTTGTACCTTCACTAATTTTATCTTCTACCTTATCATCTTCTGTTGATTCATCTTCTTGAGAGAGAGGCCTTCTGCGAAGACCACCTCTTCCTTTGGTAGGACTTTTTGCACTTGTACCTTCACTAATTTTGTCTTCTACCTTATTATGTTCTGTTGATTCATCTTCTTGAGAGAGAGGCCTTCTGCGAAGACCACCTCTTCCTTTGATAGGACTTTTTGCACTTGTACCTTCACTAATTTTGTCTTCTACCTTATCATGTTCTGTTGACTCATCTTCTTGAGAGAGAGGCCTTCTGCGAAGACCACCTCTTCCCTTGGTAGGACTTTTTGCACTTGTACCTTCACTAATTTTGTCTTCTACACCATCAGGTTCAGCTGAACCTGATGGTGTAGACAAATCAGCTGATTTGTCTTCTTGAGAGAGTGGCCTTCTGCGAAGACCGCTTCTTCCTTTGGTAGGACTTTTTTCATCTTCTACCGTATCAGATTCGGCTGATTTATATTCTCTAGAGCGTGGCCTTCTAGGATGAGTTCTTTTTGCTTTGGGGGTCGTTTTTTCACTTGCACCTTCACTGAGTTTATCTTCTACCTTGTCAGGTTGTGTCGATCGGTATTCTTGAGAGGTAGGCCTTTTGCGAGGGCTTCTGCGAAGAGCGCTTTCAACTTTGGGAGTAGTTTTGTCTGGTTCCACCTTGTTGGGTTCTTCAGGATCACTTTTTAATATGTCAGGCTCTGCCGATTCGTATTTTTTTCTTTCATTTCGGGTTTGAGTGCGAGGACTTCGGCGAAGCACGCTCTCTTCTACCTTATCAAGTTCTGCCGATTTAAGGTCATTCAACTCCTTGGCTTGTTTCTCGTCGAGGAGTTTCTGTAATTTCGCTACTTTGTCTGCAACTTCTTTTTTCTTCTTTTTCGACAAAGCACCTTCCCCTTTTTTCAGAGCTTGAATTTCCGCTTGCAAATCTTTCTTCTCCTGCTTGTGTTTTTTAAGTAATTCTTCGATACTTGCAGGAACGTTGCTATCTTGGTTGCTGGCCATCTTTACTGACTTAATGGTACTGAGGAATAATCGAAAAATTTACTACGGAATAATTCAACAAACAAGTGCTTTTTAGGCATTTTTTATTCAAAAAAATAGGTTATAAAAATTCGGATTCCTGTGCACCACATTCCTGCCTTTTTTCGTCATTGCTGTCGTGTGACAGACAGCGTTGCCACTAGTAAAATTTTATTTTCGGTAGATGAATTGGTAAAAATTCCTACTAAGACTATGTCGTTTTTTAGGGTATAAAAAGATATTATTTGAACACAAGTCTTTACAAAACAGGACAAAACTCTTAAATAATCCAAGTATTTACTGTCTAAAACTATTCAAGAATATTTTTGAAAAATTATGTATTCAAACATAATTTTTTGGCATCCATTATTTGTTCGTCAAATTTTAATTTTTTACCTTCTTCCTAGAAAAGCACAAACAATAGTTTTGGGATACACCTATAGTTAAGGGATTAACCAGGACAAACTAACAAATGTTTTCTTCATAATAATAAAAATAATAGAATGACGTACGGTTGCATTCCGATTACATTTGTTACCAAAAATGTTCATTTATGCTTTAAAAAAATCGAAATCATTAGAATTTGTTCTAACTACAATAACTACAATACAAAATGCCTTTTTAATAGGTATTTATGAAACTAAAATTTTCCCCTAATATGAAAATCGGTAGATCTACAGAAAAATCAGTAGAAGTGGCATCATCGGGCACAGATATAGAACGTCTCGAAATGTCATTAATAGAGGGCATAGATTACAGAAATGTTTTTAATGTCAAACCTTAGTTCGATGTATTATTGTAAGAGGGCGAAGAGTAACAATTTTAAAATTAAAATTCAAATTAATTATATTACAGCGCCTTATTTATTCTGTTCAAAAATATATGTAATAAAACTTAAAGCTCTTTATTTTATAAACTCTATTACACGTTATTAAGTCGCTGATTTGACAACGCTAAGATTTGTTTAAAAAAACATAGGTCACCAGCAATGATACTATTTTTAAACTCATTGCATGAGACTTAAATTATTGGTAGTCAGTTAAATTGTGTTGGACTTTTGAAGCGTACTAAGACCAGCTAAGGCAAAACAACGCTGATATTGTCGAGAAATATGATTAAAACAATAATAGCAATATTACTTTTGTTAATTTGTGTCAATAAGGGTAAGTTAAACTGATTTAGAACATGAATATATTACAACAATTAACTGTTGATTGTAAATATGATTTTGGGTTTATTTGTGTTTACTAAACATATTTTCTTTTATTTAGGCACAGCATTAACTTGCTACAGTTGTAATGTTTCCACATCTGAGCAAGATGAAGATGCCTGTAAAGGCATTGGTAATCCAAGACCCTGTGCTCCAAACAGTGTATGCTTATCGGCTTTGTATGAGTGTAAGTTTTACATAGAAAAATATAGTAACAAGAATATATTTTAATGTCTACTACTTATTACCGTTCTTGCTAATTATTTCTTTGTAATAAATGTGTAGGTTTAAAATGTTGATAGGTGTGTTGTTTATGCAACCAGTTAAACATCCAACTAAATTTGAATTTACAAAGTAGATTTTTGTTTTTCTAATGGCTTTCGTTATTTTGATTAGTGATTTCATAGAGTTAAAAATAAAATAATTTTAATTTCGATTTTGTAAACCATAAAGTGTTCTAATTTAAAATATTATCTCACGTAAAAATAGTGTGACCTATTACTAAAATATTTGCTTGAATAATGAATTTTGTAGATATACAGGCCCTGTATATACGGACCGGGTGGTCCGAATTGTATTTGGAAAACTTTGGCAGCGTATTCTGCAGATAAAAATAAGTAAAAAGGTTCGTATAAATTTATCTTCTAAAATGTTTCGTTTCGGAGATACAGGGTGTAGAAGGTTCATTTTTATTTCGATTTTTTCTAAATAATTATCAGTGTTTGAATGTTTTTCGACATGAGAAATTCGATTTCAATGACAGTATGGCTCGTACTTGTAGGGGGCACTTTCTATTTTTAAGCTGTTTTGAAGAATAATATCTTTTCGTCCGTACCTGTATAAAATTTAATCTGTAAAAAATATTTCGTAATTTTTACATAAAAATGTTTCTTGGTAAAAATCTGTGAGCAACCGTTTTCAAGGTATTTGGAATGGAAATGAACATAATGTTGAGTAGATAGTTGTGACTGAAATGATACATTTGGGAACTTTTTATTTTTTTTTTTAAATACTATACGAACTTTTTTACTCACTTTTATCTGCAAAATGTACTGCCGAAGTTTCTGGTGTACAATTCGAACCACCCTGTATATTTTATTTAGTATACAGGGTGTTACGTAAGTAATCTTAAAAAATAGAGGGGGTGGTTCTTTTTAAGAAAAAAAAGTTTATACAAACATGTGGTCTGAAGTGCTTCCTTTCTGATCTATACAGGGTGTGTTAAAAATTTATAGGTATGGAAACCTTAAGAATCACACCCTAATTTTTTAGACTATTCAAAAAACACCCTGTTTAATTAAAAATAATAAAGTAAAATGTTGTTTTTTTTTGTTATAGTAAATACAGGAACTGTAAAGACATTCATGACAATGAAAACATGCTATCCAATCATGAATGGTGAAGAGTGTACTAACTTTGTCAAGACCCAGAAGAACATGCTGGTCAGTACTGCCTCTTTAACATCGAATTCATGCAAAACCTGCGAAACGGATGATTGCAATCGCAGAACCACCTTGAGCAGCGGGTCTCGAAGCGTATTTAACCCTCTATTTTTAATTAGTATATTGGGTTTATTTGTTTTAAAAATAATTCTAAGTTAGTGTAATTACACAAAAATATATAGGTGTTGAAAATATATTGTATACTAAGTAATTATTTCTATAAGTAGGTATTTAGTTGAAAAATAATAGGTATGTTTTTTTTTCTAAAATATTATATTAAGGATTAATTAATATTATTAGATAGGTATAAAAGAATTATTATACTTTATTTTTTTCTTAATACAGAGTTATATACAGTATGCTCTGAATTTTCTTTACATGATGAAAAAACACTTTTATACTATTGACATTTTGACAAAATGCATTCTCTATACTTTTTTTTGCTATTCTAAAATGGCTAATATCGTTTTTTTAATAACTTTTCCAAACTTTCATACCGTTTCAGAGAAAAATAAAAAATATGAAAATATTGTCGATTTTCCCAAAAATCAAAACGCGATCAAAACTATGGTACAAAGAATGTAAATGTTTTCCTTTTTTTTTGATAGATGATTACATTTAGGGGTTGGAACCAGTTGGAACTTTTCGTGTTTCAACAGCAAAATAGAACACTAATTCGCCATAATACACCAAAACACTCTACTTTTGCACTGGCCGCGATGTTAGTATCATCAGCAGATAATTAAAACTGGGTGGTAGAAAAAAAGGGAGTTATGTTTCGATTCATTTTACATGTTATATTTGATAGTATATTAAAGTTTCTATATACTGGTACTGCTACTTGTAGAGAGCGCCGCTTACATGTATTTCAACTGATTTCAGGAGTAGTAACTTTTTGTCCGTACCTGTATAGAACTAATGAGTGAAAAAATATACATTTACGACTTTTTTTTACGTAAAAAAGGTTCAGTTTATAATCATCTGCTGATGATGCTAACATGGTTAGCGAAACGCGCGTCCAGTGTAAAAGTAAAAGTGTTTTGGTGTATTGTGGTGATTTATTGTTTTTATTTTGCTGTGTAACACCAAAGGTTCCAACCCTCAACTGTAAAAAGGTCTCTTGGCAAAAATCGCTGCGAGTAATGTTTCTCCAGATATTTGGAATCGAAATTATCAATACCTCTTTCAAAGGTAGAGGGAATTATGGCCTCTAAATTTCCCGTTAATAATATCTCAATCGGGTTATAACTCGAGTATTTATGGTTAGGCGTAACCAAGACGATATAACCTTTTTTATTTAATCCGCTCCTGTAGCAGAATTTCGACCTATCCTGATGGGTCACGAATTATGCTAAGTGCCAGACTTATTCCGGCCCTAGCAGTAAAAATTATTGCCGATATGTAACACTTTGAGGGTGCCAAAGGGCTCCATGTTATATTCATAAGATTGTGGGGACACAGGACGCGAATCTAGTTTTTTAGGGCAAGTCAAAAAAGTCGTCTCGAGTAATATACAGGCTGGTCCGAATGGTATTCGAGAAATTTCGGCAGCATATTCTGCAGATAAAAATTAGTAAAAAAGTTCGTATAAAATCATGTCCTAAAATGCTTCCTTTTGGTGATACAGGGTGAAGAAGTTTCATTTTTATTTCGATTTTTTCCAAATAATTTCTGAATTATAGTCAATATTTGAATGAAAATTGGTACCAATTTGACTGCTACTTGTAAAGGGCTCCAACTACGTGTTTTTAACTGTTTTGAAGAGTAATAATTCTTGTTCTGTAATTGTATAAAACTACTGAGTGAAAAAATATTCATTTTCATCGTTTTTTACGTAGAAAAGATCTCTTGGTAAAAATTGCCACGAGTAATGGTTCTCAAGATATTTGGAATCGAAATAATCAATACTTTTCATGTCATCATTGACAAAAATTAAACATGTTGACTTGAGTTATTTGACTGAAAGAAAAAAATTGGAAATGTGTTTGTGCCCAAGCTTCAAAATAAACTGTTTTGTAATATTTTTTTCTAGAAAATTTTATGATAATTCACCGCACTAATTCATCACAACCACAACAACTAAGTTCAGCAATCACTAAAATCAGCATCAGCAAATGATTGAAACTTCACAGAATTTTCTTCTGTCCAACTACTTGCTCCTTTTTTGAAAAAAAAACACCACTTGAACGCCAAATGAACGCTTTGGTCAATTATCATGACTTATCTAGTGTTTAGACGGTCATACTAAATGAATTCAAGTGATGCACCTCAATATTTATAATTTAAATCCTAAAAAAAAACAGAAAAAATTGACATTTACACAATTTAACTCTAGGGAAAAGACGTTGGTCTGGACAGGGGGCATGGAGGGGTGAGGGGTTAAAAGAAATTACCCCTCAAAGTCCAAAATGAAGACCTCCCGCCACGATAATCGCGAATGGTAAAAAAGATAAGGCTGGAATCGGCTTTGACGCCTGCTCGCTATTCCTCCTCAGTATGCTAGCTACTCTCTTCGTCATCTTCTTATTTTCAGGGCCTTTTTTGCTCTCCAACGTGGAAAAGGCACTATTTCAGGCTTAACGTCCGTTGCGAGGAGAAAAATTGAAAATTGGGGCTCTGTGCAGTACGAAACTCGGTGTGAATATGTCCTAGTAACTAGTAAAATGCCAGATTTTTTACAATATATCATTCAAGTAACCGAAACTTGTTTAACTATTACTTTTTGATTAAATTAAATTATACAAGAACTTAATATTCCTACATTCTTTACGTAAAAAATGTCTTTTTAATTCGTGCGAAAGGCGTTTTTTTGGACAAAAAAACTGAACTCGATTGACAATAAGTGTCAATTTATACACAGGCATACCAAGAGACATTTTTTACGTAAAAAGTCACGAAAATGTATATTTTTTCACTCAGTAGTTTTATACAGGTACGGACGAAAAGTTATTACTCTTCAAAACAGTTAAGACATATGTAGGTGGTGCCCCTTACAAACAGAAGTCATATTGACATCAAAAGCAAATTCCTCATGTCAAAAAACTCCCAGACACCAATTTTAATCCAAATATTTCAGAAACGTTACTTCAGAAATTATTTGGAAAAAATCGAAATAAAAATTAAACTTCTACACCCTGTATTTCCGAAACTAAGCATTTTAGGACATACATTTATACAAACTTTTTTACTTATTTTTATCTGTAGAATATACTGCCGAAGTTTCCGGAATACAGATCGGACCACCCTGTATATGCTATTATTCCTCAATATTGTTGACTAATTTCGTTGGTGTCCACATTATTCATATTAATATTAATTATATCCTCAAATTACCGTAAAATATTCGTCCCCAAGTGCGGTCCTGCCTACACGAAAGGGAAGGAAGCAAACTATACAGTTCGTGCAGATATCGAAAAAGAAAATAATATGATTCCAGGGCGCTTGTGGTGGTAATTCTTCAAGCCTGAATACGCTTTTGACGATCCTTTTGACCGGTGATAATGTATGCCGCCGAATGCACATATAAGCAGCCATAAGATATTCTTTATTTCCTCTGTTCCAAGAGCCCTTTGTCAATGGATGGAAAAATGTAAATATTTCGCATATATGACGAGCCAGAAGCAGACTAGGAAAATAATGTTTGAGAGAAATTTTGAGACTATTCCAGAAGACTGGAACATATTTGTATAAGGTATATTCTTATGTTTCTTATAAATTCTTTGAATAAAAATATTAAGAAAGAAGTATAATGCTATCCATGTATTCATGCATGGTAGGGCCCAGAGAGAAACTAATAACTAAAGTGAGAGGGCTTGTGGAATAGGGCATTTCGTAGACAAGTTTATTTTGTCACCGCGCATCCCAGACGCACATAGCGTTTAGGCGGCCAAAAAAGGAAGTTTTCAACTTTGCAAGTTAAATATTTGACAGGATTAATTAGATTGTCAGTAGCTTTTTCTATTTCTTAGCTCTAGAAGGAGATAACTAAAATCTGTTGATAATCGGAGCAAATCGGAGTAATAAATTGTTTTTGACTGAATGTGCCTGTTCTTTTAGCTTGTCAGAAGAGAAGATTATTGTCATTATTGATTATTTCAAGATTATTTCAGATTCCACGATTAGTCGGCATTTTTGTAATTTTTGTTTTGTGGTTGAGACCCAGACAAAACGTTACGTTTAAAGGTAAGTTTTATCTCGGTAATTATTCTAACATACCTAATAATAATAGTAAGTGCACATAATAATCGTACATTGCTAATTTAATTTTTTTGTAAATTAAAACATCACATTCTTTTCTGATACCTATGGAACGACTAGGTATTATACCTGGTATTATTTCCAGTAATACAAATTATTTTCTTCAACTGCTAGGTTCTTGTTATAGAATAAAGACTATCAAAAACATTGAATACATACGGGATACCTACTGATACTCTGTGCGAGCTCCCAACCGTGCTTCCCTGTTCACTCCCAACCAAGTTAGATAAAAAAGATACTGAAGATTGCAGCCTTGAGTTGGAGTATGGCAAGGAGTCTGGAGTTAATAAATTATTATGTTCCTACACAGTATTTTATTTATAGGTTTCTAATGCTTTAAAGTTTAATAATAAATTTTCGTTGTCAACAAAATAATCTAAAAAAACTACGAAGATTTCTTATTATAAACTTGAAAGATTAAGATTCGGTTAATATACAAATTTTAAATTTTTGGCGCCAGTTATATAGGTATGAATGCAACCTACTATATCGATAATGCGCTCATAGTTCGGGTATGGTTCGGGTTAGACGCCAAAGGCCGCGCCACTAACACAGTCTTCAAAAATTAACGTTGATCGGTCTCTCTCACTTTAGTTATTAGTGTTCTCTCTGGTAGGGCCCTAGTGTGGGGATCCTTAACAATTCTGTTTGAAAATTCATTTGACACATTTGAATTTGATTTGAAATATTGTGGATTTGTCAGTCTTTACTGAGCTTATTTTATGTTATTTATTATTTATTCTACAACTGAAGAGACATTTTTTACGTAAAAAGTCACGGAAATGTATATTTTTCACTCAGTAGTTTTATACAGGTACGGACGACAAATTATTACTCTTCAAAACAGTTAAAAACATATGTAGGTGGCGCCCTCTACAAGTAGGAGTCATATTGACATTAAAATCAAATTTCTCATATTAAAAAACTCCCAGACATCAATTTTTATTCAAATATTGACGTTACTTCATAAATTATTTGGAAAAAATCGAAATAAAAATGAAACTTTTACACCCTGTATCCCCGAAAATAAGCATTTTAGGACATTGAGTTATACGAACTTTTTAACTTATTTTTATCTGCAGAATATACTGGCAAAGTTT